TTAACAGCTACATGGAAAAAGACTTCTTGAGATTATTGCAAAGCTCCATCCTTGTATAATCCCTACTGTGTGCAGAGCAAGGCAAAGAAGTGAGGCAGTCAGAAGCAGCCAATCAGGAAGTTCTAGGTAGGATTGATGGAGTTGAACAGCTCTGTCATAGGCTGGAAGATGTCTTTGGGCAGGAATCTTTGCCCAAAGTCACACAACAAGTTAATGATAGAATGAGACATAGAAGCAAAGTCACCATATGTTGTTCCCTTGGGTGCTTTTCCTTCTAAGTCATAAAACCCCATGGAAGAGGAAGAAGAGGAGGGGAGCAGCATCAGGGTCCTGATACCTAATCTGTCAATGTCGTGGCCTGAACAGCCTCCAGATCTCTGTAATACTCCCAGGGTGACTTCTGCATTTCTGTCACCATGGGAGGCAAAGCTATCTGTTCCTGTGCCCTTGATCTATCTCTCCAGAAATTCTGAAAAAGAAGGAAAAAGGGTAAACATCTGGATTAGAAAAATACACCAAGTGAGATAGAGGGACGGCTGTACTGCCCGGTAGAAAACAGTATCTGGGGTGTGCTCTGTGGGTGTAACGGTGCCTCACTCGAATTGAAACCAGGCTGTCCCTTTAAGAGTTTAAGCCATCAGATTTGTTCCCGAGTTCCTAGTAGATCCCAGGATCATGCTGACTTTTGCAGACAGAGTCAAAGAGTTTATTTAATGGTGTGGCAATGGCTGACGGTACAGAAAAGGCGAACCTGGACAGGACCAGAGATGGTGGAGGAGAGACTCTGTGGAGGGCAGGCGTGGTCTGTGTAGGATGTAGGAACCAGAGGTGAGGAAGGAGAGCCCGTTAGTCCATTTTCTGCTGCTAGGACAAAACACCAGAGCCCAGGTGTCTTGAGAACAGGTTTGTTTTACTTCCACTCTTGGAAACCAAACATTCAAGTACCGGTATCTGTCATCCCTGCTGCCCTGTCAGATCACAGAAAGTTGCTTCATGACATGATTGTGTACAGGGAGAAGACTTCACAGGGTGAGGCAGGAGTCATTCCGAGCCCAGGTTTGTACTCTTTGCTAAGAGAGCTGCCTTCTGTGTGGTCAGCACTTACTAGAATCATAGCTGGTCAAAGAGCTGAGAGGAAGCGACTCCGTGACCAGTAATGATTCTAGTAACTGTAGAAGCAGGCTGTTGAGAGTTCAGCCTAAATAAGACATCTGTATTACACACACACACACACCCCCAGCACTCTGCCAATTGTCACCAAGTCTCAGGGAACACCATCTTGTGAAAGGGGCAGGAAGAGTCTAAAGGATGGGGAGGAGGGCTGTGAGGTGCTCTCTTCTGGGTATGGCATGGTCACTGCACTCAGGAACTCACAGCAGCTGTGGTTGTCTACCAAAACCTACGCAAGATCAAGCCAACACTGGTCAGGATTCCAGCAAGCTGCGTTAACTGGACTCAGTGGGTTGCAAAACTCATGAAGATGGGGAGGGATTGGGGAGAGTATAGACTGTATCTATGCATGAAATTATCAAAGAAGCCAGCGGTGGCACATACCTTTAATCCCAGTGCTCTCGGGAGGTAGAGGCAGGTGGATTTCAGTGAGTTTGAGGCCACCCTGGTCTACCAAGAGAGTTCTAGGACTGTTACACGGAGACTGGGTAGTCTCAAAATACAAAAAAGAAAAGAAAAAGAAAAAAAAAACCGAAATTACCAAAGAATAAATTGATTTTTAAAAAAGAGCTAGCTTAGTCCAGAAAGCCAACTTTAACAACTCCTAGTCAGCAGCACCCGCTGTGATTAAATTACCTTCTACTGGGCCACTCAGAAAGTCAATCACTCCACCATGGCTCTGCCTGGAACCCCGAGGGGGAGGACAAGCCACGTCCAAATCCTGGCAGAGAACAACAGGAGAGACACGGGAGAATATGGCATAGTTATTGTACTTGGGGATGCAGGATCTTCATTGGCGGCGGGATCTTCCTCTTCTGCCCTCACTTGCTCCCCCGACCCCCTGAGGAGCAGGGAGGAGCATCTAGGATACCAACTCGAAAGCCCAGAGCAGTTGGGGTAAGGCCTTTCTCCTTGAAGTGGGGGAAATCCTTCCTCTGGCCCGTTCCAGCTTGTCTGTTGAGAATGAATTTGGCTCTCCGAGAGGGAGAAGAATGGCTGTCTTCATCCTTCTTTGGGGGAAGGACTTGGCAAATAAGGCTGATATGGACAGGCAATAATTAAGTTGCCATGGATAATGTCTGATATAATTGAGGCTGAGAACTTGTGACATGTGCCCCAGACAAAGCACCGCACCATGCGGAGGATTCCCGGACCCCTGAACCCTTTCTTTGTCAGAGTATAGAAATTAATGCCTTCATTACAGCTAGAGACAATAAAGGCTATAGGAGTAGAGGAGTCACAGGAAAGGAGAAAAAAAATCCCCTGTCCTTCTAGCAGTTCTGAAAGGCGAAGTCTGTAGGTTTACCCCCCCCCCTTCTCCATACCAGTTTGTGAGACAATGGAGTGGGGACATTTTATGCAGAATTGAATGGAAAGAGAAGAGTTTGTACCTGTGCTAATCGAAGATAAGATCTTGATAAGATCTTCACGTACCTCCCTGTACTTTCTAAGGCCTGGCTCAGGAGCTTGCTCAGAGACCTTCCTGGTCTTAAACAGGAATTGTCTTTCTGCTTGTGAAGATCCACAGTGTAAATAAAGCCCCTGGAGATCACAGATAATTAGGCGCCTCCTCCTCCTTTGTGTCCCCATGAACTTTGAACTTGTGTTAGAGTTTTTATCAAAAGTTACTAATCTCATCCTTGTCTGTCACTGCCACACCTGTAGGCCAGACCTGGCCTCTCCCCTACAGATGTATGCTTTGTTCAGAAATACCTTGGATGCTTCCAGCTCTGGTGCTTATGCCTGGGAATGTGTTCCTGGAGTTGTTAGAGTATACCAACAAGAGAGAAGTAGTGGCAGCCATTAGAATGTGCTCTCACTGTCTCCACCTCTTCTCACCTCTCTCTCTCAGCATTGTTTATGTCCCTTATCTCCTCCGCGTAATGAACCAGCCAACCATTCAGGTAGAACCAAGGTTGTAATTGCTTAGTCATCGAGTACTAAACTCTTACAATGGTTGACACACAACGGGTGAGTTATGAATTAACTTCAGAGTAACACAGTCATATACCATCATCATGACTTACCTACAAACAAGAAAACACTAGCATCATACTCCATAATTAATGAGTGGTTCTGTATGGGTTCATATTTGATACATTTCGAATATGGTATACTTATTCAGACTGTCTAAAGAGGCCCCTTCCACCATGTGTACAGCATCATATTGCATTTTTTTTGAGACAGGGTCTCACTGTGTACCCTGGGTGACCTGGGACTCACTATGTAGTCAAGGCTTGCCTTGAACTCAGAGATATTCTTTCCTCCACCTTCCAAGTGCTAGAATTAAAGGTGTGTACCACCATACCCAGCTTGTTCAATTTTCTCTTTTAACTGTTTTGCCATTTCCTTTCTTGTACTCTTTATAATCTAAGATTATCTTTTGTATATAGACATAATAATATAATATAAACACTAGGGTTGTTTCTCAGAGGTAAGAGCAGTTGTTTACATCCATGAGGCCCCAAATTCAATCCCAGTCCTGCCAAAAATAACACAATACATGATAAATATATGCATACATATGCCCACTTATTACTTTCCTTCTCCTCTACAATGCTGGATTTTCCAGGGCAGGAACTTTGTTTCCCATTCATTCTCACTGGCTGATGGTGTTTTAGAGTCCATACTGATCCAGTCAACCATTTAGCTAGAACCAAGATGGTGATGGCTCGGGCACCAAGTATTTGTCTCTCAAAATGATGGAGATACTAAAGATTATTTGGTTGTAACTTTGCTTTAGCTCAGTTCAGGGAGTTACTAGTAGGGCCCAGAATAATAGTCAGATATGTCCATTTTCTGGGGGAAATGGAGATTTTTAAAAATAAAAATGTAAAGTTGTATTTTTCAATATTCTGTATCTCTGAAATTGGATATTTCTCTACTTGTAACTCTTTCTTCAGTCGGCAGACACAGACACAAAAGGGGTGATTCCTGTGCAGGGAGAGAGCCAGCCAGGCTACAGTCTTCCAGAGCTCTGTGTTGGTGTGGGTTATAAATTCCATTCAAAGTCAGGTGTTGCTAACTCACGGCATAAGACTTCTCGCTGAGACTGCAGTTAGAATTAGGCAGCTGCTGGGGCTGGGAGATGGCTCAGTGGGTAGTGCCTGCTGTGCGAGCAGGGGGTCTGATTTTGGGTCCCCAGTGCTCATGTAAAAGTAGGGCATAATTTTAAACAGAGTAATCCAGAGCTGGGGAGGCAGAGACCAGCAGATCCCTTGGGCTTATTGACCAGCCATTCTACCTAAGTCCCCAAGTTCCAGGTTCAACAAGAGAGTCTGTTTCAAAAAAAATAAGGTGAAGGGTGAATGAGAAAGAGCCCTGATGTTGGTTCCACCTGCACACACATACACGTGCATGAACACCCCCCCCCATATGTGAACATGTACACACAGAACAGGTGAGATGAGCAATGTGGTTGCAGGTGGAGGAAATTACGACAGGCTCCGCTGTGCGTGAAGGAAGCACAGATACTGAGGCGTAGATTGATAAATATATGGGGGGGGTGTGGTTCAGGCTAGCCACAGAAGGGTCCTCTTATAAATGGGGAAGGGACATGGTCAGAATTTTAGGGTGTGTTCATGATTTAATGGGTTTATGATTTAGGACTAATCTGTAACTGTTTCCCCACTTTTAGAGTTGCATTTTGGGACAAATTCAGAATAGCTTGGTTAAATGTATCCTTATCAGCGTAAAACTGTGCCTCAAAGTGTGCAGTTTACTCTGTGACCTAAGGAGTGAGTAACACCCTGTAGGTATTCTATATGAAGACGCTCTTTCTCATCACATCTTTGTTTTCCTTTCTGTCTTTTCCCCCTTTCCCATTTTAGAACAACAAGGTCACATTATTCCGCCAGTTGCAGCAGATGACATACAGTCTGATTGAGTGGCGCTCCCAGATCCTGTCTGGGACACTCCCCAAGGATGAGCTAGCAGAGCTGAAGAAGAAGGTCACGGCCAAAATTGATCATGGAAACAGGTAACCCAGGACAGTCTTCTGCTGTGGGAAACGACCAGCTCCTTCACTCCAGATACTGATCAAGCCTTTAATACAGCACTCAGGAGGCAGAGGCAGGTGCATCTCTGTGAGTTTAAGGTCATCCTGGTCTACAGAGTGAGTTCCAGGATAGCTGGGGCTACACAGAAAAACCAGAAGTTCTGGTCAAGGACTCATGACTGCATAGCAAGTTCGAGGCCAGTCTGCTTGGCTGTGTGAGGCCCTGTCTGAAAAACAAAACAGAAAATAAATAAGTGAAGTACTCACACACATTGTACATAGTTATCCATATTTACAAGGCACGCGGATGCACTACTTATCCATAATGATGATTAATGAGGTTAAATGGGAATCCCATCACTTTGCCAGTCATCATTTGGGAACACTTAAAATCCTCTTTTCTGGGTATTTTGACATAGCAAGTTAATTTTTGACAACCATAGTTATGTTACTATGCAGCAGGAAATTAAAAATTATTCTTCCTACCCAACTGCATAACTATACCAATTAACCACCTCCTTGCCTGTATTAGTGACTTTTTGGGGAGGGAGGAGTGTCTTGTGTGTGGCAAAAAACTGTGTAGAAGAAGAAACTGAAGGGAGTAAAGATGGACTTTGGCTGGTGGTCCAGAGAATAGAGTTGGTGATGATGGGGAAGGTGTGGCAGAGCAGCACCTGTCCATGGTGATTGATGGGCAGGTTTCTATGATGGAGTTCCTCCGCGTAGCACGCCAAAAAGCAGAGTGCTCAAGATTAGAGCCAGAGGCCCACCCCTAATAGTCCAAGTTATCAGCTAAGCACCACATCCAAAAACGTTTTGCAAGCTCTCAGACCAGTGCCACCATTTGACAAGTGTTTAAACATATGAGCATGTGGGGGATGTTTTTCTATTCAAACCCTAGTGCCCCTGGTGTTCCTGCAGCCCCCTAATCTCACAACAAACTTTGGATCTTAGAGTTGTCAAATAATGGTTATTATTTCCTGTCTTTGTGAAAAATGTGACAGTCCCTTCCTTGGGTCAAGTGCCCTGTTGGCCCCAGTGGCTGACACTAGAACAGAGAAAGTAGTTTTTTTTGTTTTTTTTGTTTTTTGTTTGTCCTAGCTTCTCCATTGACAGAAAAGCCAAGAGTGACCACGCACATGGAGAGGTGGCCTTTCAGATGCTTGAGACTATGTTTTTATTCCAGTGACGGATATTAAATTGATTGCTGCCATTTTCTTCCCCCCTCCTCCTCCCTTTCCTAACTGGGACTGGACTGGGACTGTGATTGGCAATGGAATGATTCAGATTCCCTGTATGGCAAGCCATCCTTTCAGCCCATGAATTCTATCTATGCACTTTTCATTTGTCCATTTCTCAGCAAGCTCCTAAGTAGGGCAGGTGTGCATGTTGCTTCCAGGTACCCCTGCCTTTCACAACTTGAGAAACATCGACTGTGGGTGGCATGGGATTCATGCTTTCAGCCAGCCTCTTTCACAAGACCTCAGTAGCCCTCTGTTAGTTTTGCTGTTGTTTATTTGGTATTTAGGCTGTGCAGTTTGTGCTGATGTCATTTCTGTCTCTCCCCTTGCCCTGTGACTCCAGCCTCTGGACTCTTGCATAGACCTGCTAAAATACAGTTCATTAGCCTAGTCTTTAGATTCACTACTCTAACAGGTTGTATTTAGAAACAATTGGAGTCAATGTGGGATACAGAATTGAGTTTCACAAACTGCCTCCATTGTATACTTCACGCACTTATAACACTAAGAGGTAGTTATTGTGAAATCATTACTTTTCTCCAGTTTTATTTAGGGGGGAGGTAGATGTGACTGATTTTTCTCCCAGGTCCCTAAGGCAGTGGGAAGGAATAACTTGGTCACAGGCCTGCCTCTAAGTCTGACTCTCCCTGCAGTTGAGTGTGAATCCCCTCCCCAATCCTTGTCCTAAGTCATGGTCAGTGTTGATGTCTCCTAGACACCATCTGGAATCACATAGGAGGGAAACCTGTGGGCATGTCTGTGAGGGAGTTTCTAGATTAGGTTAACTGAGGTGGGAACCCCATCTTAAATGTGGGGCAGCACCCTTCTCTGACATCCTGGACTTTAAGAGAAGCTAGCTGATTCCTAAGTGACGATGTAGTGTGGCTGGCTGCCTCAGATCCTCTGCCATGCTGCCCCTTGAACTGTGAGCCAGAGTAGGCCCTTCTTCCTTTAAGTTGCTTTTTGTTAGATTTTTTTTTTTTTTTTTTTTGGTCATAACAAGAGAAGTGTCCCCAGGTAACAGCTGCAGCTGCATAACCTTTCATGCAGTCTCCAAACCTTTCTTTCTTTCTTTCTTTCTTTCTTTCTTTCTTTCTTTCTTTCTTTCTTTCTTTCTTTCTTTCTTTCTTTCTTTCTTCTTTGGTTTGTTATGAGACAGGGTTTCTCTGTATTGTTTTGGAGGCTGTCGGTCCAGCCCGGCCTCGAACTCACAAAAATCCGCCTGCCTCTGCCTCCCGGAGTGCTGGGATTAAAGGCGTGTGCCACCACCACCCGGCCTCCCAACCTTTCTTAAAGCCAGCCGTGGTAGGATAAGACTCTGTCTTTTGTGATCTTGCCATGGTAACATTGGCCTGGAGGTTCCCCGATGGCCTGGCATAGCATGTTAATATCTCTCACATGGCAGAGCATGCTGGTTTCCCACACCTGTCCTTGAAAGCAGCTCAGGAAACAGAGTCTCTCTGTCAATACATCCATGACCCAGCTCTGCCAGCATGCCGTCCCTCTTGGGTCTGGTGTTTGTGGGTCTGGCTACAGTGGGAAAGAAGCAGCCAGTGCCGATCACTTATCCAGAGTTGCATAGAGCAGGCAGGAGGGAACTGAGGTGTGACTGCTTTCTTCCCAAGGACTTGGCGCCTCTGGTTGCTATGCCTTGGGAGTTACTGTTTGAATATCTCAGCTCATCCGTGCAGGTGCCTGGAAGGCAGGCCGAGGGGCTGAGAGCAGAATTCTCTTCCACCAGCCTCTCAGTCCTTTGTACTTCTGTGCACATTGGGCACAGAAGCCTTAGGAGAGGGGTGTGATTGTCCCTGCTCTTGCCATGCAGCCCTCGGAGCTTTCATTGCTGGTTTTCTTGTGCCATTCTCTGCAGTCGGAGCTAACATTACTGGTGCTTATTATATGGGAGGTTCTATTACGCGCTTCACTGCTGTTACCTCCATCAAGTTCTTACAGCAAACTTACGGGGTAGGAAACGGTTACACATGAAGAACTCCAGGCTTTGCAGAGTAAAGGGGTTCTAGAGAGAGTAGATGTTAAAGCCAAGGTTCAGACTATAGTGTGAATGACGACAGAGCCAGCATAGAGATGGATTACAAGAAGGTAGCCACCAAGACTTACATCCTCCGTTAAGACAATATTGAGTAAGGAAGTCAAGGAGGCCTGCGAAGGATAGGTTGTTGTTGCCATGCCAGATCTCAGGAGACTAGACCAGGGAATCACTGCAGAGGGGGCTTTGGTTAGAATCCTTGTCAATTTTACTGTTCCTGCTTTGGGCCAGTTCCTTGGCATGTGCTCAGAGCTTTGGCTAGGATGGCCTCCTGAGCCCTGTCACATTATTGCTATGTGGAAAGGTGGTGGAGATTGGAAGGAGGGGACTCCTGGGATGTGTCCAGTCTCTACCCGTGTCTCCTGGGCTCCCTGACTCAGGTCTTTTAGACTCTGGCATCGGAGTGGGAGATATTTACCACCTGTGTTCTCTTCAGAATGCTTGGACTAGATCTGGTTGTGCGTGATGACAACGGAAACATCTTGGATCCAGATGACACCAGCACTGTTGCCCTTTTCAAAGCCCATGAAGTTGCTTCTAAAAGGATAGAAGAAAAGATCCAAGAGGAAAAGGTACATTTTCTCCTGGGTACAAGTCAAGCTGCTAGGATTTTCATTCTTTGCCTTGGTTGTTAATGCCAAAAAAAGGGGGTAGTAGACAATAGAAATAGCAATGCCTAGAAAATCACATGTGTCCTCATTTTTAAAGTGGGCAGAAAGAATGAGGCCAATATTTGTGTTCTGATTTGGAAAGGGAACAAAGGTAGGTGTGTGTGTGTGTGTGTGTGTGTGTGTGTGTGTGTGTGTATGTGTGAGTGTGTGTAGATGCAGGACAATTTTTTAAAATAGCATTTGAATTAAAAAATACAAAAGGGAAGGTATACACTTCAGTGCTTGCATATACAGAGTAACTAGAACGGCAGATTAGAAACTAGCCATTAAAAGCTGCCTCTGGCCCTGAGTTCAGTTCCTAGCACCCACTTCGTGCTTCACAACCACTCATAACTCTAGTTTCAAGGGATCTGTGTCTTCCACTGATATTTGCAGGCACCAGGTGTGCACATGGTACACAGATGCACATGCAGCTAAAACATTCATACATATAAAAATAAAAATAAAGATGCGTCTGAGAAGGAAAACTGGGTGAAAGGAAGACGTTTTATAGTATAATCTGTGTTTTGTATGAATATTGTGATTTCCAAGATAAAACTATTTTAGATGGCATGCTTGGAAAGAAAACTTAGAAAGGTGGAGAAAAATTAGAAAAAGAAAAAATTGTCAGCCACATTCTGACCCCCCCCCCCACCATGTTGGCATCTTGATGTATTATTTTCTGTTTGGATGAGGAAAGATTTGTCTGTGTGTTCTGTATTGCTTTTGCTTTCTGGAACACAGTCATGATTGCATGTGCCTGTGATTCTGCAAGCAGTGACAGCCACACCCAAGGGTAAATCTTCCTCGTGGAACCTTTCTTTTCCTGTGAAGTTGGGTAGTCTGTCACATGATCTAAGCTTGATTCTCCAATATCCCGTTGTAGGACATGGAAGCTTCATGGGTCTGCTAAAAATTGAGTTATCACCTGTAGACAGAGTGGTTATTTTTCATGTGTATGTGTGTGGTGTGCAAGCATGTAGGTATGTTTGTTTGCATGTGTGTGAACCCACATGAATATATACGTCTATCTGCCAGGGTGAGTGGAAGCCAGAGTTTGGCATTGGGTGTCATCCTCTGTTGCTCTTCATCTTAATTATTGAGGCAGGGTCTCTCACTTGAACCCAGAGCTTCCCAAGTCAGCTAGTCTAGCTACCTAGCTTGTTCCAAGGATTCTGTCTGTCTCTCTCCTGTATGCTGGGATTACAGGTTGGCTGCTATGCCCGCCAGGGATTTACATGACTGTTGGGGATCCGAACTCTGATCCTCATTCTTCCGCAGCAAGCCCTTTATGTGGCAAGCCATCTTTCCAGCCTCTCAGATGACATTTATTGAATTACTTGGTCTGAAATTCCTGAACAGGACCACTTTGGTTATCTGATAATGCTGATGTGTTTGTTTGAGGGATGATTGGTCCTCATCTGCTCAATTCTTAGCAAGTGCTTCTCATTGAGTATAGTAGCAGTCCCTTGTTTTATAGGTTGACTTCTTTGCCATTTGCTTAAGTCTTCTCTCCTGTCCTCTGGCCCAGACCATTTTACAGAATCTGGACTTGAGAGGCCAGGCTATCTTCAATACTGTCCATACCTATGGCCTCTATGTGAACTTCAAGAACTTTGTCTGTAACATCGGCGAGGATGCGGAGCTGTTCATGGCCCTGTATGACCCAGACCAGTCTACTTTTATCAGGTAATGGAGACCCAAGTCACTTGTACTTGGCCTTGCAAAGTACACACTTTACCTGCCCCTATCCAGGAGCCCTTCACTGTCTTTGAGACAGGGAGATACCCAGAGTGGGTGTAGTAACTTCTTCTGACAGCAGAAAATAAAGTTCTTGGGGCTCTGAAGCCTTTATATGCGGGTGTTGGCACCTTGCAGCTTCAGAATGCATAGGGTTTAAAGAGAGATTGAAACTGCTCGGGCCATAGCTACAAAGATTTCAGAAGACGCTAGGGGAGAAATGAGAGGATGAAGTGGGGCACACTGGGGATTCATGACCCTGAGACTGAGCGGTAGGATTCGGCGGTGGTGAATGCCGGTATGTGTTTGTCCGTCCCGTGCAATTCACTGTACCGGCTGTGCACTCTCGCATCAGCTGTGGGCTGTGGGGATGGTGATGTGACCGTGCAGGTTCAGTAGTCATAGTTGGTTAGATGGGGGCTGTGTGTTTGGGAACTCCGCTTTCAGCTCGGCTCTCCCATGAACCCAAAACTCCTGGTGGAAAAAAAAAAGTCTACAAAAAGAAAGTTTATAGACAATGGCTGAACCTCAGAGTGACCTTCACTGAGCAACTCAGGAAATGGAGATTTATTGTCAAGAATGTGATAAAAAGTCATTCCTGTGTCGTATGCATGCTCAGCTGGTAGACTGCTTAATTAGCATCCTCAAAGCCCTCGGTTCAATCCCCAGCATCACATGAACCAGATGGGTGCCACAGGACTATAATCCAAGCCCCAGAAAGGTGGTAGCAGAAGGGTCAGCTACATAATGAGGCCAGCCTGGGCAACAAAAGATCTTTTCTCGAAACGTAAAATTTAGTTGTTAAGTCACTTATGAGATGTGAACCCTGAAGGATGGATTGGGAATAACTTAGAAAGTTAAGCTTTTATAAATGTGTCCTCTTGAGACATAGTTTTACTGACTAGCTCAGGCCTGCCATTTACTGTGTAGCCCAGGCTAGCTTCAAATAATGATGACCAGCCTCCAGAGTATGAGATATAGACTCCAGCCACCATGCCCAACTCTAATGAAAACTCCCGACAAAAGAAACTCATGGTCATGTGGTGGTGGTGCAAGCCTTTAATCCCAGTGCTTGGGAGGCAGAGGCAGGGGAATCTCTGTGAGTTCCAGGCCAGCCTGGTCTACAGAACTAGTTCAGAACAACCAGAGCTATTACACAGAGAAACCCTGTCTTGAAACCATCCCCCCCCCAAAAAAAAGGAAAAGAAAAGAAACTCATGAGTTTTCATGTCTAAGCCACCCTGAGCAGTGTCTACCACTTTATAGGATGTTGTCTGTGGCAGGGACTCTTTCAAACACAGAGACCCGTGCATGTGTGGTGTTTGTGCTTTCCCAGCACCTGCCTCATCATGGGGAGCTTCTGCCCCTTCTTTTGACCTTCGCAAGGCTATGCTGTGAGGGGCCTCCGTCCCAGGTGCCCTCTCACTAAGAGTAATTTCTCTTTTCTCCTGCTAGTGAGAACTACCTAATTCGCTGGGGCAGTAATGGGATGCCCAAGGAGATAGAGAAGCTGAATAACCTGCAAGCAGTGTTCACCGTGAGTCCTGCCTTCTTCATTAAAAAAAGTCTTTGCATGCATTCATTTTCTGTGTCAATGTATACTCATGTGTATGGGTGAGTTGCTGTGGTATAAGTGTGTGAAGGTCAGAGGCCAATTTCCAGAAGTAGGTTCTCCTTCCATTGGGTAGGATGAAAAACTCAGGTCCTTAGTCTTGGCAGCAAACGACTTTATAGGTGAAGCCATCTGACTAACCCAGTCTCACTTTCTGTTCCTTCCTTTTCTCACTGTTTCAGTGGATACAAGTGACAAATAAATGACTGGGTCATTTATTCACTTAGTGAACGCATACTAGGTACCCCATCCCAATCTGCACACTTGAGACCACCTGTGAACAAAACAGGGAACGAAACTGTGTTCTTGAGCAGCTTTTGTGCTGGTGGGAAGACAGATGCAAACAGTAATGACACAAGTCAGTGAATTATAACAACATCAGCATCCTGAGGGGCTTCCGGGGGCTTTGCCAAAGTATTGCTGGTGGAGGCTTATGTTTTAATTGTACATTTATTAGTCTGACTTTTGTTTTCAACTTACAGTTGTTTATTGGTTTTATTATGATGAAAATGGTTTCCCACTTATTCTGTTTTTGCTTTTTTTCTTTTATTTTTGAGACTATAATATAGTCACTCTGCTTCACCCACATTTCTTTCCACCCTGCAGACCCGCCCCCTATGCCTCTCCTTGGTCTCTTTCAAGCTCATGGCCTTTATTGTCATTAATCATTGCGGCATGCGCGTATGCATAGTTAACTTTTGGTGTGTATGTGTGTGTATGATGTGCGCGTGTGTTCCCAGGATTACACGGGTCTTGTAGTTCATGTGCAGAGGCCAGAGGACAGCCTCAGGTGTTCCTCTTCCCCTTCCACATTGTTTCAAGACACACAGGTCTCTTTGCTATTTGCCACTCTATGTACGAGGCTGTTCTAAAGAGTCTCCTGTCTCCACTTTCGATCTTACCTAAGAATGTGAGGTTACAGATGTGTGTGCTGAAGTACGTGCCTCTACGTGAGATCTGAGGACTTGGTTTCAGGTTCTCACAATTGCATGGCCAGCACTTTACACCCTGGGCCACCTCCCCAGCCATGTTTTAAATGGATTGATTAAGTGCTGGCAGTGGAGCTCTGTGGTAGGGCACACCCTTAGCATGCACTGGGCTGTGGGTCCAATGCCCGGCACTCCAAAATGCATAAATAGAAGACACTGGAGGAAGACAGTGAAGGTGAAGGGCGTCAGCATGCAGAGTACTAACTGGAAGGAGAGCTCCCAGACCAAGGTCATGGTGAGGGCAACGTGACCCAGACCTTTTCCCGGAACCTTCCTCTGCGAGGATGATTCCCAGTCTCTGCAAGGTGCTGCTGCATGCAGTCCGGAGGCTGGCAGTGCATGAGGCTGTAGTTTGGGTGTGGCAACTGTTTTCCTATTAGCTTAGAACTTTCTGAGCTTCTTTCACGTGTGTTACACACCTTGGGACTGCAAGGGGACCTAGAAAACCTCGATGGGTGGCTCCCCAGCTCTGTCTCCCTTTCCTTCACCCATTAGCCCACACACATGCTTCTTCTCCTGCTCTTTCTGAGTCCAAAACAAGGAAAACTGAGCCCAAGTTCCTGTGACAAATGAAGCAGTAGCCAGTAGCTAACCGCTTGCCCGTTCCCTCTGTCAGCCTCCTAACTCTAGGCCATATACAGGCTTCTCTCTCCCTGCACAGAGCCCTCCTATCTCCACCCCTGCAAATGCAGGCATAGAACTTTCCTGGTTTTACACTAGACTTCTTTCGTATTTGTTCACTCTTGAAACCAAGTGAGGTTTTCCCTGCAATCAACCAATGTTTATTGGACCACGTGTATTTTTTTTTAAGTCTTTGGTACATCTTTTAATCAGTCTTAGCATAGTACAGCTGGGATTACTCTTTCCTTTCCTGCTCCCATGGTCTCCCAGCCTGCCAGAGGCTCATCTAATATGTAAATTTCATGTCTAGCCTTTCAATTAAATAAAATGTGGTGGCTATTCTCTTGGTCATTAAACAGTCTTCGGAACTCATTTATAAATGACTGTTACTTAATGGTATCAATGTGCTACGGTTTATAGAACTTGTCACCCAGCGTCTTTGTTTTCCGTTAGCGGAAGCTCTGCAGAACCTCAAGCAGAGATTCAGGCTGGGTGATTACTGGTGTGTATTGCTGTCTCGGTGACATGCCTTTACCAAATTACAGGGTGTAGATTTGGAGTGATTATTTGAAAAGTAATTCTTGATTCAGTAAGAGGGCTGGGACTGCTGGCTCATGAAAGGGTTCTGAAATATAATAAAATTACTTCTGATGCTAAGTGAGTGAGATATTTCCAGGTCACTCACCCCTCCTTAAGAACACACAGACAGACAGACAGACAGACACAAATGTGTGTATGTGTGCCCACACACGAGTGCGCACACACACACACACACACACACACACACACACACACACACACACACACAGGAACCTTAGCTACAGACATTAACAATTCCACCCAGCCTTGCTATTCTGTGTTTATGGAGAGGGCCTCTCAGGAAGCAGGTGAGGGACCTCACAAAACCATGCCTGGGTTACACTTGCCTCAGGGATTCTTAGAAGAGGAGCTGGAGCTGGGAGTAAGGAAGGAGGGGTTGGCACATACCTGTAATTCCAGCACTTGAGAGGTGAATGCAGGAAGATCAGGGGCTCAAGGTCAACCTCACTCACATAGCAATGGATGGTCAGCCTGGGCTCGGCGCTCAGTAAGTGTCAGCATCACGCCAGTTTTCATGTCATTTGACACTGAGATGTGTCTTGTACTAAGACATGCATAAGGACTAAACGCTTCAGAGAGTGTCCTGGTTTTTAACCTCTCTGCTGTAGAAGTGTAGGCTGACTCTGATCTAGTCTAGAAATGTGAAGTAGGAACCAGGGAAGAAAAGAACACCGTTTTATAGATATTTTATAGGTGACTAGATGGTAATTTTCTCTGTTGCCATGGAAGTTCTTGGGTGGGTTGGAAGAGAGGCTCTGCTCCGGTGTTTCAGCATGGGGTCATGTTCTCTGAGCAGGACAAGGCAGCCAGCCTCCCTCATCCATTCTCTACCTACAGGACCTCAGCAGCACAGACCTCATCCGGCCACGCATCAGCCTCGTGTGCCAAATTGTCCGGGTGGGCCGCATGGAGCTGAAGGAGGGCAAAAAGCACACCTGTGGCCTCCGGAGGCCTTTTGGAGTGGCAGGTATGATGAAAGCCCAGAGTCCAAGGAAAATGGTACAGCTTTGGGGGACTCCCTTCTCTGCAGTTCCTAAAAGACGTAAATGTGGAACCATCATCTGATCCCGCATTGGGCAAAATCCCGTTTGAGGTGTGTTTCCAAGAGAATTGAAAAGCAAGGTCTCAAAGAAGCATCTGTGCAAAAGCCAGCAGCTATATGATTCGTGTATATGAGGAGTCAGATTCAGAGAGACAGTTGAATGGGATTGCCGGGGCTTGAAGAGAGTGGGGAATTGCTTACTGAGAGTAGGGTTCACTGTGAGAAAATGACAGCACTAGCGGTGGATGATGGTGATTGTTACACACTGGGAGGGCACATACTTCCACTGAACTGTACACTTAGAGGTGATTAAGATGGTAATTTCTGTGTTAGTATATTTCATCGCGATTATAGTGATGGAAAGAGGCAGAGAAAAGATGGTAAATGGCTGCTGGAGGGCCCTGTGAACATTGGAAGCCGTGGTTCCTGCTGTCATGGTTAGTGTTGAACATTGGAAGCCGTGGCTCATGCTGTCATGGTTAGTGTTGAACATTGGAAGCCGTGGCTCCTGTTGTCATGGTTAGTGTTGAACATTGGAAGCCGTGGCTCATGCTGTCATGGTTAGTGTTGAACATTGGAAGCCGTGGCTCATGCTGTCATGGTTAGTGTTGAACATTGGAAGCCGTGGCTCCTGTTGTCATGGTTAGTGTTGAACATTGGAAGCCGTGGCTCATGCTGTCATGGTTAGTGTTGAACATTGGAAGCCATGGCTCCTGCTGTCATGGTTAATGTTGGGCACACAGCATTCATGCCCCAGCATGGCCAGTTCTCTTTCCTTGAGCCTTCTGTCCTTGAGTGTTGCAGACACTTCTTTCCTTTGTGCCTGGCACCATGTCTCACCCACAGTAGGACTGCATGCAAGCGTGTGCTCGGCTGCTGCGCTGTGATCCCTGTGAGGACCACTTTGTGTCACGAAATGCTTTCAGAGAAGGTCCAGATCAGCTTGCATTAATCCTCAGGACCTCCCAAGACGCCCCTGTATCTTTGTAGTTTCTCCTAAATTTCAAGAACAGATATTTTGTCTTTTATTGACACTTGGATCAGGAGTGCTTTCCAAAAGCCATCAATAAAATGTCAAAAGTTTGCTCCTGGACCAGGGCAGGAGAGTCCATGTTCTTCAGTCAACCTTGTGGCTTCTGTGGGTAAGGAGGTAGCCTCCTGGACCCATATGACTATCTATGTACCATGTCTTTTGAATTGTTCCCATCTTACCTGTTGCTCAAGGAGTGCCTAGGGAAGCAGTGTTGCTTTTTGGTTGGCTTTTTGAGATAGACTCATTCTGTAACCCAGGCTGGCCTGGACCTTACAGAGATCTCCTGTCTCAGTAATCTCAGTACTGAGACGATGGGTATGTACCACCCCACCTTGCTCAGCATTGCTACTTCATCAAGAACTAAAGTGGAGTCTTAAAAGATACAAGACACCCAGGTCTGTTTAGCCACCCACATGGCAGTGCAAATATATTTATTTGTCTACAGAAGATATATTTGAGGTCATTGCTAGTTATAGCAGGCCAAAGGAGCTAAAACATTAAACCTGATGCTTGTGTGTTTTCTTCTGTATTAGTGTGTGTGTGTGTGTGTGTGTGTGTGTGTGTGTGTGTGTGTGTGTGTGTGCGTGCTCTTGGGAGTCAGGGAGAATGTGTGTATCTGGGTATTGAACGCTGAGAGGACTAAATTGCCAGTCATGAGCCAAAGTCAGGTGTCACAAGATGATGACCCTAGCAAATGAGTTTCTCAGGGTTTTGTTTTTTTGGTGCAGTTTTATAAGGTCCTGTTAGGGGTAACAGCAAGCTGCATGTGATGCCCAGCTGTGTACACCTTCCTAGCCAGCACCAGCATTATCCCCTGGCCCGGTGGACTGTGTTGTCCGAGTTCTTTTGAGCATTATTGCATTTCTCATTACTTGCCTCTCTTGTCTACAGACAAGCTGCCTGGGATGTGGAGAAATGGGTTGCTAATGTGTGTTTTATGGCCAAAGTTTTATCCCTTACCAGGGTCCTCCGTCAGGTCAGCTTTTCACCTTACTTATTAATCCTCTCCATCACTGGGCATAGTGGGTATGTGATTTAGCTTTGTGGTCACTGTTGATTCATACCCTGGCCTTGCTAAAGACTTAATACTAATTGTGTGGATGTTGTCAGTGGTACCTTGCTTCCCTGGCATGTGCAAGGCCCTATGTTCACCCCCACCACTGTGGAAACAAAACAAAAACAAACAGAACAAATGAACATACACAACAATAAAAATAAAACCTGTGACCAAGGGCAAGTTAACCCTTCCCATTCCTTAAGGTGGGGCCCCTCACATCTCTATAAGTGAGATAATGAATGCAGCAGGCTTACACCTGGCTTTGGTGAGGACCCTCCTGGGTGGGACTGTGGGGACCAATTACTTACTGATGGTTTGTTTTGTAATACTCGGGCTTGTGTAGAAACCAAGAGTGTGTTAAATCAAAGACACAGGTGGTCACTTCAGATCTTGAATTTCTCCTCAGACCTGCTAGCAATATGTGTTCTCTATGGCTTTCAATGACAGCTTATCCCCCACCCCTACCCCCCCAAAAAAAACTGGCTTAAGTTTTTCAGGACCATAGCAGTTTAGGCTTGCAGAGTTTTGAGGGTGTGCCCTACAGGCTTGGATACAGAAAATCTGTGCTTTTCATGGCCATTGTCCTGCTGGGTGTGGCACTTTAGGTAATTGCTGTTGCTTGGTCCTGGTCCCTTTCTTCTTCTGGTGGTCTGTGTTGCCGATACCATCCTTTTCTATACAGCACAGTGAGGCTTGTAGCCATTACTGCCTCTAATGACATTTCTCTCTCTCCTAGTGATGGATATTACTGATATCATACATGGGAAGGTGGATGATGAGGAAAAGCAGCATTTTATTCCCTTTCAGCAGTAAGTATCTGGCATTTATCCCGGGTGACTTGAGGTTCAGGTCAGCCACTCGAGTGGGGGCGTGAATGCAGAGGCAGGAACCTTTTGTTATTGGAGAAGGAAAGGCTTCCCTGCTGGAGGACTGTCGGCTGGGACCTCTGCAGAGTAATTTATTCAGGGGGGCTTCGTGTTGCACTCAAAGAGGGTCAACTGAGCATTCCTTGACTCAGTGAAATAACTGGAAGAATCTAAATAAAGGGCACACATACGTCTGCACTAGAACCCAGAGGATGACATCATTTAATTTCAGAGATGCTGCAACGTGTCTGTCTTTTGTTGTGTTGAACAGGTTTGAATAAGACTGGATGATGCACGTGAATTGTCAGAACAATCTTGTTAGAATGAGCATTTGTTTTAGTGGGTCTGGCTTCGTCCAACCAGTTCTGAGTGTTGTTAAAGAATGGCACTGGTCCAGGGACCACACTTATAGCAGCAAGGGTTTAGGCAGGATGAGTATGAGGCTGGCTAGGGTTCTTGCAAGGAATTGGCACAGTCTGGTACGGGGCAGGGTCAGCTCAGAACTTGACCTAGGGCTCCATCCTGGACTGCAGGTACAGGAGTGCTGTTCTAGGAAGGAAATAAATACCTAAAGAAATTTTATGCAAATTCACAGAGGATCAGTGAAACTTGGTTTAAAACAAAGTTCAATCTGGGGATTGACCAAGATTTAACAGTATATTAGGTGCTGTTTTGGTGTCTGTCGGGAAATCCGTATACTCATCCATATATACACTGTTACAGTGCATTCAACAGGTAAAGTCTCCTGCCACCAGACAACTGAGTTCCATCCCCAGGCCCCCACAGAAGGAGAGAACTGACTCCCACAGGTTGTGCTCTGACTTTCACATGAGTGACATGGCACACACCATATGTAACCACACATAGATACACACACAAACACACACACACACACACACAAAACAACAACAAAAAAACCCACACACACATAGAAAACCACATAAATAAAAATTTAAAGAATTAAAATTTAGACTTTACAAAGAATGTGCACCTAATTAATTGATTATGCATTTTGGTTTGGTCATGCTTTTTCTTATTTTTTTCCCAGAGTAAATGTACTATAAATAATTATATTTAAAATACAAAATTTTACTTTTTTAGTTTGAACCCTCATACCTTTGCACTGTTCTAAGTGTATATGAGTGCTCTTAATTGTTTTTAAAATATACACTTAATGGTCTTCAACCTACTTACCAACCTCTCAAAAACATGGAGGACTCAGTATTTCACAAAGTTTGGTCCTGATTCTGATGATCCAGTAACTTTGGTATCATGAACTACTGCCCCTTACACATAGGCATGACACGCATGCCCACACAGTCATGTGTTGCTCAATGAAATTCCATCTTTTGACAATTTGTGTCTTTGTGACAATATGATAGAGTATATGTGTATAGCATAAAGTAGCTACAGTGTCACTCAGTAACAGATCTCATGGGACCACCATCAAGTATGTAGCTTCTCATAGGTGACTGAAATGGGATACATGGCAGTGTGCATGTGTGTTATGTGACATATACAAATATGTTTAGACAGGTATATTAGATAAATAGATTTAATTCTTCACCAATACATTGATTTAAATTTTAAAATATACTAATGTAATAGGCAGATAAAGTATATTGAATAAATATAAATGTATAAAACAGAGTTGGGCACAGTGGTGCCTACCTGTAATCCTATTAACTTAGAAGGCTGAGACAGGAGGACTATGAATGTGAAGTTAGCCTGAAAAGTATAGTGGGACCTTATCTGAAAATTAAACATTTTGTAGAGACAGACAGGTATCATAAATGTAACATGTACATTTAACTGACATATCCATGAGTACTACTACTTTTCATATATAAACATATCAAGATTTGCATTCACAGACAAGAAATTCCATGTGAAAAATCCCTTTATTTATATTCACCTTTATGGTGGACTTCCTCAGCATTATGCCTCTCTCCCCAAATTCTGAACCACCATCCATGTGGTAGCTGTGAACCGGGAGATGGTCCCGCTGTGGAATAGTGAGTGCTTTCATTGAAGTCTCCAGGGAGCCCAGCCCTGATTTGATTACCACCCAGGGCGCAGTATAATCACGCTCGCGTTCCCCACTGCAGCCCCTGGCACGGCCTCATACTTCCCTAAGCGGCAGTGACTTATGGCTAGTGGGTTCATTTGTGAATTCTGCTTTTCCACCTGGGAGAGGCATTCAAAGAAAACAGCTCCCCATTTCCAGCCCGTGTTGCACTATGTCTTATCATTTCAAACCAGGATGTACACAGAGAAAGCTGCCTGGTAGGCAGAGAAGGCGATACCGGGGGCTGTGTTTTGGTCCTTTGACCTCTCCCTCTATGGACCTCACCTGATGTGCTCATTTCACTGAAGCTCATTTGCTGGGTGGCCATCACAATGCTAATTGTAATGTCATCCAGTGGGACAACACCTTCCGAGTGTCCTGCACACCTGCTGTATCCATGTATCAAATGCCCATGTGATGTGGGCCTCAGAGGGGAGCAGGATCCTGTGGCGCACACTGTCAGGTGGAGCTAGACCCTGGAGCCAGGTTTCCCGTCCCTTTGCTATCCCTTCAGTCCCATCCCAGCAGCTGAATCCAAGACTTCCAGCGCGGCCTCTGACTTTCACTGTCCTTGAGCACTGCATTGAACTTCAGCTGTTTTAACACTTGGCCATCGTTGACCATCCCCCACCTTTTTCTTTGCTCAAGTCATTTCTGAGACTTGCTTAGGAAGATGAAAAGGTTGTAAGAGCTAGAGGAGCAAGGTGTCTGCTGTGAGACAGTGTCTCATAGTGATACAAGAAGCAGCACCCCTAGAGCCTCAGCAGCATCACTGCCTGAATGTGTCCTGAATGAGGTGATACCCATGGACATGACAAAGTGGACCAGGAAGAGCCCACAAAGCCTCCACCCTACACAGAGAACTATGGGCAACTGGGGGGTTGGGGGCGCCGAGAGGTGGTCTTCCCCAGGGAAGAACACACCGATTGGTCGTCCAGTGCCAAATGTCAGCCTTAAAAACATATACAGATAGCATTATATGAACTGAACAGGATATGTTTAGGAATATGTATGTGCAGGCAATAATAATTCATGAAAAAAGAAGCCATGGATTTGAAGGAGAGCAAGCCAAGAAGAGTATATTGGAGGATTTGTGGGAAGAAAATGGAAGAGAGAAATATTGTAACTATACTTAATAATATACATATGACATACACACAGTGGAAAAATGAAGGGAAGAAAGTACCAGGGACAAAATTATAACAGTTTGCTTAGTTGATGTCAGCTTTTAGTTGATCCCATTTTTTAGTCTATTCCTGAATCCTTATAATCTATGATTGGGCAGCACTGCTTGCCATAAAAGAACAAGTGTCCCAAAGCCAGACAGAGGAGATGGGCTTATAGACAGAAGCAGAAAGCAAACATGGCATTAGTCACTGCAGAGTTACTTCTGCTTTAAGGCAGAAGGTAGCTAACTGGTGGGTCAGCATCAGGTTGCTTTTGTAGGTGACCTTTTGGTTGTGAATCTAGCCTTTACCAGCCGAGCCATCTCTCCAGGCCTGTAGGTTACCTTTTTTTGAGGAACTTTGTTAGCATACTTGCTGAAACCCACCTCTTTGGGGGAGTTAGGCTGTTACCTCTCCATGCTGAGGTCTTGGAAGGTAGATATTCCACTTGACCATGGCTACATTTGCGCTGTGGTGAGTGACTCCATGCTGACTAGCCTGATCTGTTGGTGGCCCGTGCAGGAACTTAATCCAGAACAACGATTTGTATTTGACATGAGAGCCCTCTGGTGAGGTTTTGTGTTTGTATTTCCAGATTGCACTCATAAGACCTCCATGTTCTCAGGTCTTGCTTCAGAGACTGTCTCTACTTTCCCACTTTCTCCTTACCTCTCCTGCCTTTCCCAGAATTGCCATGGAAACCTACATCCGCCAGAGACAGCTCATCATGTCACCCCTGATAACCTCCCACGTGACTGGAGAGAATGAGCCACTCACTTCGGTTTTAAATAAAGTGATAGCTGCAAAGGAAGTGAATCACAAAGGACAAGGTACACGCCTGCCCAGGGCGAGGGGACTTTGGCCAGGGTGGAGGGAGCATCCAGAGCACGGGCCCTGGACTGCACTTGCACCATCACTGACACCAGACAGCCTCCCCTGGACGCCACCCTCCTCAGTCGCCTCCTGCTGAAGATCCTTCCTAAAGCTATCAGGCTTGGATTTGGAAGTTCTGTGGACCAGACTTTTCCCCCATGAGTCTTTTCTTCTGCTCTCTGTTCCCAGTGTTAACTCAAAGTAAATGTGTCCACAAAAAGTGATTCAGGAGGGAATGTGCACTATGCCCTCAGTAAACTTCTTTCTTTGTATGTTTCTGAAACCAGGAGACAGAGGCGATCCAGATGGTTATCTGTTAATATGAACTTAGAGGCTGCCTTGCAAAGTTTTCAGATATTTTTCTGGAACCTCCATGTACCTGTCTTTTGATGGCTTCAGCTAAGAGAAATTCTTGTGGGAATGTTCAAATCCCAGTAGTAGGGGAAAATAGTTGTAACATTCGAAGTCAAATGCCAAGATGGCAACCGGACGTGAAAGATTTTCAAGGCAGTGTGGCCCCTTTTCACTACCCTATAACTGCTCTTTAAAATGAAAGCCATCAGGAAAATGCACTGTTTTCAGGATGTTTAGTTGCTCACATATTACAGTTATTTGGGTAAAAAGAAATAAGAGCAATAAGTAATCTGATTATTAGATTCCCCCCTTTTGCATGTTACTTTGTGTGTGCTTATTTACATATGTGTGGACACACGAGTATGGGTGTGCATGTGTGTGAATGTGGCGACCTGAGCCTTACTATTTCAGCTAGCTTACTCTGGAAACCCCCTGCTTTTGAACACTGGAATTATAGGTGGGCCATCATACCTACCTGTGATTCGTATGGGGGCTGGATGTCTAAACTCAAGTCTTCAGGCTTGCGAAGCAAGGGCTTTACATTCATAGCCATATCCCCTGCTTTTTAGAGCTTTTAATTTAAGAATATAATTTTGGTTAGAGTAGAACATGTTAGGAATAAAGGCGCATGTGGGACCTTGGTAGATTCCACAGCAGGCGAGGGACAAACATGCCAGGCAGACACAGCTTAAGTGAGAAGTTTTATTAGAAAGAGGAGGGAGGGGGGAAGTAAAGAGAAAAGAGGTAAAGAGACACAGAGACAGAGGACAGGAGGAGACAGGACAAATCCTGTCTGCCCCAGGGGGACAGCAGGAAAGAGAGCAGAAGTGGGCAGGTTTTTTTTTTTTTAAGGTCCTTTACACATGCTTGCATAGTGACTTAGTGACTTAGCAGCCATGGAAGCCTGGGCTGACCAGGGTACTGCCTGAGTGCATTCTGCCAGGCGATGGGGCAGGCCAGCATAATGCCTGATCCTTACAGAACATTCTTATACTAATGAGACTACTGTTTACATATGATTCCCGTTTTGGAACAAAACAGAAAACACTGTCATTCCTTTCTTGCTACTGAATAGAACAAGCCCTTGTCAGATGTCTTTTTTGTTCACTACAAGTGAGTGAGAGAGAGAGAGAGAGAGAGAGAGAGAGAGAGAGAGAGAGAGAGAGAGAGAGAGAGAGAGAGAGAGAGAGAGTGTGTGTGTGTGTGTGTGTGTGTGTGTGGTTTTATAACATTCTAATGTTTAAAATGCTCAAAACCAAATTTATTTTGGTTGGGTTTTGTTTCTTTTTGACAGCTGAGCAACTCTTCATTCCATAAAGTACTGTTAGTTTTCTGACTTCTCAGCAGGAGAGCTTGGGTTTATAGATAGAGAAGGAAGAGGGAGAGAGGTTGGGGCAGTCAGATTATTTGTAATGTGATGAGTGAAACAGAGGGAGCACCATCCCGTGGCTCCCAGGGCCTATTTAGGACATCTGCTCATTGTCTTTCTCTGCTGATTTCTCAGAAGGCCAGATAGCAGTTGAGTTTTCTTTTAAAGCTGTAGAACTTGTCATTGAGTGACTCCATTTTAACATCTAGCCTGATGGGTTGGGGCAGGTAGCTAAGTGTCTTCTAGTGGGTCAGCGCTGTAAATTGAAGACCCCCTCCCCTTCTGTGGCTCTTTCTGTATCAAAGCTTTCTCCATGTTTAGGAGCACTGCTCAGGACTTCTGGGTTAGTGGTGGGTACAAGGTTCCACCCAGGTGAGACCCAGGCATTGCCTGTGCTGGCCCTCAGAGTGTTTATCCTGCATGCCCTGCCCTGTCTGAAAGATGGCAAGTAGACTCTGGTCCCCAAGTGTTTAAATAAGTTCCTTGAGTGTATATTGTCTAACAGCTACATGAGTTTCCTGGTGTCCCATCTCAGATTTTATAAGGAAGATAATTATTCTTCTGTCTTCTTTACGACAGTTTTTCGTTTGTGAAATTTTGCTTCTCTGTGACTTGTGTATTCATGTCACATTTCTTTGTGAGGATCGTTTGTGTCACCAATATTAATATAAAGATCTTTTATATTTTTGTATATCAAAACTTTCAGCTTATATATGGTTAATTATTTTTTCTCTTAGAATTTCTCTGGGTTAAGAAATGATTAATTCCAGGACTGGAGCAATGGCTCGGGAGTTAAAGAGCACTTACTGCTCTTTCAGAGGATCTGGGTTCAGTTCCCAACACCTACACAGTAGCTCACACCATCTGTGACTCCAGTTCCAGGGGATCTGATGTCCCTTCTGATCTCCTCAGGCACCAGGAGTGCATTTGACACACAGACATTCAGGCAGGCAAAAACACTCACACACATAAAACAAAACAAATGAGTCTTTCTTAAAAAAAGCATAATTTTTAGAGATTTAACAGCTATTTTCTTTTTTTCCCCTTTCAACATCTTCTTTGACCTGTTTATTTCTCTATTATCTTAGCAATTTACCTTAATTAAAATGTAAGATGTTAAGTTGCTTCTGGTTTTAGTAGCAAGAAAAAAATATTTTTGAAATTAGTTTTTAAAAGATACTTATTTTCATATATGTCTGTATGTGTACGAGTTTCTGCCACATGTATATGTTCCCACAGAGGCCAGAAGAAGGTACAAGATTCCCTGGGAGTTACAAACAGTTGTGAGCTGCCCAACATTGGTGCTGGGATTCAAACTGGGCCCTCTGAACAACCAGCAAGTGTTCTTCATTGTTGCTCTCAGAGTCTGTGCTACTAGTGCCATTTTTAGGAAGTGACCTCCTGTGCTGGTCTTTGATTCATTTTGACTTGTGCTTGGGGATAGATATGGATCTATTTGCATTCTTCTACATGTCGACATCCAGTTGTGCTAGCACCAATTGTAGGTGTTCTTAATCATCATGCTATCTCTCTAGACCTTCTGAAACTCATTTCTTTATTCACGATTTTTTTTCTGCCTCTGCCATCACTTATTAAACTGCCATGTGTTGTGTATGTATGTAATCCCACAGTTTCCATTGATTTCTGTGTCTTTTTTGGTACTACCGCCACGTGATATTAGATATCATCCCCCGAAGTCATCCATATCTGTTGGCTTCTCAAGTAAGCCCCCTGGTGAGTCTGAAGGAAGTATCATTGAAATGATGTTACCCTGGGAGGATTATATGTTTATCATGAGGTGTCTGGTTGGTCTTACACAAGCTACTATATGTGTGTTGCAAAGATCATAACAGAGAACAAGAAACTTGTCCTTTTTTCCCCCTCACAGGTCTTTGGGTGTCCTTAAAGTTACTGCCAGGTGACCTCACCCAGGTGCAGAAGAACTTTTCACACCTAGTGGACAGATCAACAGCAATAGCTCGGAAAATGGGCTTTCCAGAAATAATCCTGCCAGGTACACACTTTGCTGGAGTCCTGTTTTATGTTTCTTTTCCATGTCGGAAGGAAGGATTACCTCTGTTCAGACAGTTGAGGCAATGTGGGTCCCTAAGAGGACATCATTTAGCGTTAACAGCATCAAGAAACTGGTGACAGAGAGTTGCAGCATCCTAAAACCTTATTCAATGGGCAAGACCAAGAAAACACCTTGAAGTACCGTGCAACATTTTCAACTCACTCTTTCCCATCCTGTTCCGCACACATGCTTCCTAAACCTGACTTCTTTCTCAGGAAGCAAATGGGGATCCAGTGTCTTCAGTCCAGGAAATTAACTTCTTCATTGGCAAGAGCTTTTTCTCCTCGTGTCCCGGATATGTTGGGCTCTGCTCCATCTGTGAGATGCTGTGTTCTACTCCCATGTGCTCTTAACTGTGCTCTGCTCTTCCATTCTGGACTTCTCCATTCTTGTTCTGCTCTCACCTTTGACCATGTCAGTGACCTGCAGTTGTATTCTCCTGAGTTCGATGACTTCACCCATTTAATTCTCTCGTATCCATCATAGTCAAAGGGAACATACTCTGAGGAACTTGATGAATAACCATATGAACTAATTGGTAGTAATGAGACTTGTGGACAGCCAGTCATACCACATTTGAAAATTCTAGAAAACCAACTTGCTGTGTACTCCCTGAGAACAGATCTTTTGACAGTGAGTGGGATCTTTTTTCACCTTTAGGAAGCTAAGGAGCAGTAATAGTTGGTTTTACACACATTGCCTGAGAATGAAGGGTATTTTAGTGAATACTCATAGAATGAATGAATAAGAGTTTCTGTAAAAGAGAGGTTTTTGTTTCTTCTTTTTTCATAAAAGCAGCTCCATCTATTGCAAAACTCTGACTGTAAACTCACTAGCATTTGAGGGAAACATTTTGCTTTTTGTATCATTTAGTTTTGTTTTTGAGACAAGTTCTCACAGTAAACCCAGGATGCCCTGGAACTTGAAGCAGTCTTCCTGCCTCAGTCTCTGGTTGCTAGAACTACAGCCGTGAACTACTACACCCTGCTGTCTCACAGTTAAAACAAGTAACTATTGATGATATTCTCTTGTAACGGCAACTGTACTGTTAGGCAAGACAGGAATCTGAAAATTGGGAAATGTACTTTTTAGACAAGCTGACTTTATCTTGGAGACATTGAAAGACTTTCTGTCAGCAGGATTGACTCAGGGTGCCAGGGCTGTAATGAGCTTTTAAACTCTGTGTAGGGCAGTGGTTTCCATGCTACTCTGTGGATCAGCTCTGTAAGATCCCCTCAGGGTCTCTACAGTGCACAAGTGCATGGGTTCAAGATAACACTCTTTGGTGGAACACTTGCTTAGTTAGCATAGATGAGGCCTGGGGTTCCCTTCCTAGCACTGAAGAAGAAAAAACCAAAAGACTGTCTAGCTTCATCCAATCCATGGTGTCTGTTATCTGACCACTGTGGAGGGTGAGTCAGGAGTCTGGAGTTAAGGTCAGCCTGAGCTGACACTGACTTTTGTCAGGCCCCTTCTGTCTTCCTTAGTCATTCTTCAGTGTCTTGTCCTTAAGCTCTGCTTAGGGCTGTCTTACAAACATTACAGTAAAGGGCCCCTGACAGTGGAGATTTGCTCCTTCATGGTCCCGGAGGCTGCATGTCCAAGACCAAGGCATTTGCATGGATGCTTTTCCCTAGACTTGCAGACAGCCATCTTCCTCTCTGTCTGTGTTCTCATCTCCTTTTATGAGGACACCGGTCATATTAGAAATGACCCAATTTTACTTTAATTACCTTTTAAATAAATGACCTATCTCCAGATATAGGCATCCTGAAGGCCCTGGGGCTTCAACATATGAATGGAGAGAGGCATAGTTCAGCCCATAATAGGTTAGCTTTCTTTGTCAACCATATTCTGTCCCCGGTTGATAGTGTACACTCATTTGACTTATATCTATCAATGTCTTTTTGTCCCCATCTTTAGCACCAAGACTTTTTGGACTTCAGGCCATTTACTTCCTCCATCAAGACCCTGGCTTACTCTTTACACCCTACCCCACCCACAACTAGCTCACTCTCTTCTTCCCTTTTAATGCTCACAGTGGGACTGTCTGTCCCTGAGAGTGGACTGCTGGTCTTCCTGGGCTGTGTTTCCTCAGGAACGAAGCATGCCCACACCCAGCTAGCTGAAGAAACAAGAACCCTGGAAGATACTATTAAAAATCTGCTGGGTAGCCTAGCAAAATATAATATATACTTTTTATCATGTGATAATATGTGACAAAGAATTACTATTGAAAGAATCGGATGCCTTAGGTGGCTTCGTAATTAAAAACGTTTGCTGCACAACCCTAATAGCTTGTAGAATTCACATAAGAAAGCCAGGTGTAGTGTTCTCACATCTGTTATCTGTTATCCCAGCAGCCTACAGCAAGATGAGAGAAAGGAGAATTGCTCAGAAGCTTGTGAGCGCAGGACAGCAGTAGAAATAGCAAGAGACGGTAGTGGCGCACGCCTTTAATCCCAGCACTCAGGAGGCAGAGACAGAGGCAGGCGGATCTCTGTGAGTTCGAGACCGGGCTGGACCGACAGCCCCAAAACAATACAGAGAAACCCTGTCTCGAAAAAACCAAAAAAAAAAAAAAAAAAAAAAAAAAAGAGAGAGAGAAAGAAAGAAAGAAAGAAAGAAAGAAAGAAAGAAAAAAGAAAAAAAGAAATAGCAAGAGAGACACTGCCTGGAAAGGAGCATGAAGTAGGAAAACTGACTTCAGAGAAGTTGTTCTCTGACCCCCTACACCCATGCTGTGACATTCACATGTACATGTATGCATGTATGGGTGTGTACAGTAATTAAAAAAACTTAATCTTTATGAAACATGTATGTCACAGACGTCTTGGTATGTAGTGAAAAGTGGAATGAGAGCTCAGTAAAAGACTTCTGTGGAATAAATAGATCATTACCACCAGATCATTTCCTATTTAATTTACCCTTTGTGTGTTGTATCATGGCACTTTGAAATGCATTCTCCCAGCAGCACTCACTGGAGGCTTGTCATGTTGCAGGAGATGTTCGAAATGATATTTACGTCACCCTGATCCACGGGGAGTTTGACAAGGGGAAGAAGAAGACACCTAAGAACGTGGAGGTGACCATGTCAGTGTTTGATGACGAAGGCAACCTTTTAGAGGTATGTAGCATCCCCCACAAATGCCATCGCCATTGCACCTGTTCTGTAGTGGGAGCCGACTGCTGTTCAGACTTACTGCCAGTGTTCCGCATATTGGGGTTTAGTTCTTCTGTTCTGGGGTTTTGTTCTTTGGTTTGTTATTACTAGGTAGCTGAGGCTGCCTCAAAGATGTGATTCCTCTGTCTCTACCTCTGCCTTCTGGGTGCTGGGATTATACAAATGCACCAGCACAGCACACTGGATGTTTTCTCATCAGGAATATATATATATATATATATATATAGATATAGATATAAAGTCTGGTAAACCCGTGATTTTTCAGTGGCCAGTTTTACTCGTGGAGCCATTTAGATTCATTTTGGTATTTCCCCTGTGCAGAGATACTACAGGGCACTTAGCATTTCTTTGATGTTTTCAAGCCATGTAGCTACTCCAAACTTGAGCACAGTGGCAAAAGTGTCCCAGAGGCCTCGAAGGCACAGTGCCATTACCTGGGCCAGTAGAGCCCACAGACACCCACCTGAAGGAGCATCGTGAAGCTAATGGATGTAGGCCAGCATTAGTCATTAGGAACCTGAGTGGAGTTCTCTTGTGGGGAAACACAGACTTGAGGCAGGGCCAGAAGGGGAACCAGGTGCACTGACTTCCAGTCCAGAGTTCCTGTGACTCTGGTAGCTTTCTAGCCATGTAAGCAAGGACATCTTCACTTTGATTTCAGAGGGGCAGGAGGCACTGGGTGGCCACAGGAGGTCTCTGCCTGTCGCCCCCCACCTAATTACTTTGGGATCTACAAGTCAAAGTCTAGGCCCCTGAAACTCTCTAGATGTCCTGGGATGATGCTCCCCAAATATTCAGTCCTTGTGCATAATTTAACAATTATGTTTCTTTAAAGCAGGAAACTCTACATTCAGTAAAAACACGGCAGTTCAAAGCATGCAGTTCTTGGGGCGGAGGGGATAGAGGTGGTGTTTGTTGGTGTTGTGCATGCTGTGTACCACATGCACCTGCTGCGTGTTCAGATTCAAGGCTGCAGAGAAGTCTCCCAATGCAGTGTGAATGAGTGTTGCTAGACTCTTCTCAGATCCACTGCACTTCCGATTCTGAGTTAATTTTCGGCTGTTAGACATTCAGAAACCTTTTCCTATAGCCGTATTTTTCTTGACCTAGTATCATCTCCTAATTGTGTCTTTCCAACCAAAGAAAGCCATTCATCCTGGTGCTGGGTACGAAGGCGTCTCGGAGTACAAGTCAGTGGTGTATTACCAAGTCAAGCAACCTTGTTGGTACGAGACCGTCAAGGTGAGAACTCTGTTTCTGGGCTCCTTCAGCTGTGGACCCTTGTTGAGATTCCCGTCTGCCTTTTAAACCCCAAACCCTTTTTACCTTATCTGGAATTTCCGATAAGCTGTAGTAAGAGATGAGCAATGGGGTGGGTGGTGTGGGGGTGGGGGTATAATCAAAATCCATTGTATGAAGTTCTCAAGGAACTAGCCTTTTGAAAAGCTGACTTGGTGGTTAAGAGTTCTTTAGAGCATCTATTTTTGAGAAGCCCAGCATTCTGAAAGAATACTCTCATTCATAAATACAGAGAGACTGGAATCGAGAAACTTGTGGCTGCAATAAGGCGGTAGGCGGCCAAGATGCTGCAGACAGGCAAAGATCTCGCACTCCGCCCTCAGCTTCCTAATGTGGTGTTCTTGTTGGCCTCTGCTCACGCGTTCTGGGTCTCTTCAGTGTGAAGAGGGTTTCGTGAATTGTAGAGTGCTTTCTGATCCAGCACCTTCCGTGGGTTCACAGAGGCCAGTTCAGGTCTTGTCCCTCTGAATGCCAGGCGCATAATGCGTCTAAACTCTGAAAGTATGATAAACAGCAGAATGGTCTCCCTCTCTGATGTTTTCGACTTGAGAATGGCCATGTGAATGAAGCCTGCTAGCAAGCCCCAGTCTCTGAAGGAACTTTTGCTGAGATAAAATAGAGATAAAATGCTAAAGCCAAGTCTAAGTCCCTTTTTCTCAGAGTAGTTAAGAGGGAGGACTTTGAATACGGCCACTCCTAGCAAAGGGCAAAAGCTTCAAGCAGTAGACACGCTATTATTCTGGTTGGAACAGTTGCAAAATGTGTGCAGAATCAAGGCATCGTGCTGCACCCTGCAAATGCATATGGCCCTGGGTCAGAAACATGCATTGCAGTTGAGAGGAACTGATCCCAAGTAGGCCTTGGCTTCTGACTCCTCCCCTTTCTGCAGGTCTTCATTCCTATAGAGGAGGTCACACGCTGCCACATCAGATTTACCTTCCGACACAGATCATCCCAAGAATGTAAGTGGTAGGATGGCTGCAGCCTGTTTCTGTTTTAGAACTAGCTGTTTCCTGACGTGCTTTGTGCATTTGAAAAGGTGAAAAATTTGGCAATTTTATCTCAGAATTCATACAGTATCGGGAAAATGAATAGTGTGGGGTTTTGTTGTTGTTGTTGTTGTTGTTTGTTTGTTTGTTTGTTTGTTTCTGAGTACTGGGGATTGGATCCACAACCCTGTGCATGATGGTGTGTACTCCGCCATGAAGGTACAACCCTAGTCATCCCTGCTTATTTTTGAGATAGGGTCTCAATATGTAGCCCAAGGTGGCCTCAAGCTTGTATTCTTCTTGCCTCAGTTTCTCAGGTAGCTGGAGTTATGAGTATGAGTCACCACACCCAGCTTCATTAAAGGGGTTGAGGCAGGGGGTTTTCCATGAATGAGTCTTATTTGAGAGTCCTCCCTCCTACTGTGTGGAGAGAGTGCTGGATGAAAAAAGGCATGAAGATAGAACGACTCAAAGAGGTAAACAGATAGGGTGAGCATTCCTTGGCCTTGGGTAGGAACAGGGCCCAGAGACAGAAAGGGATCACACTGTATAGGTATGCTAGACATGACATTGATTGACAGGCCTGAGATTGGTCAGCACCACAATTCTGGTTTGGATGACTCAGTAGATGGTGGTCTCCTTCATTAGGCCATATAGAAACTAGCCCATGTGTGAAATGTCAGTCATTTGCAGTTTGGGAGCAGCCGTGACAGTGACACAGCCAAGCTTACTGCTCACCTGTGTTTATTTTCCTGTGGTTGAACATCATTCCCAGAGCAAATGCCGTCTCCTCCTGATGTCCACCTACATGACTTAGACATATATTTTTGTCTTTTCAGCCAGAGATAAATCAGAGCGAGCTTTTGGGGTGGCTTTTGTGAAACTGATGAACCTGGACGGCACGACCCTGCAGGATGGGAGACACGATCTGGTGGTATACAAGGTGATGTTCACAGAACCAGACTTAAGAAGGGCTCAGTGCACACCTGTTCCCTGTGAATGTGGTTTTTGGGCTTGTTTGGGATTTACATGCATTAGCTTCAGAAATCTATTCAAAGTTACATGTGTCTGCCCTCTAAAGTCTAGAGGGTTCCAGGTCACACCTTAATGGTTTTGCGCTCTTGGGGGAGAGTGGGTTGCATGGCTGTTGAGTGTTCTAGGAGCATCGCACTGTAGGGCAGCGGGTGTGCCTTGGTCCTGATTAGTAAAGGGCAAGGCCCTTGATTCTGCTGTCCATCTTCCGAATGACACAGACAGTGGATAGCCATACCTGGAGAGAACCTGGAGGTATGATAGGATGTGGTTTTTGTACATGGTAGCCCAGGCACCATTTTTGCTGTCTGGGCCATGCCTGCTGTTTTTCCCATTGGTGCTCATTCCCTGCTCACTGTTCTGAGCCCTACACCTACTGAGATTTTAGAGTTTAATGTCCTTGCCGGGAGATCTCACTCAGTTCCCCAGGAACATTTAGTAGATGGCGACCGATGCATAGTAGACAGCTCATCTGAATTGTGCCTCACCAATGATAATTTTCTTTCCTTAGCGTGTCTTAATAGTTTGAAAATCCATAGGGAGCTACTTCTTTCTCCAGAGTCCCGATGAAGTACACACTTGACCATTTATAAGTTCAGGAGACTCAAACTCTACCTTATTCTGTAATACATGTATTTACTTCTGGCAGGGAATAGGTTCTGATTTCTAGATCATAACTTACTGCTTTATTATTCCATGATAAAGTTATTTCTTCTGTAAATTGTGTAGGTGATAATGTCTAAAGTATAGGGGATAATAAATATAATTTGACAAAGTCACACATCCCCTACTCAGAATGACTGTGTCCTTCTCGGAACAGGTATGCCTCACTAGCACTTGAGAGACGTTACCTAGCTTCTCATCTTTCTAACTTGTTTCCATTGCAGGGTGATAATAAGAAAATGGAAGATGTAAAATACTATCTGACCCTGCCTGGGACCAAAGCAGAGTTGGAAGAAAAAGAACTCCAAGCATCTAAAAACCCATCCGTCTTCACACCCAACAAAGACAGCACGAAGGACAGTTTTCAGATTGCCACCCTTATTTGTTCTACAAAGCTCACCCAGAACGGTAGGTGTGGGGACCATATGGACACAGATGACGCGGGGCTGATCCTCCTTGGCTCCTTGGTTAGACTCATGGTGCGGGAGCATGTGGCACCAGGTCTTCTGAAGCAGGATGCTTGGCAGTTGGATTCTGCCCTCTGCTCACCCAGTGATGTTCTACAGTGCTGTTAATTACTTCTTCAGGGGCTCTCTAGCAACGTGCTTGACAGGAGCAGCTTGTGTAAGGAAAGTGTATTTTGGCTTGTAGTTAAAGGGTACAGCCCATCACAACAGGGGACAACACAGGAGCACGAGGCAGCCGGTCACCAGGGAGCAGAACGTGGTGAATGCTGTTGCTCAACTTCCTTTCTGCCTTCTGTTGAGCTGGAGACCCTAGCCGATGCAGTTACTGCCCACATTTTAAGTGGGGCTCCCATCTCCATTACCACAGTCTAGAACTGCCTCACATTGTACTCAGAAGTTTGTCTCCTTGGCGACTCCATCCTGTCAAGTTGACAAAATAATCTGCCATCACAAATGCTTTTTCGTATCCGAAAACCTAAGCATATTCATGAATTGGTGGAATTGTGAAATCTCATGTTTGTTTGTTGCAGTAGACGGTGCAGTGAAGGTCAGTAGTAAGGATTGGGTTATGACAGTAATCAATCTCTTGCCCAAACAGGAATGGTAGAGAGCAGCTTGTTTTTATTACATTTTTATTTTGAACAGGGTCTCACTATATAGCCTACACTGGCCTAGAACTAGTAATAATCCTCCTGTCTCATTTTCCCAAGTATAAGTCCCTACACCCAGCAGAGTTCCTCTTTCTCCTAGTCTTCCCCTTCCATTGCTCCAGGGAAACAGGAATTTTCCGTGAAATCAGCAGCATAGTTTAAACAAGTCTCCATTTTGTTTCTTGTCCAACCTCCGGCATCCACTTCAACCTGTGTCACATAGAAGGAGTCCTGATGACCAACGAGCCCAGAATGCCCTACTGCCCAGGGTCCTGCCTTAGCAGGTCCGTATCTGTCCCAGGTGGTATGCACAGGGTCAGGCCTTTGAGCATGAGGCTGATTTGGGTTGGAGCAAGAGAATCGGAGCGCTGTCATGGGAGAGTGCCCTGCAGAGGGAAGGCACACTCGGGGACTCGGATCCTGTGCTCTTTAGAAGGAGTCAGTATCGGGTTGATTTGGACAAATCATGTCTGGCTAGAGAATAAGGGTGGGGTTTCAACTTGGGCCTGTGTGCTGGACTCAACAGAGTGAAGTCCAGATCTAATCTAATTGGAAGGTGAACCCGCTTGAGATAGGAAGTGTTCTTAGCTTCACAGAAAACACAGCAAACTTGTGCCAGTCTCATAGGCTTAACTATGGGGGGAGTGGTCCCAATGTAAAAAACAGCTTTTAGATGGTAAAGGTATAGTAGTCACAGAATCTTAGTGCAGCTCCTAGACATTGAACCTGGCGCTAGTGAGCTGTGCATCAGCTCTCATCATAAGGATGTTTCCTGATATTTACAATGTGGACACACTGGAAGCAGCCCAAATAGCTGGTGGCTGCAATCCATTTCAATCTGAGAGTTTAATTGAATAATAAAATGAATGTGGCTACTGAATTCATAGGCACGGGAAACCACTTCCTAAATAGAACACCAGTAGCACAGACACTGAGAGCAACAATGAATAAATGGGACCTCTTGAAACTGAGAAGCTTCTGTAATGCAAAGAACATGGTCAGCAAGACAAAACGACTCCCTACAGAATGGGAAAAGACCTTCACCAACTCCACATCTGAAAGAAGGCTGATCTCCAAATTATAGAAAGAACTCAAGAAACTAGACTTCCAACTACCAAATAATCCAATTAAAAAATGGGGTACAGATCTAAACAGAATTCTCAACAGAACAATCTCAAGTGACTGAAAGACACTTAAGGAAATGCTCAACATCCTTAGTCATCAGGGAAATGCAAATTAAAACAACTCTGAGATTCCATCTTACACTGATCAGAATGGCTAAGATCAAAAACACCAATGACAGCTTATGCTGGAGAGGATGTGGAGTAAGAGGAACACTACTCCACTGCTGGTGGGAGTGCAAACTTGTACAGCTGCTGTGGAAATCAGTGTAATGATTTCTTAGAAAATTAGGGATCAACCTACCTCAAGACCCTGCAGTACTACTGTTGGGCATATACCCAAAGGAAGCACATTCACACCACAAGGACATTTGCTCAGCTATGTTCATAGCAACATTATTTGTAATAGCTAGATCTTGGAAACAACCTAGGTGCTCCTCAACTGAAGAATGGATAAAGAAAATGTGGTATATTTACACAATGGAGTACTACTTAGTGGTAAAAAAAAAAAAAAAACAATGACATCCTAAAATTTGCAAGCAAATGTACAGAACTAGAAAAAAAATCCTGAGTGAGGTAGCCCAGAACCAGAAAGACAAATATAGTATGTACTCACTCATACCTAGATGTCAGACATAAAGCAAAGATACCCAGCCTACAATCCACAACCCCAGAGAAGCTAGAACCCTCTTCTAGAAACAAATGGAAGCAGATGCAGAAATCCACAACTAACCAATGGGCCAACCTCCTGGAGTACAGTCAAAGTGAGGGAGGAGTGAAAATATGAACAGAAGAGTCAAGACCATGATGGAGAAACCCACAGAATCAGCTGACCTGAGCTAGTGAGAGATCATTGACTCAGGTCTCATAAATGGGGATCCTGCATGGGAACGAACTAGACTCCCTTAATATAGGTGACAATGGTGCGGCTGGAACAATATATGAGGCCACTGGCAGTGAATCCAGGATCTAACTAATGCACAAACCGACAGTGAAGCCCATTCTACATGGAACGATACCTTTCTCAGCCTAGACACAGGTGTGTGTGTGGGGTGACGAGGTGCCTTGGTCTGCCTCAACAAGATGATGGGACAGACTTAGTAGACTTCCTAGCCTTACCCTCTCCAAGGAGCAGATAGGAGATGGGGAGGAGTTAGGGAGTGGAAGGAGAGGAGGGAGGGGGAGGAGAGGAGGGAGGGGGAGCTGGGGTTGGAATGTAATAAATAATAATAATAATAATAATAAAGAAAATAAATGTAAGGGAAAAATAGTGAATGGCATGGTAAACGTGTTACTCTCTGCATGTGTTTCAATGCGTGGAAGCTAGTTAGAACTGGATTGCCTGTCAGTCCCACCTCTGCAATGACTTCCTGTGATTTGGTTTCCCTGTCTTTTAAACAAGAGTAACAAACAGTACATGTTGAATATCCCTTGTCTGGAATACTTGGGACTAGAAATACTTTGGATTTTAGATTTAGAGAAAATATTGGTATGCATGGAGTATGTTATTCTGGGAGAAGTCTAATGAAATTAGTTTGTTTCTGCATTTGTTAGCTCTCATGTTTAGAGTCAGATCAAGCTATAGTTAAACCCCATTCCTGCTACCCCTTGGTAGTCATGTGACCTAAAGCAAGTGATTTAGTGTCGCAAACCTGTATTTCCTCTGGAAAACAAAATGCCTACAGTACGGTTGTGATGTCAAAGTGAACTGATGTGTCTGTATGTCTGTATGTTGCTCCTTCCCATGAATCTGCCTAGACATGGATATCAGTCAGACAGGAAATTGGAGACGGAAGTCTAAGTTTACTTTTATATTGATGATGTCATCATTTGAGAAACACAAGCTCCAGTCAATCTTCATTTTATGTTTTTGCACATCAGTAACTGATTTTTTTTCCTTCTCTGAGGGACTAAAGAGGACTAGAGATTTTCTCTGGTTTATATGAGAAATAATAAATTGCAGTAACACCCGGCTACTCCTTAAATTAGCCACTATGAAGAACAGTTAACTTTTAAAAATCTTTGTGACTGTATAATATGCATGTGTTCATGTGTGTGCAGGCAGGCATGTGCTGCATTGCACACGTGTAGGTAGGTCAGAGAACACCCTTGGATGTCACCTTCCTTCTTGTTTGCGACAGGGTCTTGTGTGTGCCACTGTGTAAACCAGGCTGGCTGTCTCATTATAGGAGCCCTGGGGGTTTCAGATATGCACTGCTGCAGCCAGCCTTATGTGTTCTAGAGGTCCACATTCACACCTTTATATTTGCGTGATAAGTTCTTTTACCCCCTGAGCCGTTTCCCCAGCCTGGCAGCAGTGATCTGTTCTGGAAAATTCTATAGCTATGTGTTCTAATGTCTGTGGTTTGTTCTCCCCAGTGGACCTGCTCGGCTTATTAAACTGGCGTTCCAACTCTCAGAATATTAAACACAACCTGAAGAAGTTGATGGAAGTGGATGGGGGAGAGATTGTTAAGGTATGCCTCTCTGTGTCCATAGCCTCCAGTATACCTTACTGTGTCGCTAGTTCAACCATTTCTGTTAAGCCAACCGGAGATCTAAACTCAGCGTCTGCATGACTAAGCCAGTGTGCCAATCTTACCAAAGTATTTATTCACATCTATTCTGTTAGAACACAGTGACAACCCACTTTCTCTACAGCATGTAGCAGGATGAAACCCAAATAACATCTGTTTCTTTTACCTGCAGTTTTTACAGGATACACTAGACGCACTTTTTAACATAATGATGGAGATGTCAGACAACGAAACATACGACTTCCTTGTGTTTGATGCACTGGTAAGCAGTTTAGCTTATTAACCAGTGTTTATTCTTTGATAGCTCATTTTTACAGTACCATGAATATCATCAAGCAAAATTACATCTCTCTGAGAATTTCTTTAGCCTAAACTCTGAGAAGTTCGATTAGGAACCAAGGTCATCTCTTCCAGGCTCTTATTTTCTATTCGATCTCACCTTTTTTTTTAACATGCTTTCACTTTCTCATTAGGGAAATCAATGGGTTTAATTACATTAGAGATTGGCAGGCACTTGAACTTCTTTTGTCACTCTCTAGTCAAAGCCCAGGAGTTGCCCTTGATAATGAACGATGTACATATGTCCTTGTCCGGCTGTGTCAGGGGGCTGCATTCACCAGTCTGAGATGAACCTTAGTGTCCTTATGAGCCATTGGCAGCTTAGCAGTCATTTGTCACTCAGCGCTTAAACCTATTCTAACAACTGAAATCAGAACAGTGATGTATAACAGTGGGAAGTTGCGAAAGGCAGGGGATGTCTGGGAACAGGAGGAAGCAGGCGTGCTTAAACCACACCTCTTTTCCTCACTGTTAACGGGAGTCTAGGACAGAATTTTACCTGAAGATTGGGTCTAAACGGGTAGGTAGATTGCAAATGTGTGATGTTTGCCAGCATGGGCAAACTAGTCTTTTTTAGCAGCAGGTCAGGGCATCAGAGCTAATGTTGGAAGATGGAGCCAGGCAATGCTACCATCTTGAACTAAGCTCAGTCAGTCAGGGTCTGGTTTGTGGGGAAAAGAGGCCAACTAGAGACCATGGAGATGAACCCTAACTGAACAGGGCAGCTGTCTGGGCATAGATGGCATTTCCAAGTGCCTCTTTAATACACATTTACCCTTTATACACTCCATAGACATCAGGTGACACATAGAGAAGAAATGGGGAGACCAAACTCTGGCATTCACGAGATATTCATTCTCAGCTTGGGGAAAAATCTCATGAGACATTGCATTAGTTTATAATTCCCACACACTACCTTTGCTGTCTTCCTTCCCCGTCTCCTGTTGCTCTTCTGTGCCTTAAGTCACCTGTGCACCCTTTTGTGACATTAGCTGCCCACGGCCAATGGTGATGGCCTGGATCAGTTTACCCATAGCAGTATGCTGGACACAAATAATCTGTCTATGTTAAATATAAGCCCTAAGACTTCAGCTTCAATAGAAATGCTGCAAAAATAATCAAAGAAAAGGCACCTAGAGGTGAGAGTCTTGCTGGTGGGCAGAGCATCTGGCTGTGCAGTGCTGCTGTTAACGCTGGCCACCTTTGGCAGGTCTTCATTATCTCACTGATAGGAGACATCAAGTTCCAGCATTTTAACCCTGTACTTGAAACCTACATATACAAGCACTTCAGTGCCACGCTGGCACACGTGTAAGTATGACTCGGGGACTGGTGTGTTGTTGGGGTTGTTCCCGGGGTTGGACCGTTGAGAAACAAGAGAAGCCTGCATGCAGTCAGTGTGCATGGAGGGTGGGACTGTGTTCTGAGCATCTTCCTGGAAAGAGGCCATTTGGATAATGTGTCAGTGGAAGGAGGTGTTGGACTCAGGCCTTTCCTTCAGGATAAGAATGCATTTCTTCAAACCCCAGAGTGGGGGCTAGGGAGATGCTACAGTCAGCAAAGTGCTTGCTGTGCAAGTACAGGGACCTGGGTTTGATCCCTGGGACCCAACTGAAAAGTGCAGCGTGGTGATGTGTGCCTCCAATCCCGGTACTGGAGATGTGGGCACAGGGGGATTCCTGGGGCTCGTTGGCCAGCTAGTTACATTGATTTAGTGAGCTCCTAATTAGAGAGAAGCTGTCTCAAAAATTAAAATGGAGAATGATTATAGAAAACACCTGATGTAGACCTCTGGCTTTAACACATGTGTGTTCACACCCATCTATATGCACATATACATGTGCAAATGTATGTATACACACAAAACTAGGAAGAAAAAAATCCAACTGCATACGATGGGGAGATGGAGACAGCCATAGAAACACATGACCAAACTCAGGAACTTATGAATCAGATGTCAGTGAGATGAACTTGAGTCCCCAAGGGGGTCCAACAATGAACTAGGCAAAACCAAGTCTGGTAGAAAGGCAGGCCACACCCTCAGCCCTACCCCACCGTGCTTTGGGGAATGGACTACTTGTGGGACATTAGGAGATGTCCTTTGTTTTCCTTTTACCCAAGTAGTTTTAACCTTTTGTGCAGAACAGCCTGCTTTCAGTATGCAGTTTGTGGCTGGCTGACCAGAGGAACAAATCTACTGTGTTCACTCTGCTTCCCCTGCGGTGCTCAGCTCCAGCGCGGTCCGCCAACCCGAACTCTGGAATTCTAGTTTATTGTGCTGAGTGATGGGACATGTTATGACAGGAATGTAGCTGGCATTGGTCAGCTGTCCCCTGGACTGTGGGTCATGCCATGTGAAAATGGAGGTTTCTGTTCCACCTAGTCCCTTAGCTGTTTAGTTTCAAATAAATACACAGATGCTATATTAATTATTAAACTGTCTGGCCGATGGCTAGGGCTTCTTACTGGCTTGCTCTCTCTTAATTATTAACCCATTTCTATTAATCTATGTATTGCCACAAGGCTGTGCCTTACTCATAATCCCATATGTTATCCCTTCAGCAGCATGGCGTCTCTTCTGGTGGCTTCTCTCTGCCTTCCTCTCCCTCGAATTCTCCTCGTCTGGTAGCCCCACCTGTGCTCCCTGCCTGACTACTGGCCAATCGGTGTTTTATTCATCAACCAATAAGAGAAACATATATACAGAAGGACATCCCCTGTCACCATTTCATATGGGTCACTGCTCTCTGATATGTCAGGCCAGATCATTGTGCCCCCAGAATGTTTTCTAAAGCAACCATTCATGAAGATAGAGAATCACAAGTCGTACAAAGGGTTGTTATGCAGCATACTTACCAGCTAGCCTTATGATCAGTGAGTGCCTCATGGGTCAAGAAGGTAGCAGGTACACCAGCCTTTGGTGTATTTCCATCCAGCACCTGACTTTCCAAGGGGTCAGCAGCTACAGCTAAGATAGTTGTAGATTATAAATCTAAGTACACTGAGCTAAATGAGACCCTTAAACAAAGTTGAATTTCTGATTCGCCTGCCTCTGCCTCCTGGGGCTGGGATTACAGATTATCCCTTTCTCACCTATCTCCTAAGGGAATTTTCAGTAGCTAAGGATGCAAGACCATAACTCAGTGCATTGACAAGGCCAGTAAGGAGCTCAGGGTCCGACACATTCCTGCCAGACAGAGGCCAGTTAGCACTCTCTTGCCTACTGCGTTTATTTGCAGCATTTGATTAATTCTTCATGTTTCCCTTGGATTTGGGGTGAATTTGAGAGGGGAAAGGGAGGGAGAGGGATTGATTTTTAAAACAAAAATAATTGAAATATAGGTGCCCTCAAAAGTCCGAGTTACCCTGGTACCATGGTTCTTGGGAGATAACTCAGTCCGTAAAGTACTTGTTCAAGGCTGAAGACCAGGGTTCAATCACCAGAGCCTAGGTAAAAAGGACCATTTTGAAACACATTTGTAATCTCACGCTAGGGAGGTGGAGATCAGATCTCTGGGGTTCACTGGCCAGCCTAATCAAAACTGTGACTTACATTCAATGAGAAATTATGTCTCAAAATACAAGCACACTGTTGTGAACACCATCTGTGGTTGGTCTTTTGCCAGCACATACATGTGCGCACACGTGCATGTACATATACAAATAATAATAAAATGTAAAGCTATGTAATATCTCAGAAGACGTTTGTCTGTTGGCATGTTCAGAACAATGGGTGATATAGAGTCAGATTGAATCTATTTTTCGTCTGACACCATGTTGATTTCAAAGGGTGGAGGCAGACTGGTAGGAATTAGCCACAGCAAACAGCATCTGTCCTTCACAGGGCATTGGAAGATGTCTTCTTTAAATGCCAGAAAATTAAAATAATCCCTGTAAGGCAGATCCCTTCAGCTCTTTGATTCCTTTTTACCCTTTCCATGTATTTGTGTATGTGTTGTGCCTCTGTGTGTGTGTGTGTGTGTGTGCCTCTGTGTGTGTGTGTGTGTGTGTGTGTGTGTGTGTGTGTGCCTCTGTGTGTGTGTGTGTGTGTGTGTGTGTGTGTGTGTGTGTGTGTGTGTGTGTGTGTACACTTGTATGCTCATCTGCATTTAAAGGCCCAAGGCTGGAGCCGGGCATTGGTGGCGCATGCCTTTAATCCCAGCACTTGGGAGGCAGAGACAGGCGGATCTTTGTGAGTTCGAGACCAGCCTGGTCTACAAGAGCTGGTTCCAGGACAGCCTCCAAAGCCACAGAGAAACCCTGTCTTGAAAAACCAAAAAAAAAGGCCCAAGGTTGATGTGAGTAGCCTTGCTGGATCACTGCTCCAAAACTTGTGGATGCAGCTAGTTTAGTTAGATGACTTGCTTCTGGGACCTCCTATCTCTGCCTCTGAGCACTGGATTGTAAATAAGCCACTAGACCCACCTGGCATTCACATGAGTTCTGGGGATCCAAACTCTAGTTCTTATGCTCACTGCTTGAACCACAATTGCTTCCACCACTGAGCCATTCCCTAGACCCAGCTCTGCCATCTCCTGAACCTTCTTTTCAGTTCCACCAATGGAAACTCGTGCCTTGAGGAATTAATTACTCCTAAGTTTTCCCAGTATTTCCAAGAAGGGAAGTGTCCGAGCTAGACAGATGTGAGACAAAACCGTAGCTAGTTTGCCTGTGTAGGGCACATTTGAGTGGGTGTTCTTGAAGGCTGGGCTTTGGGCTTCCCGGTGTATCACCATCCCTTTCTGTCCTGTATACCCTAAGGCTGGAGCACAGTGTTGCCCATAACAATATTGTGTTCTTACCATTTTTTAGGAAACTCTCCAAGGTACTGAACTTTTATGTGGCTAACGCTGATGACCCTAGCAAGACGGAATTGCTCTTTGCTGCTTTGAAAGCCTTGAAGTACCTGTTTCGTTTCATCATCCAGTCCCGAGTGCTCTACTTGAGGTAACGGTCCCAGTAACAGGATGTACTTACCTAGACCCGCTTGTTCCTCGTCTCATTTGCATTCAGCATTGTGAGAAGTTAATTGGTCATGGTATAACCAAACTCCAGGTCTTTCGAGGTGGATTAGGAGACCACTAGAGAAGGTCCACGTGAGGTCCTTCTGCATCCAGGATTCATGGGTGTAAATGGCTTGATATGCTACTTGCTCTAGAAGTCTTGATTGGTGATGATGTCGGACTTAGTTTTGTTGTTGTTGTTGTTTACTATTGCTGTGAAGAGACAGCATGACCACAGCAACTTTCATAAATAAAAACATTTAATTAAGGTGACTCACTTACAGTTCAGAGGTTCAGTCCATTATCATCAGGATGCGGAGTATGGCAGTGTGTAGGCAGATGTGGTGCTGGAGCTGAGAGCCCTACATCTTGACTCAGAGGCAATAGGACGTTGGCTGACATCCTGGGCAATATCCTGAGCATATGAAACTCTAAAGCCTGCCCCCACAGTGACACACTTCCTCCAACAAAGCCACATTGCCTAATCATGTCACTCCCTTTGGGGGCTATGTTCTTTCAGACCATCACTGTGGCCTTTAAATAGATAATAAAGGTCTAATCCAAGTGTGGTGGCAGCACTGGGAGAATTTGATTAGTGAGATAATAAACTCTGGCTTTTTAATGATGGATCATCTCACTTCCTGTGTAGAAAATGGATTGTGCGAGGCAGAGAATGAAAGGGAGTAACCACTAAGAGGCTGCTCAAGGCTGAGACATTGAGGCTCTGCCTCAGATGCAAATGGAGTGCTGGGCTGATCCAGGGGGAAGAGCTGATTGGATGCTGTAGGACTTAATGGGGCAGCAATAGGCAGAGAAGGACCCTAGACAACCGTGAGGTGAGGTGAGCAGTGACTGTGTGCTCCAACAAGACCTGGTAAGAACAGAGCAGAAAAGTTACATGTGTTCCATTGGCTGATTTTGAGCCGCCTTGGAAAGACTCAGAGAGCTTTTCTTTTTGTTCATGTGTGTATGTGGTACAGGTATTTGTACATGCATGTCCACCCAGGACATGTGTATGGAAGCCAGAGGACACTGAGTGATCCTCTCTATCACCTTATTCCCTTAAGACAGGATCTTATTGAGCCTGGAGCTCACCAGTTCTTGGCAAGCCCTGGTGGTCCTCCTGACTCAGCCCCATCCCCAGCCCCCAGTGGTGGAGTTACAAATTCATGTGGCCAAACCTGGCTTATTACATGAGTGCTAGGGATCTGAACTCATGTCCTCATGATTACACAAGTGCCTTTACCCACTAAACCATCTCCCCACCCTAAGTTCTTTTCCAATTCTTTCAATGAGTGGGTTGAAAACTACCAATTATCACCTGGCTTAATAATACGGAGTTCACACTCCTTGCTTACTATATTTCTTAACCATGATGTTGAGGACTAAAAGCAGTTATAGGTTTACAATTTGTGGGGGATTTTGGAGTATTTGAAGGCATATAATAAGATATCTTAGGGGTGGGACTGGAATCTAAACACAAAGTTCTCCTGTTTCCCATCTGTCTCATGTGCATAGCCTTAAGGTGGTTTTATGTAATTTCTAGTGCATGTACAGTTTGACTGACACCTCATGTGAGGTCAGGTATGGAACTTTACTCATGGCTTCTTGTCAGCACTCATTAAAGTTTTGGCATTTTAAAGAGTTTTTAGATTTTGGATTTTTAGAAAGCAATCCATCAGTGTGTTCAGGTGAATGATGGAGACTGACATAAATATGTACCCATGAGTACACCTGTGCTTGAGTGTGTTCATAAACTCTGATTCCCTCATACCCTCCCTTGAACACTTGGTGGATTTCATCAATGACCAGGCACATGTTCTACCCTTTAAGGCAGATTCTCCTATGCCTGGAGAAACTCCCCGGAGACCTTCTAGCATGTACTAAGGGAAAACAACCAACTCCTGAGTTGATGGTACATGTCTTATGCGGATGAGCAGAATACTTTAGTCAAAGCAGGTTCTTGTCAGTGATGTTCAGGGCACCTACAGTAGAGCAGGGCAGCAGCAGCCTGGGAGGTCCAGTGGAGAAAGAGCACAGCAACTGGGGTTTGTGGGCTAGGTTGGGGGAGCTTCTCCACAGTGCCTGTGACCTCAGCTCAGATCAAGGCTCCATGGCATGAGGCAGAAGTGAGGAAGGAAGGAGGAGAGATGCTGGAAGAGGGTGTGCAAGGCTGACTTAGATACCAGCAGAATCAGCTTTGGAAGCCTACGCCTCCTGTTCTCGCTCATGAGCTGAGGAAGGCAGGCCCGGCTCACCTGCTGGCTCTGCACAGTGATGTTCTGCTATTTTACCTCTTGCCAGCAGTGCCCGCAAACTGCTAGAGACAAACGCATCTCCAGGTCAGTCCCTTCAGACAGCTCCAGCTGGCAGTCCTGGTTAGCCAGCTATAGACCGTGTCTCAGGACTTTACCTGCAAACGACCAATTTGCACTTTACAGAGTCTTCGGGACTTTTCAGCCTTGTGGGCTGACTTTTGGTCCCTTATAAACAGTCCTGGGGTGCCCCCATGTACTGTCTTTGCACAGCTAGAGATGGTGACCAGCAAGGCACTGACCTCTAGTGTTGTCTTTTGAGACCACAAACCTACTGTAAATTTTCTTTCTTACTAGATTTTATGGCCAGAGTGAAGATGGAGATGAATTTAACAACTCGATCCGCCAGTTGTTTCTTGCTTTCAACACGTTGATGGACAGGCCTCTAGAAGAAGCTGTCAAGATCAAGGTCAGCCTGGTGACCTTGTAGGTGGCCCCTTATGGAGTTGTGACATGGCAGGAGGGAAATGTGCTCAGGGAGAACTAGAGAGGGGTAGTAGAATGGGCAGAAGAAAAGGAAAAGTGGGTAGGCTGTGGCCGTTCGATTGCTTGCCTGGCATGCAGGAGGTTCTGGGTTCTAGCCGCAGCACTGCCAAAAAGAAGCACACAGCAAAAGTAAGTACGTCCACATCTGAACTTTTATATGCATTTGTACCTTCAAATGTCAACTCACCAAAGACAGGCCCCTCCTTAGACTCCACGTGAATGGCTGTTATAAATCTTGCCTGGTCCCTTGACTTTAGCAAACCAATCCCCCTGCTGTCACAGGGGTCAGCTTCTCTTCTCTGTCACCCCCCCCCCACCACACACACACACACACACACACACACACACACACACACCACCCCTGCTTCCAGAAGTGCAGAGTCACTGCTGTGAAGCGTTAAACCCTTGAGGGCTCCAGCTTCAATGTTATTATTCCTTCCTTGCTTTCCATGTTGACTTGGTGGGAGAAACTTGAATTACCTTAAAAAAAAAACAAAACAAAACAAAACAAAAAACATGTGCTATAAATGTGCATAGCTTCCTGGTAGTGAAGACCAGGGCCTGAGCCTCCTGCGTTTTCAAAGGAAGCTGTGGGGAGGCCATTCACCAGCTTCTCATGGCAAGGGCACCAGGTCCTGCTCTTGCCTCCTGGGCTGCAGCGGTATATTCTGCCTTTGTCTTCCTTAGCACTGACTGCCTCCGTGCTTCTTCCAGGGGGCAGCTTTGAAGTACCTTCCTAGCATAATTAATGACGTCAAACTGGTGTTCGATCCCATGGAGCTCAGGTGAGTAGCAGAGCACTGTGTCTCAAAACTAACAGGAGCAGCCCTATGCTGGGCAGAGCCTGGCTGCCACACACGCTGTGTTAAGGGAACACCTATTGGTGCTCAGTTCTATGGAAGAGATAAAAGAACGCACAAAGCCACCCCCTGGGAGAGACTTGTCCTCTCGGTGGGAAAAGAAGCTATGCAAAAGGAAAAGGAGCCTAGGGATACAAAAGTACAGTGGCTCTTAGAAAGGAGACTTCCAGAAAAGGCATTTTGCAGAAGTGACGGTGAGTGTGGGTGTGTGCAACTCTCAGGGGCAAAGTCAGTTCTAAGCCAGAACCTCTGGGGAACAAGAATGTTGGCCCCGGAGATGCTCTCAAACCAAGTCTTAGGTCATCGTGAGTTTTATAGGCCCGTTTCTGCTCAGCTGTCAGAGTGGAGATGTGTAATGTTGTCTTCAGCTTGGCCAAGTGAGCACACTGACCCCAGGGCTTCTCTTCCAGCGTGCTTTTCTGCAAGTTCATTCAAAGCATTCCCGACAACCAGCTGGTCCGCCAGAAGCTTAACTGCATGACCAAGATAGTGGAGAGCAGCCTTTTCCAGCAGGCAGGTGAGTCTCCCTCAGAACCTCTATCATTTGGGGAAGAAGATGTCAGACTCCTTCCACTTGACCATATGTGTGCCAGAGTGATTTACTGTGGCGTTACAGCAAGCATTTCTGTGCCTGGTACTTATTTCCCTGTTCTCTGGTGAGTCTAGCTCAGATTAAATTAGCTCATTTTAACAAGTGACACATCCATGTAAATTGAATATGACAGCGTATTTGCAACACATCTCTATGATATTTCTTGTATTCACAAAAGACCAAAAAGCTGAAGAAAAAGGCATTAACAAATAAGTTTATCCATGATATTTTACAAATGAACTGTTAAGAAGAGCAGGAAACAGGTCCCATGGCTTCCCCCAGGCCAGGCTGACATCTGTGACAAGTAGTGGTTATCTGCCTGTGTTTTGTTTCCTTGTTTTATTTAATTTGCACTTGGTACCAGCAATACCCTTTGCAGATTGCTGGTTCTGTTTTTTCTATATTTATTTAATTATTATTATTTTTAGGACAGGATTTCTCTGTGTACCCCTGACTGTCCTAGAACTTACTCTGTAGACCAGGCTGGCCTCAAACTCACAAAGGTCCACCTGCCTCAGCCTCCTAAGTGCTGTCCAGTATATGCCACGACAGCTAGCCTATTGTGCAGGGTCTTAAGGACCTCTTGGGGAAGCAATTTAATTCATTCTTTTTTAGCCCCCCTCCCTCGTGTGTGTGTGTGTGTGTGTGTGTGTGTGTGTGTGTGTGCCCCCAAGGAGGCCAGAATTGGTGTCTGATCCCCTATAGCCCTTTAATTGCTGAGCCACCTCTCCAGTCTAGTTTATTATCTCTGATGTTACTATCTTTCTTACTGAAACAGTTGTCTCTCTGTGGTGTAGGCTGACCTCTTCCTGTCTACTTCTTGTGTGCCAGGATTGTAAGCGCGTATCATCACATCCAGCTAAATAGCTCTTTTCTTTTTATTTTATTTACATTTTATGTGATGCTGTTGCTGTTGGTGGTGCTGTGTATATGTGTATCTCTGTGTGTATACATGTACGAACATGCACACTACCACACATACATAGAGATCAGAGGAACTTGTCCGAGTCAGTTCTCTTCTTCCACTATGTGTGTTCTGGGGATCAAATTCAGGAGCCATCTGAGTCTCTAGTTAGGTACTTCTGGTGAGGAAGTGGAAGCATGGGTGACAGTCACGGTTGTAGTGTCCGGAGAACTTGGAGTCGTCCTAATGAAGAACCGTCACAGTGGAGATTCCAGGAGAAAGCCGTGTGCAAAAAGTGCTGGTGATGTGCATGGGAAGCTCAGTGTTCACAGGAATTTGATGATTGATTGTCTGTTAAGTGCAAACATTTCTGAGAACATTACCTTCTTTGTTTTCATCTATTTCCTGTGACGTAGTGCTCGAGTAGGCAGTGAAACGTAACAAAAGCAATAAAACAAACTGGAGGGGTTGATGGTGTAGAGCATGTGCCTAGTGTGTGCCTAGCATGTGTAAAGCCATGACTTCAGTCCCTAGCACCAAAATCAAAAAGTAAAAATTTTAAAACAAAATTAGAAAGGGGGAGCAAGTAGGCTGAGAAGATGACTAAGAAGGTAGCAGCACTTGCTGCTTTTATGGAGAACTCAGGTTCAATGTCTAGTACTCACATCTCACAACCATCTGTAACTCATCTCTAGGAGATATGGTGCATTCTTCTAGCCCTCCGTGGGCTTCTGCATGCATTTGGTATACATGAACTCAAGCAAGCACACCACACCACACACACACACACACACACACACACACACACACACACACACACATATACTTGAATATTGAAAGCTGGAAAAATTGTTACATAATTTACACACTGTTAGGGCTTCAGTGTGTGTTTCAATCATAGAGGAAGAGAGCCCTCCCTTAATCACCAGCATTGATGAAAGAAAAAATATGGTCAGTACTCACATCTTGAAGTATGAACTCCAAGGTCAAGGTTGAAACTCCACACCTAAGTCTGTGTGCTCTGCTAGCTGGGCCGGCGGCAGGGTGTTCAGAGAAAAGTATAGTTGCAGAGAGAGCTGGCGGGTCTGGTGGTAGTTACGTGTGAGCCACTGTGCGAGCCATTTTCTGTTCTTCTCCAGAGTGCAGGGAGGTGCTGCTACCGCTGCTGACAGACCAGCTCAGTGGCCAGCTGGATGACCACTCGAGCAAACCCGACCACGAGGCGAGCTCACAGCTTCTAAGCAACATCCTAGAGGTGCTGGACAGGAAGGATGTGGTGAGTCCAGGCCTCCTCTATGGTCTGAGTCTCTGCTAGTCTCTTTGTACCCAACAGGAAACTCTGTGGCCTCTCCTCATCTCAGGCAATATAGGAACTATGAAGGAGAAGAGCAAGCGGTGTCCTTTTTAGAATGGACTAAAGATGCCATGTTTCACATTAGGCTGAGACACAAGCACGAGGGGACTCACTGGGCTAGTTGGCTTACCACTGAGGTCATTAGCAGTCCTTTTATGGACTCTGTAGTTGGTCAGGTGTTATAGTACACACTTTAATCCCAGCACTCAAGAGGCAAAAGAAGGTAGATCTGTGAGTTTGAGGCCAGATTGATCTATCTAGTGAGTTCCAGGCCAGACAGGGCTTCTTGGTAAGATTCCATCTCAGAAAGCAACCAACCAAGCAAGCAAACAAATCTGTAAATACATGGGTGGGGAGATGACTCATCAAATAAGAGCTTCCTGTGTGAGCATGGGGACCTGAATTTAGGTTCCCCAGCACTGTCCTGTAGGGACAGCCAAACCCCCAGGGCTCACTAGCCCAGCCAGTCCAGGCAAAATAGTGACCTGTAGCTCCAGGGGGAGACCCTGACTCAGCAAAGGAGGCAGTGAGAAGGAGAAAAGCACTGGCCTCCACACATACATGAGCACACACCCACATATGCACGGGTAAGTGCACGCCCGCACACACACACACACACCTTACAGAAAGACAAGAACTAATTTCTGCTGAGACCCACTAAGATGATTTTCCTGCAGAAACCTCTTGAGCCTCTAAGTTGTTTTGTCTTCTCCGTGACATTTTTACTGTCTCTGAAGCCCTTTGGAAATGCTTACATTTTTTATGTTCTCTGTGAACTAATCCCCAGCCCCACCTCATATAAACAGGAGCGGACCCCCTGCCTGGATTTCCTGGATAACATGTCCAGGCCCCGCTGGAGATACTTGGAAACTTGACAGAGTGTGTTCTCTTGAGCATCGATGGTACAGAAGAAAAAGACTCTCACTCTAGATATCAGACTGTGTTTCCATGATGATTGCTGGGGGCAGGGTTCCCACAGGTCAGAGGTTCACTTGTGAGTTTTGGTCTGTGCTTCTCAGCAGTATCTTTAGATTCTACTCTACCAAAGGACACAAAAGATGCTCACACTTTGTCCCACGGCCATTTGACTAGGTCAGCCATAGCTCCATGGCCCACCTTATCCCAGCTTGTCATTCCCGTGGTGCTTTTGTAATTTTGCTATGCCAGCCTTGGTCCCAGAAGCATGTGAAGGTACCATTGTTTTCTCTGATTAAGCCCCAAGCTTGTCTTTTCCATATCTTTGAGCCCCAGTAATTCACAGTACAGTTCATTTGATATTTATTCGTGATAGATAATCCTTCCCCCCTTTATTCTTACATACACTTATAGAAACCACATTATAAAGTGGAAAACATTTTCCTGCAATGCTGTCTCTGGGAATTGATAGCGGTTTGAAAAAAAAATACAACCAGTCATGTCATATACATAGCATTTTTTAAAAAGTAACTCTTACAGTGGCAGCTCATACAAGGTTTGTACAGGCTCAAGCCAAATAGGGTCCCGGCATGAGGGGGCAAGTGGACTATGGGCTCCTACCCCTAACCAAGAAGCTGCAGTCGATACCACTGGCAAAATGGAGGCCCTGAAGCTGAGAGAGATAGTGCCAACTGTGGGAAGGGAACGAACTAAAGCATGTATTTGGGACTGTTTTGAGTTTGAACAATTGAGTCCATTAAGAGCACTGTTACCTTTCTCCATTCACGGTGATGAAAGCTAATGGTCAGCCAAGTAGGATAATGGCTTAGAGTCACATGTGACTGCCAGAACATTAAGTCCTAGAGTAAGGATGCCTCGTCTTCCGTAACAGACCACAGAGTAGGGAGCCTTAACAGACGTCTACTTCCTGGAAGTTCTAGAAGCTGAAAGTCTGAGGTCAGAGTTTCAGCACGACTGAACTCCGGTGAGGACACTCTTCAAGGCCTGTGGGTGGCCACCCTCCCTCTGTGTGCTCTTGAGGTCTCTACTCCATGAATACACGGAACAGTAGGCAGAGAGTAGAGGAGCAAATGCACACCCTCCCCCTTGGTGTCTCTTCTAGTGAGAGCACAGATCCTGTCAGATCAGTGCCTGCCTAACCCTCGTGACTTTACCTTCCAGAGGTCCTCTGATATTGTAGGGTATTAGGGCTTTAATATTTGTGTTGAGAAGGAGTCACAGAACATTTACTGCACAATAAACCCCTAACCTTGAATTTTGTTTTGGGGGGAGTTCTTTTTGTTTGGTTTTTTGTTTTTTGTTTGTTTGTTTGTTTTTGACCCTTCACAGAAGCAACAAGAGCTTCATGCTTTTTCTTTCACTTCCCATGTATGTGCCTGACTGTCCGGGGTACCCGTTAGCTGCTCTGCATCGTTAGCTGGGGATGATGTCACAGTTATGCTTCTCCTGCAGGGTCCCACTTCAACACACGTGCAACTGATCATGGAGAGGCTGCTGAGAAGGATCAACCGGACCGTGATTGGCATGAGCCGGCAGTCTCCTCACATCGTGAGTCTCCTGGTTAGCCCACACTGCAGGCACGAAGTCTCACTCCTCTCCACCAGTGGCTCAGCCCTGAACTCATGTTGGCTTCCCATACCATACTTCTAAGTTCTAAGCATTTCTCAGCTTCTATATGAGCTTTCTGCCCCAGGTTGGGTTGAATTTCCTTCAGGAAAACCAACCACCAGGACCTTTTAGTTCCAAGGAAAATGACAGATGTCATCAAGAATTTGTGATTGGTGTGTTTTTAGAAAGACAGGTGCCCTGTCCATAATGCCTAAATAGTTGTCAATAAAGGGTTAAATTGAAGCCAGAATAATGACGAAAAGCTAAATGGTGTCATGATTAAAGTAAAAAAGCTTCTACTGATTGGACTGAAAGCTGAGGTTAGATTTTAATTAGAGGACTGTTCTGTATGGTCCAAAAAATGATCTATGAGAGCCATGGTTTTGATTTTGAATAGTTGACTTATTAAGAATAAACAACGCCGGGCGGTGGTGGCTCACGCCTTTAATCCCAGCACTCGGGAGGCAGAGGCAGATGGATCTCTGTGAGTTCGAGACCAGCCTGGACTACCAAGCGAATTCCAGGACAGCCTCCAAAGCCACAGAGAAACCCTGTCTCAAAAAAAAACCAAAAAAAAAAGAATAAACAACACCGGGCGGTGGTGGCGCACGCCTTTAATCCCAGCACTCGGGAGGCAGAGGCAGGGGGATCTCTGTGAGTTCGAGGCCAGGCTGGACCGACAGCCTCCAAAACAATACAGAGAAACCCTGTCTCGGAAAAACCAAAAAAAAAAAAAAAAAAAAAAAAAAAAAAGAATAAACAGCAACTAGCAGGTTGTGAGAAGCAGCAAACAGATAGCAATTTATCATCAAATCCAGAGTTTACAGCATCTAGTAGAGGCACCTGGAGTGGTCCTGTTGAGAGAGCAAACAAATTTGTAGGAAGCTCCCAAGAATCCAGCAGCAATTAGCTGGTGAAGTTGAGGCAGTCAGCCCAGAGCTCTCCCAAGAAATTGCTTTTTATCCATGGCTGAGCTTCCGACTTCCCATTCCCTCCATGGGTACTTCTTCCAGCTGTTCTTAAAGGCACTGTGTTCTTTTTTAAATTACATCGTGTGTGTGTGTGTGTGTGTGTGTGTGTGTGTGTGTGGGTGTGTGGGTGTGTGGGTGTGTGGGTGTGGGATACATGTACCATGATGTATGTATGGAGGTCAGAGAACAGCCTTCAGAAGTCACTTCTTCCACTCTGTGTGTCCCAGGGATCAAGCTGAGGCCATCAGGTTGACAGCAAGAACCTTTACCTGCTAAACCATCTCACCAGCCCAAGGATATTCTGTTTTCAGCAGCCTTACTGTTTGTTATTTGTCCTTCCCTGGCACAGAAGTGGGGGCCAACCTGCCCTGGGTAAAAGGGTTTTTGGAGAACACTTGAAACAAACAGGCCAGAGTCTAGGCAGTGTTGTGTATTCATGGGTACATCTCAGTGTCCAACATGGTGTTTGGATAGGCTTGTATAATTACCCCTTTTAGCTGAAATGATCAGCATTTCTTTGAAACCTGAAAAAGTTGGCTGAAAAGCTAATGAACTAATGAGCCCTTGGCCAGCTGGGTGGTTTAGGAATAGGTGTGTTTAGTGGCCTTTATGTCAAACAGTAGTAACACTTTAGATATTTAAAGGACAATTCTCATCCCCTGAGTCACATAAGCATCAGCGTGAAAGTAAGTGAGATAGATATGAATGAACAGTCAAGTATAAGTAATATAAAAGAATAATTAAAATCATATTGGACTCCTGCAATCGAATATGTGTATATCTGTGTATGTCAATGCATGTGTGTATATATGTGTATTTGTTTATATGTATGTGTCTATATGTGTATCTCTTCCTAAGACAGAACCAAGGGAGTTTACAGGTAGAATTTTGACCATATGATAAGACCCTTACCTTTCTGTAAATAAACTAAATATTTTTAATTAATATAGTTTGTAAAGCAAATGAATAGTTTGGAAAAATTGCTCATCTTTCATTTGGTGCTATACCTTCAAGATAAATGTCAAATGAAATGAAAAATTCTATGTGAAAAATTAAATACTAGAACAGCCTCAATAAAACATAAATAGATATGTACCTGATCCTGTAAGGAAGGGATTCTTGAGTTTCTAAATAGTAATAAAGAAGAAAAACTAGATTTTTTTCCTGATAAAAATATAATCCCTATATTTGAAAATAGGTATGTGAAGTCAAGGTCATACACCACATGTGGAAAATCAGTAATTAACTTACATACAAAGACTACTATAAGCCAATAATAAGAAGATATTGTTATAGTTAAATAAGTAAAGAATGTCAACAAATGGGATAGGGCATAGCTCAGTTGAGAGAATACCTGCCCGGTCTGTACACGGTCCTCGTTGTGATCCCCAGTATGGAATGAACCATGCATGGCTGTATGCACCGGTTACCCAGCAGTGGGGAGGTGAGGCAGGAGGATCTGACGTTCAAGATCACCCTCCATTACATAGGGAATTAATTGGAGGTGAGCCTGGGCTACCAGCAACTCTTTCTATTATTATCATCATCATTATTATTTATTTTTTGATTTTTTCGAGGCAGGGTTTTTCTGTGGGACAGTCTTGACTGTCCTGGAACTCACTTTGTAGACCAGCCTGGCCTCGAACTCACATAGATCCACCTGCCTCTGCCTCCCAAGTACTGGGATTAAAGGTCTGCAACACCACCGGCTATCTTCCTAGTTAAGATCTTAATGCCCCTACACCTAGAGGAATCCAGAAGCCATGACTGTTGGTGGGATGCCTAGGGGCTCTGGATTTCCTAACTCCTAACTAGGATGTGCTCTAAGCTGAATTGAAAAACACATGCTTTTAGACCTTTGGAAGTAGTGTTTCCAGTTCTAGGTGTCTTTTCAGAGCTCAGTAGGGAGAAGAGCCAAAAATCCAGGATACCCAAAGCCTTCTTCATCAGTTACCCTATGGAACCTTGACTATACTTCTTTCCTTGCAGGGCGGCTTTGTGGCTTGCATGATCGCCATCTTACGGCAGATGGAGGACAGTCACTACAGCCACTACATCAGCACCTTCAAAACCAGACAGGACATCATTGTAAGTTGTCTGCTCTGGGTCTTGGCAACACTAAAGTGTTTGTTTGTTTTGAGACAATTCTTGTCTGGTAGCCCCTATCTACCTGAAACTCATGACCCTCCTGCCTCATCTCCTGAGTTCCGCTAGACCCCTCTGAAGATTTCTTACATTTAATGACCGGTAACTGAAGCCGAGCATTGTGAGTTCAAGGCTCCCTTCCCGACCACTGCAGTGTGAATGGCTGTCCACAGGGGTGACAAAAAGGAATGGATGCTTACTTCAACCTGATAACATTTAAATAAGAGTTCAACAACCGTACTAAACGATCATTACATGTAGACTTAGTGTGGGCCCTTCTTCTGAAACAGTTTTTATCCCATTTAAGAGGAGGTGTTGATTCCTTGTACCATGCATGAAATCTCCGTGGCTGAGTGCTGGCTCCTTAGCAAGTGGTCAGCAATTAGGGGCTATCCCTCTGTCCTCACGGTATTCGGAAATGATCTCCTGTTGCTTTTAAAAGAAAAGTTGTTTTCGTGGTTTCTATAAGCATGCCTCTAAGGTTTCCAGGGAACTGCTAGTGGAATTAAGCTGTTGATAAAGACGTTCTCTCATGTGCTGAGCACTGGATTAGCAAACTGATGCTCCGATGGTTCCAGTCATCCATGGGTAGCTCACTCTTGTTTGTGCTCTAGATCAGTGGTTCTCATTCTGTGGATCGTGACCCCCTTTGTGGGTCGCATATCAGATGTCCTGCATATCAGATATTTATATTAAGATGCATAACAGTAGCAGAATTACAGTTATGAAGTTGCAACGAAATGGTTTTATGGTTGGGGATCACCATAGCACAAGGGACTGTGTATTAAAGAGTCACAGCATTAGGAAGGTTGAAAACCACTGGTCTGGACTTTTCTGCTTTCCACCCTCACCATCCTGTGTGGCTGGTGTACCAAGCAGATACAGTTCCCTCTCTCCTCTCCCATCCTCCTTCCTACATTGCCCACATAGACAAAAGAAATAAATGGAGAGAATTTATCACTGTTAGTCCTACATGTGTTGGTCCATTCAGCTTAAGCATAAGTGGGGAGCTCAAGTAGAGGCAGCATGGTTCAGGACCCAACATGCGGATGTGTCTACAGTGACCCGGAGCAAGGGACAAATCAGAGGAAGGGAGTGGAATAGGCCACTAAAGCAGCATGTGCTCTCCTGCAGGGCAGATGGTGTAGCAGTTATCACCTGTCTGAACTGTGGCCATTCTGAGTTCTTATGTGAAATGAAACAAGTTGCTTGATCTTGCTAAACCAGTTACCTCATCTGTAAGATCCTGTCTACATGTCTACATGGAGGATTAATGTGAATGCTGATTACATCCATGCGTGGAAATGCCTAGCCTTGTGCTGTGCTTGTAGTCAAAGTCTATGAAGTAGTTCCATTCTTATGGGCTGCATGAACATACATACCCTAGTGGGTTTTTTTCTTTTTCTTGTCTTTTGTTTTTAATGGAAAGTAAGTAAAGTGTGGATGGTCTGAGTTCACAGGAAGACAGTTTGGATCCACAGTTCAAGGTTATCCTGTCAGCTACGTAGCCTGTTTCAATATCACCCTGGGTGATAAGAGTCTCTGTCTCAAAATTGATCATATATATCATCTCACATACAGGTAGGCGGATGACAGAAAGGTAGATGATAGCTGGGTAGGTAGATAAATGGGTAGATGGTTGGGAGGGACATCCTTTCTATGCCATGTTCCTGTCACTGTACAGTGCCCTTTTTTTTTCCCCATGGGACTGTATGCATGGATTCTGAGAAGCAAACAACTAGATTTTCTTTTCAGCAATCCCAGTGGAAAAAAGTCTAAATTTAACTTAGTAGTAAAAATGGTTTCAAAACCTCTTGTGTTTTGTTTTTTTAGCCTGCCTATTCTATTTCTGAGTTGCTTTTTGCTCACATCCTCCTCGGGACAAGACCGGTCATCTCTCCTGCCCTGTGCTCTGTACACTTGTGTCATTCCTTTCTGCAGTCCTCACAGGCCACTTTGACGCAGCCTTTTTTGCAAGATTATGACTGTCCTGTTTGTGTGGCACATTTCTTCTGTCCTAACTAGACAGGAAGAATTGAAGTAAAATCTGTAAAAAGGTGGATGACTTGGAGAGATGACATTGACTGGTCTCACAGAGGACCCAGGTTTGATTCCCAGCATCCACATGGCAGCACACAGCCATCTGTAACTCAAATCTAAGGGATCTGACACGAGCTTTTGACCTTCATGGACTCCAGGCATACTTGTGGTATACAGATACACATACAGGCTATGTGTAAGAATGCATTGCCCATAATAACTTCATGGGGAAGGCCACAAGTATGAGATAATCAATGTGTTGTCCCCAAATAGGAGTCCTTCTGTCCACTTGTTGAAAGAAAGACTGTGAGTGAGCTTCTTTTCCAAACCGTTCCTCCACTGTTCTCCACAGGACTTCCTCATGGAGACCTTCATTATGTTTAAGGATCTGATTGGAAAGAATGTGTATGCCAAAGATTGGATGGTCATGAATATGACGCAGAGCAGGTGAGAGAGTCCATAGTCATTCTGGAAGCATTTGACCTTGGATGTGTTGACCTGCTGTACATAGTCAAGTGCTTCAAACCTGGCATGTGAGAAGAGGGTATTCCCCCTTTCCTGACCCTGATATGGGTGCTTAGAAACTCCTTTTCACTAGGCTACCAAGTTCTCCCTGCTTGCTGTCTCTGTTTGCCTGGGTTAGTGTCCTCACCATCTTCATGTTAATCCCCACTGGCCATCAGCTCTGCCTGCTCCATGCAAACCCCTCATCCTGATGTTCAAGGTCCTACCTGCCTTTCCCGCCACATCCTCTGTAAGCATGCGGCTTGTGCACCAACCAGGCTTCTCCTGGTTCCTGAATGTATCCTCGTTCTCACACTCTGCTTCTACCTGCCGTGCCTTTTCTACTCTCTTCTACTTAATCACTCATCCACTCACATGGCCCTTCTGAAACATCACCTCCACTGGAAACCTCCATCCCCAGCTGCCACTGCTCTAGAGGCGGTGGGACCTGGGAAAATGGAACCTGTAAATGAGACAGACTAAAGTCTCATGCCATACTTTATTCAGAGCCTCAGACAGTTTATACTCCGAGGGCTAAGAAAGGCCACGTGGGTCACGTTCTCATGAGTTCAAGCTGTATACAATCACAAGGGCAAGCCGCATGTGGCAAAAACATGTTTTTCCATATAAAGAATGTTTTAAGCATGTAATTGAAGACAATAACAAGAAATAATGAGTAATCTGAAATAAACTTATTCCTATCTGCTACACCTGGGAGGAGCACAGAAACATGTTCCAGGAACCATTACATGTTTTGAAGAAACTGAGGTCACAAGACCCTTGTCTTGTTTTCTTGGAGCCTTCTCAGATTTCTCCTCACACGACTCCATTCCTGGACCGCATTCCAATACCTAGCCCTTCAGAAATGTCTGTTGATCTTTTCTTCCTTTTGGTTTCCTGTATCTCTCTAAAATTCTATCATATAATTCTTTTTCATGTTCTCTGTTGGAGAACAACTAGATGTCTAAAAAGAGTACCCTGCTGCAATCTTCTTAGACCACGACTTGGAATTTTGAGCACAACAGCTATAGCAGGACCTTAGAATTGCTACCTAGCAACAGATGCTTGCCAAATAGACATGAGATGAACTGAATAGCTATAATATTACAGCTTTAGAATGTTGTTAATGAGCCACATAAGCCAAATCAGCATAAGCATTGTCAACACGCCATAACCCTGGTAGGAAGTCCCTTCCCAATTAGATGGCAGATTCAAGGACAATTTCATGAGAATGCTCACCTGTAAAGACAGCAAATTGTAAACCACCTGCTCTGGTGCGCACAGAGCCTGGCCTTGCAGTGTCTGTTCCATCCTCAGTTAACTCGTGCTATACCCTTCTGTAGAGTGTGCTCTGTGGACAGCCTCCAAGGACACTATTGGGCTATATTAATTGTCCCAGCCAAGCCCAGGAGTATTAGTCTGTGTCCAGAGCAGGTAGGGAAACATCCCCAGGGGTACAGTGTTGCCTTATTCATCTGCTCTTTCCTCCCCAGAGCTTTCCTCCGTGCCATCAATCAGTTTGCTGAAGTTCTCACAAAGAGCTTCATGGACCAGACCAGTTTTGAGCTTCAGGTAAGCATCCACCCATCTGGAAGGCCTTTGCATAGCAAGGGGCTGTGCCAGCAGAAACAGTGGCATTTCAGATTTCATCACTGTCAAAAGGGGTTTTCAAAAGGGCCTGCCAGTTTCCTAAAGCACAAATTCCAAAAAGAGAGTCCTCCAAACACAATAAAATGGTTTGTTTTTCACTACACAAAAGTAGCGCACGTAAAAGGAAATGTGAGCAATACTGTCATAGAAAGTATAGCTCGATGGAAACACAAATACAGTGTTCTTTCTCCGAGATTCAGCCCAGGAGTCCAGGAGCACCAGGGGGAGCCTGACTCTTTAATGCCTCTCGTTGCTATGCTTCTATGCACACAGACCTATGGGATGTCTACAGTGTTCTTTCTCTGAGATTCAGTCCAGGAGTCCAGGAGCACCAGGGGGAGCCTGACTCTTTAATGCCTCTCGTTGCTATGCTCCTATGCACACAGACCTATGGGATGTCTACTTTGTGCATTTGACACATTGTGTGAGGTTAACACCAAATAGGACGATCACAGGACACTCAAAGTCAATGAGAGTCAAGTGAAATGCTGATGGTTTCAGACCACAGTAGACCAAAGGTCCTAAAGTATCAGGAAGCAAACTATGGATAAGTGGACTGTTCTCACCCTGGCCTTCATGGTTAAGATTTTGTGTTGATTCTGTCCACACAGGCATGAATGTGCAAATAAGCAATTTCATAAGCACACTGTCACTATTACGTGAATACCTGTGAAACAGGTAGTGGCTGAGTATGGTAGTGGACACCTTTCACTACAGCTCTCAGAAGGCAGAGGCAGGTGGATTGCTGTGAGTCCCAGACCAAGATGATCTACATAGTGAGTTTCAGGACAGCCAGGGCTATAACAAGACCCTACCTGCAGAAATAAAAACAAACCCAGGCATCTGGTAGTTTCATCTTCATTTATCCTTTCCTGTAACAAATAGAAGGATATTTGTGTGTGCACCTAGCAGTATCCCAGTGCCTGGTGAAGGTACATCAGGTCCCAGCTTTTACAGGGATTTAGGTTCAGGGGACATTTTCTTGGTGATGTGCTTTTCTTGTGTGCATTTTGTTTGTATCTCAACCTTTAAGCTAGAGAGTCATAACCAGAGCAGGTTGTATAATGTATGTGTGTTTGTATGTATGTATATATGTATGTATGTATGTATGTATGTATGTATGTATGTATGGTACATATGCAAACCAAAATAGATTTGAGCCGTGTAACTCTTTAATGATCCATTTGTCTACTTCCTTTACTTTTTCCACAACCTAAGACTTTTTTTTTCCAATGATGTTAAACATCTTTCATAGTATTTTTAATGGCTGAATACGGCTCATTGCACTGCTGGCCTGTGACATAGTAACCAAATTGTTAGGAACATTCTGATTGTTCCTATTTTTGTTACATTGAATAGCTGTGAGAACCTTCTTTGGTTGAGATGTTTTTAACTAGCCACAGTTACTTTATCAGGAACAAAAAAAAATCAGGAAAGTATTTACTAGCTCAAAAGTCTGGCAGAACTGGAGGGCTTTTGATACATACTGCCAAGCCACCTGCTATAAATAGGTATGTTTCTTGGCAGTACTTCTCCTATGCCCCCAGGGTAAAGAAAAATGTAAAGTTTGGGCTTTTTTTAAGGTTAATATTAAGCCTTAAAACTTTTAATGGTGAATAATTGAAACCCCAGAAGGAACAAGAAGTCCTGTGGGTTTTATTTGGATTTTCCACAGCGTGACTCTCCCACACGTGGGTGTTTTATCTGGATCCTCACTGGTGTTATTTGTGTTTTGCCCTGCCCACTTGATGCATCCTGCATAGCTCTGGAACAATTACTTCCATTTGGCTGTAGCTTTTCTCACCCATGAGTCCCTCCAGCTCGAAACTTTCTCAGAAGCCAAGCGCAACAAGATTGTGAAAAAGTAAGTGTCCCTTAAAGATTCGGTGACCGTGGGGAAGGTGGATTTGTCTGTCTCTGTTCAACAGTATTAGGTTGTCATAGAAACAGGAACTTGCTCACACTGTTGACGATGTAGGTTTTATGTGCGATCACTCACTAGATCTGAAATTCCTCCACATTCATGTTATTTTATTAATGCCTCTCCATCCCCTCCTCTCCTCCTATGCTATTGATGGAGTCTGTGCCTGGTGAGGTGCCCTTGCCTGGGATCTACCGCCACCTGCTGCCACTTTACCAAAATTGCAGGCACAGTGTCTCCTTGCTTTTTGCAAAGAAGAAATAAGAAAACTCGAATGTAACCTAAATCTATCCCTTAGATTCATAGCTTGGAATTCAAAATGGAATTGTATTCAGGAATGACAGGAAGCTCAGTCACATGTTTTATGGCATTCTCCCAGGTCTGTTTCAGGGTTCGTTGAGAGCCTGGAAGCTCAGAGGCTGTCATTGATAAGCACTCTGAATTTATTACTTAAAGACTTTGAAATTTTGGCTCTGTTTTCACTTGCTGTGATACGTTGGAAACTAGGCAAGTTATTTAATATTCCCCAACCTGTGGTTTCTCTCTACAAAGATCGATAACTAAGGACTAAGACTCTGAGACTCCTTTAAAAGATACAATGTATGGCCTGTTTTATAGATTTCCCTAATGGGTAAGTAATGAGAGATGCTTATTTTTTAAGGAGGGTCCTTTGATCTGCCTCATGCTTTAAAACATCTTTGGTAGCAATAGGACCTCTTTGAAGATGGATTTGAATTGGCTTAAGCAACTACAAATGAAGATAATTGGTTACAAATCAAAAAATAATTCTAGTTAGGATTGATTCTGGTTTTTGTCAAAGAAAAATAGACTGTCAATATATAACCCATCTAAAAATATGTGTGCATATCAACAGAAATAAAAATTTGGAGAAGTAAAGCCAATCATGTTATAGTTATAGAGGGTCTTTCCTCATGCATGCTTTTAGTGGAAATCAACCTACCAGGTGCAAAAACATAGACATAGACATTGTTTGTTAACTTTAGGTAGCAGTTTTGGTCACGTAGGCTTACCTGATATTAATAATGAAATTAAATTAAACATTTTTATGCAAATGAACTGGTAGGAGGATTCAAAATAGGATCAAAAAATAAAAATTCTGGCTTCTGAAGATATTTCCAGTTAAGAATTTGAAGAAAATAATGTTTAGGAGATCCCTTGCATGATGGGAATGTAGGGATTGTAAGACCAGATGTGGCCTGTGTTAGTTTCCCAGAAGCCCTTGCACATAGCAAGCAAATATTCCACCATAAGCAGCCTGCCCAGTCTTTTGTATTAGATATTCTGAGTCATCTAAGTGATCATTTGAAGTGCTGAGAAAGCTGTGTGTAGCTTACATGCAAAATCCCTAAGCCTATGGTTCTCAACTTGTGGGTCACGACTCCTTTGGGGGTCAAATGGCCCTTTTACAGTCACATATCAGATATTTACATTGTGATTCATAACAGTAGCAAAATTGCAGGTATAAAGTAGCAATGAAATAATTTTATGATTGGGGGTCACCAGCCATATGAGGAAACTGTATGAAAGGGTTTCAGCAATAGGAAGTTGAGAACCACTGCCCTAAGCCATTCTATGTAAAGGACTCAGGGGTCTGGGGAGCTTAGAGCCAGCCCCTGAAATGCCAAGAGATGACTGTATTGCTTGCTGCTCAGTTCCGCTGCAAGTCATTATTTTAAATGATCTTCTTCCTAGATATGGGGACATGAGGAAGGAAATTGGCTTCAGGATCCGGGACATGTGGTATAATTTGGGTGAGTGTCTGAACTTGCACAAGCTCCTGCATGAATTCTTTATTTTTTGGTTTTTGTTCTAAAGCTTTCCCCGTACAGGTTTTCTCTGTACAGGTTGCATTAAACACAAACACCCATAATGAATCTTATTTTAATTTACATAACCCTGAGATTTATCTGTATGCACAAAAGTAGACTTGTGGGTTCCATACTGTCTCGCCTAGGATATTGACAATGAGCCCTCTGTCACTGTGTCACCACACACTATCAGAGAACAGCATTCTGCCGCCATCTCTTGATTGACATGCAGTGTCCACATGAACTTTTTCTTCCCTTATGGGCCCCCTGGAGGAATATTGTTAAGGTGGGGCTTATAGTGATACAGTCTTCTAATATCCTCATTTACTTCCATCTAAGGGCCTCACAAAATCAAATTCATCCCATCCATGGTGGGTCCCATTCTGGAAGTCACTCTGACCCCTGAAGTGGAGCTCCGTAAAGCCACGATCCCCATTTTCTTCGATATGATGCAGTGTGAGTTCAATTTGAGCGGCAATGGCAACTTCCATATGGTAAGAAGCAGCAGCCCCTGGTCTTAGTTCCGTGGAACAGTTGACTTTTGATTTGTCATCTCTAAATGGAGAGGTAGCAGCTCGAATGAAAAGTGCATTTTAAAACTTATTTTTTAACATTTCATTGTGTAAATGCATCAGACGTGTGGTTGGGTCCTCTGGCTCAGACACTGGAAGAAGTCTCTGCACTCCATGTCTTTCTTAAGTCGGCACTGTCTCTAGAAGATGAAATGTTAGCCTGGAACATCTTCCTCCTATATGCCTGAAGGCATAACCTGTGAGGGCTGAGAACAGGTGCTGTGGTCCAGCTCCCACCATCCCTGCACTCACCTTTGAGAGTTTTAGTTTTCTGGAGCTTTCGCTAGACCTCCCTTTATTTACCATATTCTGCGTTAGTCAGGGTTATAAGAGGAACGGAACAGATACTCTGAACACAGATTACAAAGCCCATTTATTGTATTGACTTATGCAGTCCAGTCTGGGTAGTCCAACGACGACTGTCTTCATACTAGAGAAGCTTCGAGCCCACAGCTGCTCAGCCCCTAAGACTGGATGCCTTAGCAGTCTGATAAGAGCTGAAGGCCTGGAGAATTCCTGATGAGTCTCTGGTCTTTAGTACAAGTCGGAAAGTCAACGAATCTGAGCCCTGTTCACAGCAAAGCTGGTTGGTGGCAGCGGTGACAGCAATAGGGTAGATACACGCTCCAGGAGGAGCAATCGCAGGCAAAGGGTGCATCTTTTATATCAGACTGCCCACTCTTGGGGAGAGTCTTCCTCTCTTCTACCTCACAGACCTATCCAGAGGCTTTCCCCCAGCTGATCCCAGAGAGAGCCAAGTTAACAACCAAATTGACTCAAGCTTCACATCTGCAACATCTACAAACCTGTTAACATTGCCATCACCAAGACTCGGACAAGAAACAAAAATAAGATAGATGCCCAGGGTAATGATGCGTACCTCTAGTCCCAGCACTTCAGAGTCTGAGGCAGGAGAATTGCCATGGGTTTCTGGCCAGATAGAACTACATAACAAAACCCTGTGTAGAGTGCAAAAATGGACAGTGGTTAGAATTTGTTTTATATGCATAGTGATAACATAAAATCACGTTTCAGGTGTGTTTGCACATGTAACATCAAGGACTCATTCAATAACCTGCTTTGGACTGTTTTTATGGGCCTGGTGCACTGAAGATATCCCCCCTCCCAATCTACTTTGAAAACAATTTGAAATTGGAAAGGGGTCAAGCCAGATCTAGAAAGACTGGTCACTATCCACCATGTATTCTTTAGGATCTGACATTCTCTTGTGAAATTCCATCTTTCAGTTTGAGAATGAGCTGATCACAAAGCTGGACCAGGAAGTGGAAGGTGGCCGAGGAGATGAACAATACAAGATTCTTCTGGAAAAGCTGTGAGTATCTCAGGGCAGCACCTGAGGACAGAGTTTCTGCTGCCCATCTAGCAACCAGTCAGCAGGTTCAGCGTCACCCCTGTCACCAAGTGGTCCTCGGGAGTGTGGATGGAATCCACACGCTGACAGTGCAGTGTGAGTCCATGCTTGTGTTTTCCAACCAACCTAGCCCCAGAGAGCACAGCAGATGGGCAAGAGGAGGAGACACACGCAGCAGTGGCATCCTGCCCAGTGTCTTAATTATGAACTTGAGCAAAAGTGGGGCACTTCTAATTATGGCGTCAAAGCAGCTGTTTAAAGGAAGTCACGGTCGATTTTATACCTAAAAATACCTCGCATCCAGTCAAGGAACTCTGAGAATAGAGCAGTTGTTTCTCAGCCAGCTTGGTCTGAGGTCCATGAAGACATCACTCCTTCATCTGAACCCACATTGTCCCTTCATCCATTGCCTCCCCTACCCAGCCTCTACATACTCGACCTTTTCATGCTGTACATAGGGGTGTGTAATGTGGCTAGAATCTTTGGCTACTAGGACTTATAAGATTAAGTACAAATCCCCTTTTCACTACGTTATCAGATCTTGTCTTTGGAGCCAGTGAGTCATCTTGACAGATACAACCTCCCCCACCCTGCCCTTGTCTATAAGAGTAGTCTTATTGTTGGAATCAAATGAGGCCAAGTGCCAGCATAGGGTCCCTTGAAGAGTTCACACTTTTAGAAGTTTGAATGCAGGAGGGCATTGTGACTCAGCCAGTGAAGGAACTTGACAGCCTAAGCTCAAACCCGGAGACGCACATGGTAGGAGAGAATCAGACCCTGAGATGGTCCTCTGACCGCCACACATGTGCCGTGACATGCACCTACCCCCACACATGCACAGACATGTTTGTTTCTTAAAGGTCGACTGCAAGTATTACTGTCTAACCATCCCATTCTGCAGGTGGCTGTGCTTGTTGGTTTCCCGTGTTCTTTGGACTTTAATAACCAGCCACTCCTATTGTTCCCTGTGTCTCCTCTGTGTCATTTGATTATTCTCCTGTTCTAGGGAAATTTTTTGGACCAGTGTGAGCATGAATATAGGGTCCACCAACTTTTATCATTTTCTCTTAAAGATTCCCTGAGTAGGAGCCAGCACACAGCACTCAGTAGTAGAACAATATAGGGAAATCAACTCTATTTTAAAGAACTAGATATCTTTATTCTTTTGAGTTTCCGGTTTTGTCTAGAAGTTATGCATTGATAGAAACAGACACAAGACTTAGGGATAATTTGCTGTGGTGGCACCTGCCTTTAATCCCAGCACCCTGGAGGCAGAGGTGGGAGAGTTTCTGTGAGTTCAAAGCCCGCCTGATCTACATGGTGAGTTCAGGACAGCCAAGACAGCATAGTGTGAATCTAACTTTATAAAAATAAAAAATAAATCTGAGCCATATCTCAGTGGTAGAACATGTGCCCCCTACACACACACACACACACACACACTATCACACTATGTACACAAGACAAAATACTCATAAAAAATCCCTACAGCCAAGAGATTTTACTTTGTCTCTTTTGTTCTTTCTGGATCGTTGGCTCAGACAAGTTTGACTGTACCAATTCCAGCCCCCAGAAATATTCCTTGAGTCTGTGTGTGTGTGTGTGTGTGTGTGTGTAGAGAGAGAGAGAGAGAGAGAGAGAGAGAGAGAGAGAGAGAGAGAGAGAGAGAGCCTGTGCACATGTAGGTATATGCTCATGAGTGCAGGTGCCCTCTAAAGAGGGCGTAAATTCCTCCAGAACTAGAGTTATAGGTGTCTGTGAGCTGCCCAGGATGGGTACTAGGGACCCAAACTCAGGTTGTCTGCAAGAACATGGTAAGCTCTTAACCACTGAGCCATTTCTCCAGGCCCAAATCTGGACTGATTCTTTAGACCCATTTCCTTTTCTGAACTTTATTTTAGTTACCCAAGAAACCCCACAGCTTTGTTCTGTATGGCCCGCAAAGGGGAGGGATGGATCTGAAGTATACCCTTGGTATGTCGGCTCACGGCCATGCTTTTCTGTCTGAAGATGGTTGTAGAGTGAAGTCTTCCCACCAGCCTGGTTCCAGAGCCGCATCAGTCCCAAATGAACACACAGGAGGCTATATTAATTATGAAGCTGTTGGCCATTTGTTTGTTTCTTACTGGCTAGCTCTGACTTAAGAATTTAACTTATAATTGTTAATCTAAGTATTTCTCTTACCAGAGAAAAGGGTCCGGACCTCTTATTCCTATGGCGGCTATATCATGACTGCCTGTGTCTCTCTTTCCCAGAATCCTCCTCAACTCCTAGTCCCACCTATCTTGCTTCCCTATTGGCCAACAGTGCTTTATTGACATATACACAGGACTTCCCCATCAGATGGTTTTACCTGGTATCACCCATCCAAATGGCTACCAGGTTCTTCTGGGCTAGGTTTCAACCTGAGATTTTCAGGCTGCCTATTCAATGCCAGGCCCTAGAGAGAACAAAGACATAGGACACAGTTCTGATACAGCCGAGTTAGAATGGGGAGGGCGTGTGAGCATTGTAGACCACAGAGTTCTCATTTCTGAAGCATCCACTAAAGAAACTATTGATGGACTAATGCTCAGAGGATATTGTGGGCTGGAGTTCTAAATGATGGAGGGACTGAGTCCCCAAGAAAGAGCAAAACTTGAGAAAATAGTAGGTCCAATCTGGGCCCTGTTGAAAGTCCTAGGGCACTCTGGGTTCCACAGAGGATATGTTTTGTAAGTCTATAGCAGTGTTTCTCTACCTGGGGGTCACAACCCCTTTTGGGGTTGAATAGCCCTTTCACAGGAATCACCTAAAACTATCAGAAAACACATAACAGCAGCAAAATTACAGTTATGAAGTAGCAATGAAAATAATTTTATGGTTGGAGGGTCACCACAACATGAGGAACTGTATTAAATGATCGTAGCACAAGGAAGGTTGAGAGCCACTGGTCTAGAACCTGCTGCTGGGACTTGATTGGGACTCACAGATGGCGCCAAGAGTAACTGGGTTAACTAGGAAATTATCTCTCCCTACTCCAGACTCTTAGAGCATTGCCGGAAGCATAAATACCTCTCGAGCTCCGGGGAAGTCTTTGCCCTCCTGGTCAGCAGCCTCTTAGAGAACTTGCTGGACTACCGGACCATCATTATGCATGACGAGAGCAAGGAGAACCGCATGAGCTGTACAGTAAATGTTCTGGTAAGGAAAGGCTTGCTCCTGGGGCTTGTAGTGGGCACAGCTAAGCCACCCCTACTCTACCAGCTCTAAGTTGATAGCATGGATGCCCAGCCACCCTGGAGCATCTCTATGGAGTCCATGCCCTCCTGAGTCAGACTCACAGACAGTAGGCACAGACATTCGAGGGTTTTGAAACAGGCATGGAAAGTGCAATCTTGACACTCAGGCCTTTCCCACACTCCATCTCAACCTTCCTTTTGGCCTTAACTCACACACGCTTGCTTTCCTTTACCTATGCCAGCAAGTAAGTTTGTCTGTGTCATTCTCCTGTAGGTAAGACTCTAGTCGTCCCCTTTCCTGGACTATAGATGCAACCCAGTAGGAGGAAAAGGGTTCCAAGAGTAGGCAAAAGAGTCAGGACACCCCCACTCCCACTGTCAGGAGTCCTGCAGAAATACCAAGCCAACAACCATAACATATGTGCAGAGGACCTAGCATGGACACATATTTGAGTCCAAAATTGCCGCTTCAGTCTCTGTGGGCCTGTGAGCTCTGCTTGGTTGATTCTGTGGACTGCCTCCTGGACCCCTCTGGCTTCCACAATTCCTCTTCTTTCTCCTCTGAGCTTTTGAGGGGAGGGACCCGATAGATACCTCCAACCTGGGCTCTCTCTCCCTACCTAAAGTTTGGCAGTGGGTCTCTGCATCTGCTCCCATCAGCTGCCAGAGACAGTCTACCAGAAAATCTATTCTATTTCCCTTCCTAAGGATATTGATGAATCTTGGTTTTAATTTCTCCACTTCTTTGTATCCCATCACTTCCTGTGCTTGTAGAGGAGACTATTAAAGGAGATGATGAAGTAATAATGTCTCTTTGGAAAAGAGACATTGTTAAAAAGCAGAAGTTGGGGTAGAGATCATTACATGGCTTAGAGTGTGTGCCACTTTTCCAGAGACATAAGTTTGATTCCCATCACCCATGTCAGTTGCTTCACAATGGCCTGTAACTCCAACTCCAAGTGATCTGATGCCCTCTTCTGGCCTCTGAGGGCAACTACACTTGCATGCACATGCACACTCTCTGAAGTTAAAAATAAAAGTAGCAATTGTGCTTTGACTATTTTTGTGTCAAGTTCATCAACAGCCTTTAATTTATGTTGATATTTGTGACCTTCTTTTTGGCAGAATTTTTATAAAGAAAAGAAGCGAGAGGACATATACATAAGGTAAGTAAAGCAATTTGTATTTGTATCATGGGTTTGTGGTATATTTTTAAACCAGAAAATACTGCCCCAACAGCACACTCTGCCTTGATAAACTCCTACAAATACAGCGTGAATACAGTCTGCCTCAGAGGCTGAGTTCTCAAGACAGGACCATGACAAGTACAGTTTCAGGGAGTGTATAATAGAGTCACATCAGCATTCAAGGAGGGATAGGAGGGACTCAAAGGCACAGGAAGGAGAAGTAACCTACAGTGGCATTTAGTTTGAGGGCCACGAGTCTCTGACCATGAAGCTAACTTGTCAATCAGCAGAATTTCCAAAGTTTTCCCTTACTTCCCAAAGAGGACCAAGACCTAAAAACAGATAAATAAATACAAATAAATTAATAATATTCATAAAATTTAAGAAGACAAAATAGAGGGACTAGGAAAACCACAGGGCAGGGAGTGGTAGAGTAGGCTAGAGGAATAGGAGGTCATGAGTCTATTGCCAAAGAGAAGGGAGGTGTTCTTACTAGAAGCAGGGGTCTGTGTGTAGGCTGGGACCAGGCTGGGGATGCTCTGAGCGCTAGCTCACCTCCCTGGTGACAAGGGGCCTCTCCTCTTCCCTCTTACCAGGTATTTGTACAAGCTTCGAGATCTGCACAGAGACTGTGAGAACTACACAGAAGCTGCCTACACACTCCTCTTGCATGCCGAGCTGCTGCAGGTAAATGGGTCCTCTGTGGAAGACCCGTGTTGTAAGCTGTGTGTAAGCCTTTGGACTAAATTCTATGAACTTCGTGATCTGGGTAGGAAAGAACCATATTTGAGGGATATGGTTTCTCTAAGAATGTGTTCGTGCCTTCTAGATAAACAGAGACACTTTCAGATCAAGACTGGGGAAATAATCATTTGTCATTTAAAGTGCCTTAGGGAGCAGGGCACAACCTAGAGTTCTCTGGTGATGGACAGTCTAATTAAATACACGTTGATGGTGTGTAAAGAGATTAGTGAAACTGTAGAGAGATGACTTATAGATGGATACAACTCTTAGAGGAAGTACCTTCCTCCTTATCCTCTCTCTCTCCAAATAAAATCATAGTAAGGCATGATATAAATGCATCTATTTGTCCATAATCTCAAACAATTATTTCAAGACCTGTCCTCCTTTAACTTTGGATTTCTACATAAGTATCAATCTTTGAATGGATAATAACTCAAACGTAGCATATTTAAAACACAAACCTTTGCTCCTCCCCTTGTTCCTCCCTTCCTCTTTCTGGCCTACTATCTTAGGCGATAACCTCATAGTCACATTCCAGTCTTCTCTTTTGGTCACTGCCTCCTACGTTCTCCATGAACAAAATGTGTAGCCCCGCTGTCTAGAACGTGTCATTGATCTATCTTCTTTTAAAACAGAGGAAGAGAATATCCTCGTTGCTCTCCTAGTTCATGCCCTTAGCGTCTCTACCTGAAGCTCTGTAGCATCCCTCACTAGACGATCTGCTTCCATTCTTACACTCAACAGTTTATTTTCCCCTAGAGTTTCATCTGATTTGATTCTATGCTCACACATCATTCTCAGCAGCTACACACAGGAGTTTCCTGCCTCCCTGTTTCCCAAGGAAACCCACAGCCCCTGTGTGAGGTTTGCTGCCCAAGGATATCACCAGAGAATGATCCCCAGTGAAAAGCCCTCTAGGTCTTTTTATTTATGCTGTCCAGAAAGTTAAACCCCCAAGCTGGGTGTGGTGGTGCACGCTTATAATTGCAGCACATAGGAAATAGAGGCAGGCAGTGATAGCGAATTCAGGACCGGACTGCATTCATAGGGTGAGTCTGTCTCAAAAAATGAAAAAACAAAAGAAAAGAAAATTAAATTGTCCTATCCTGGTATAAGGTATGAAGTGCGGATTCAGCTTTTCTTCCCAGATAGCTACTCAGTAGAGATGGTAATTGTTAACTGTAATCTGAATTTGATTTACTGGCATAAGATCCCAGCTTTCTCTCTTTGGCGGAGGAGAAATCATTCTACTATCTCCTTGTGTGTGGGCCTCCCTCTGTTCGTGCACTAGCCCTACATTGTCGTCATGATTAATTCCTTACAATGTGTTATCGTCTGGTGTGGTTACTCCCCATTGCCCCTGCCCCCATTGTTGCCTCCTGTTCCTCTGTATTTTTCCATCTGGCCTTTAGAATCCTGAAATTTCAAATGACTTGACCCTCAGGGCAGTGGTAGAGCACTCACCAGGCATGATCATGCCCCTACTTTCAGGCCCTGGAGAAAGAGGGGAAGAAGAAGGAGGGGAAAGCTGGAGGAGAGCGAAGCGGAGAACAGAGAGAAATGGAGAGAAAGGGAAGGGGGAGGGAGGGAAGAAACTCACTTTGCAGAGCCTGATAGGACAGACTTGTAATTCCAGCTGATAGGGTGGGTCGGGGCTGAGGCTGGAAGGATCATGACTTTTGAAGACCAGCCTGAGTGACAGAGTGAGATCCCTTTATCTCAAAATTTTAGAACTGTTATTTTTACAGTTCTGAATAAGACTGGGGGTGTAGCTCATACCTAGCATGTGTAAAGCCCTGCATTCAATTCATGCTACTACTTAAGAAGGGCAGTGGGGGCTGGGTGTTGATGGTGCACGCCTTTAATCCCAGCACTCAGAAGGCAGAGGCAAGCAGACCTCTGTGAGTTCGAGGCCAGCCTGGTCTACAAAGCGAGTTCTGGGACATCCTTCAAAACAGTACAGAGAAACTCTGTCTCGAAAAACCAAAGAAAAAAGGGGGGGAGGGCAGTGAGGTTAAGCGGGGGGGCTTTAGTAAGAATTTATATGTTTATGAAATAGTGTTTGTCCTCTCAAAGCATAGAGTTTCCCTTTCTTCAGGGCTGCTGTGTGTCTGTCTCTGAATGGCACAGGCAAGTTCCTTCCGTGGAAGTCTTATGTAATCCCGGTGATGTCTGAGTTGTCAGATGGGCTTTGTTTTGATGGGTTTGGTCTATCCTCCAATGTTTTTATTCCCTTGCTTCTTAGTTCTCAGCATTGTGTCTCTGGTTTTGCAGTGAGCTGCCATATACTAAGGAGAAGGAAGTCTGCAGGCAGTGATAGTTTTATCTGCTCCCCCATGGTTAGAAAGCTAGCAAGTTTCTCTCATCTGACTGTGTTCAAGATGCCTTCCACACAGTAGTGTGCTGGCTTAGCAGACTCGTTCCATTCCCCTCTTCCGGGGGATGCTGCAGGTGCCTGACCATTTGGTGTGACACTTGTTTCTGAGTAAAACTGACATATGGGCATCCTCGTGTATGTAATTTTGTGTTTAGTAAATAACTTAAAACACAATATGGATGAGTTGACTGCTTGCAAACAAGTTATTCCCTGACTTCTTTTGCTCTGAAGTTTTGCTTTATTAATCTCCATGTTACTTTTTTCTTTGTAGTGGTCGGACAAGCCCTGTGTGCCCCATTTGCTTCAGAGGGACAGTTACTACGTTTACACCCAGCAGGAACTTAAAGAGAAACTGTATCAAGAGATCATATCCTATTTTGACAAAGGCAAAGTGAGTACTGGGTTCTAGGGAATTTTTTTGTACTCCTGGAAAGCAGAATAAAAAGATTATATTGAATACATTTCTAATGCTAAGTGCTGAGTCAGCACAGAGCACACAGGATTAAAGGCCCCGTTCCCCAACATAGACTGGGGAGATGCTTCAGTGTGTACAGTGCTTGCTATGCAAGAATAAGGACATGCGCTTCTGATCCCCAGGATGTATATATAAAAGCAGGGTGTGGGTACGGCTACCTGTAACCCCAGGACTGAGAGAAGGACACGCTAAGGTTTCCCTGGGCTTGCTGGCCAGCCAGACTAGACAAATTGGTGAGCTTCAGGTTTAGTGAGAGACCCTAAAAAGATAAGGTAGAAAACTGATTTTGTAGCAGGGTGTGGTGGTGCATTCCTTTAATCCTGACACCAAGAGGCAGAGGCAGGCCTGCTAGATCTACAGAGTGAGTTCTTGAACATCCAGGGCTACAGAACAAAACCCTGTCTCGAAAACAAAATAAACAAACAAAATGATTTTGAAGAGATATCCTAACATTTCCCCTTTGCCTCCACACACACCTATACAGGCCAGCACAGTCACACAACCCTAATACATATATACACACGCGCACACACACACACACACACACACACCTATGTGCATATACACATTCATGTACTCACACAATTAAAAAATAATAACTTCTTTTTTACTTTTAGAAACTGTACCCACTTATGATGGCAGCTCTAGAGTCAGGGGCTCCAGATCATTCACACTTCTGATGAAACTGGTTAGAAATTTTGAGTAGCCCAGGGTAGCCCCCATAGGGTTAAAACAGAACTAGGAGATTGCTGTATCTAATTATTACAGTGTTGCTGTGAAGGGCACAACATCAGGACCAGCCAAATGGTGAAATACACAAGGTAGAGTCTAGAGGGGCCATAGGACCCCAGCATCCTCTCCTTCTCTAGAATATTGAAGTGTCCACTAGGTGTAGTATTATGCACCTACAATTCTATTGATTTAGGAGGCTGGGGCATGAGGATTGCTTGAGCTTAGAAATTAAAACCAGTCTAGGGCAACATAGCAAAAGCAGCCATATTAACTACATGATTTAACTGAAATCTCTAGTTCCCTTTGCCTCCCTTGAATCAGGGCTGATAATATGGGGCTCAGAGCTACAATTCTATTTTGTGTTTTTGAGACAGAATCTTATTACATTGGCTAGACTGACCTTGAATTTATAATCTTCCTGACTCTATCTAGATTAGTTGTTCTCAACCTGTCGTTTGAGACCCCTTCATAAGGATCATATGTCAGATATCCTTTATATCAGATATTTACATTATGATTCACAACAGGAGCAAATTGTAGTCATAAAGTAGTAAAGAAAATAATTTTATGGTTTGGGTCACCACAACATGAGGAACTGTGTTAGAGGGTGGCAGCATCAGGAAGGTTGAGAACCACTGATCTAGAGAGCTATCAGAGGCTGGAGCTATCTCTAGTCACCTTTTTACCATTGATTTTGGAGCCTACAGGGATGCACCAGGCATAGTAAAAGTTTTCATTTCCCTGGCAAGGGTTTGGGACACATAGCAGAACAGTTCTTTATTATGTTGTATACATTGCCCCCGACCTACTCCTTCTATTAGTCTTTGAATTCTGATTGTTGGAGATAAAATAAGCAAATGAAATAATCGGTGAGTATTTTCAATTAGTGCCCACCTAAGAGACACTCCACAATATCAGAATGGTGAGAAGGCTCCATTTGGGTCTGGGTTGCGCTAGCCTTACAGGCAGAGAGGTAAGAGGCTGTAATTGGAATTGAGCCTTGCATGGAAAAAGTTTGCCAAATGCCACACTACATGCCATTTGGCCCTTTCCTATCCCTGCAGACAGCTCGCCTGCATGAGGATATACACCCCTACATCCACACATACATACCCACATACACACTCCAGAGCAGTCTCGCACCAGCCGCCTTTCCTGTCCAGCCGCACTCCTACACTCTTGGATCCTAGGAATGGCTTCTCTTTCCCCTGCATTGCCATTGGTACTTTGCTGGTTAAATGCCAAACTGCTTCAGTGGAGACACATGTTCCTGGTGTCCTGGCAGATTGTCCGGAGGAGATGCCTCTTGGCAACATACATAGATACACAGGTGCGGCCCCTCTAATCCAACATGAAAAATGTTCTGAACTCTAAAGCTGTGGACTGTCAACATGACCTGAAGAAAGCTTCAGGTTTGGGGACATTTTGGATTAAAGGACACATAACCAGTAATGTGTATGGAAACTATCCCAAATTTAAAAAGAAAAAAAATTCCAAATTGGAAACACTGGTAATCCCAGGCATTTCAGATAAGAGTTATTCAACCTCCAGAATCCTTACATTAGAAAAGAAAGGGCTAGCTAATCGGGGTGTAGCAAATCAGTGTCCTTGTAGATGTTTAGTCTGCCTGACTCCCTCGTTCCAGTGATTTCTAGGGAGGTAGGAGCTCTGAGGACTGTGACTGTGTGGCTTCCTCATCTCACCCTGCTTTCCTTCTTCTGAAGATGTGGGAGAAAGCCATCAAACTGAGCAAGGAGTTGGCTGAGACCTATGAGAGCAAAGTATTTGACTACGAGGGTCTGGGCAGTCTCCTGGTAAGTCTGGGCCAGCAGGGCTGCTAAAGTGGACACTCAAAGACCAGTTGCTATATGGGTTAAAACAGTCTGGGTCAAGGGTACACTTTTGAATGGGAAATTAAACTTACTTGACTTCAAAATGAAGAATGTGTGATCCTAAAAGCTTTGACTATTGTTCTCCAGGTTGTTCCCCTAAAAGTCCCCTGGGACTGGGAAAGAGGGAAGGGGAGGGGAGACACCTAACCCTGGGTGATGATGCCCCATCCTATGGGACATCATATGCTCATCAAAATTCATTTGTCTTGGGCCAGTGAGGTGATTCAGTGGGTAAAGGCACTTTCGGCCGAGCCTGACAACCTGAGTTCAATCCCCACGTTCCATATCTTGGAAAGAAGAGAACAGTTGTCCACAGACCATGGACCATGGCATATGTGTGCTTACATGTACATTCATACTAAATAAAATTTTACAGTGAGAAGACAGCCCAAGGTGGCTGTCACCTGCAGAAAATCCCCCAGCATCTACTGTCACATGCCTGGTTAAGTTCAGATCCTGCCTGTGGATCTCAGGAAGAACTCAAGGCTTCCAGTCCCATCCTAGGCCCAAGTCTCAGATGTCAAATACCAGAACTGAGTCACTCTGTGGCCTACCAGGTGGTCTCCAAAGACCTTCCATTTATCTGTTACATGAGAAAACACAGTAAATGGGCTGACTGTTTTCTTTCTTTCTTCTCCTGACAGTTTCCTGGTAACCTCCTGGTGGAATGTGTTGTTTTGTTTTTCAGAAAAAAAGAGCCTCGTTTTATGAGAACATCATTAAGGCCATGAGGCCCCAGCCTGAATACTTTGCTGTGGGATACTATGGACAGGGTTTCCCTTCCTTCTTGCGGGTGAGGAGCCTGGGGGTGGTCCCCAGAGCCATTAGGAGTGGGGTTCAGGGGAGAAAGGAGACTTATCTCTCCTCCAGATGGGCAGCAGCAGCTGCTGGCCTACGTTCCCGCTGTGGGAGGTCGGGTCAGGGAGGGAGACCTCTTCCTGAGTGCTGGTCTCTTCACCCCACACCCCTGATACCACGGATATTCTGGCTCTCTCTGTCTGATGGCTTTCCCAGGTGCAAGGAGAGAAAACACCATCAGCTGAATCCACAGGCCAAACTTGGAAGAGTGTGGATGGATGTGTTTTGTTGCTTTTTTATTTCCAGTCAAGGCTACTTGGAGATCAGATATCCCAAGAACAAGACAACAAATATTTCCCCAGAGTAAAAGCTGTTTTGTAGTAGTGGCAAGCATGAGAGACCCCTTACTTCCTCTCAAAAGTATATATAGGGTCACAGTGACTTTACAGTTTGAGAATGCTTTCAGACCTGAGCTTCATTTAAATGTATATGATCTCTCATGCTTTTTCATTAAAAAACAGACAATGGTATGGCAATCTAGTTCAATTGGTGGAGTACTTGCTTAGCATACTTGAAGCACTTGGTTCGATTCCCAGAACCACATAAACGGGGTATGTTGGGTGGAAACCAAAGGATCAGAAGTTCAAGATTATCCTCAGCTACATAGTGAGTTGGAGGTCAGCCTGGACTATATGAGGCCATGCTGCAAAAACAAACAACCAGCAGTAACAACATAAAGTGGTAAAAGGAAACCATCCATATTCTTAGCAGGGATTAATGAGGAAACCATGGATCCTCATTTAGTGTCTACTAATTGTCCACTCTGTGCCAGGCACCTGGGAAGAAGCAGAAATGTCCTAGAGTTACTCAGACATCTCTCTGCCCTCAGGGATTCTACAAGCTAATGAGGGCCAGGTGGGGAGTTAAATGTTAACATATGAATGTAAAATTTAAACTTGCATAGCCAAGGAAGATGGCCCATGCTGAAAGAGCTTGGAACTAGGGAGTTTTACTCAAGTGAATAGCAATCTAATCATTCCAAAATACTATAGGGATGCTCATAGCAGCCTTAATCATAGCCACCAAAGTCTACATCCAACTCCATGTCCATCACCTGGGGAAAAAAGGGATAAACTAATATCCATCCAATAGATGCTGCTCATTGCCTGTTGGGGATGCAGAGGATGGTCACTGAGCACTTATTTGGCTTTGACGGAGGAGCACAGTGGCCTCTATCTTCAGCTCCAGGTATTCCTTCACCCTTCATATCTAACGCCTTCCTTTGGCTTCCCTGACCTACAGAACAAAATCTTCATCTACCGGGGTAAGGAGTATGAGAGGCGAGAAGACTTCAGCTTGAGGTTGCTCACCCAGTTCCCCAACGCTGAGAAGATGACCAGTACCACGCCACCAGGAGAGGACATCAAGTCATCCCCAAAGCAGTGTATCCTTGCCATGGGGAAAGTGTCCAGTGGCTCTTTACCCTGGAATGGGCCAGGCCAAGCCAGATGAACTATGAGTTACAACTTCTTCTCTGAAGGCAGATGTACCCTGAGCCCTCAGACACATCCTTCAGCCATTTGGTGTAAAAGTCTTTGGGACCTTTAGGGATGACATGGTCAGGAAATGTTGAGTATGAATGAATATACTTTATAGTCAGCAGGGCGCTTAAAAGAAGTTCAGAATTCAGTTGCAGACCTTGAAACCATGCACAGTCATCCAGCTGCGTTACTAATACCCTCCCAGCCAATGGCTCCAAGACACCCTCTGTCTTTGTTGAGGTTTCTATTGCTGTGAAGAGACACCATGGCCAAGGCAACGCTTTCAAAGGAAAATGTTAAATTGGAGCTAGCTTACGGTTCAGAGGTTTAGTTCATTATTATCATGGGAGGGCATGGCAGCATACAGGTAGACGTGGTGCTGGAGAAGAAACAGAGTTTTACATCTTGATTTGCAGGCAGGCAGCAGGAAGTGAACTGATTATTACATTGAGTGTAGCTTGAGCAAAGGAGACTTCAGAGCCCACCCTGACAGAGATACATTTCCTCCAACAAGGTCACACCTACTCCAAGAAAACCACACATTCTAATAGTGCCACTCCCTTTGGTGGCCATTTTCTTTCAAGCCCCCCTCCCAGGCTATTCTTTCTACGACCCCCTGGATACCTAAATCTGCAACTGTTCAAGTCATGTATAAGGCATTGATTTTGCACATAGCTTATATACATTCTCCCAATTCTCTTTCTGTCTCTGTATGGTGTGTGTGTGTGTGTGTGTGTGTGTGTGTGTTTAACTATGTGCTAGGGATTAGAACACAGACCCTCATGCTTATACAGTAAGCACTTTAGTAACTACACCGTCTCCCCAGCCCCCCTAGTTGACTTAGAGTCCCTGATACAGTAATTGCTCTGTAAATACTGTCATACCGTATTTTTTAGGAGATAAGAACAAGGTGGGGTGGGGGGAGTCTGTACAGGGTGGTAACAGAAGAAAATCGTCTGCCTTTGGCTACAGCGCCTGTAGGTCCAGAGGGCAGGCTGTGTCTGCACTGGTAAGGGTGCCAGGAGAAGCCCTTTCTGACACTATTCATCCCATCCCAGCAGGATCCCTTACCCCACACTGGCTTGGGGGTCTGACTTCACTTCCCAGTTGCAAGTTCTCCTCTGCTAAAAAAGAATGATCCATCTTGTAGGTGTGCTGTGTGAAAGATAAATTCAGAACACTCAGTCCCCATGAAGGGACTCACTCCATCAACAGTAGCATCTAAGGGTAGCAGTTCTGGTTCCCTGGGCTCAGGAGTCTGACTGTTTTGGGGAAATGTGTATCCAAAAGAAATCATTTGAAAGCTTCTCTGGCTATCTGCCTCCTGATACTTTCCTGACACTTGTTTCATGTGACAAGGATGTTTGCCAGGTGTCTCACCACACAGAGTGTCCTAGGACAGTCCCGCATTGTGGCGGTGTATGTGGGAGCCCATTTCAGTGCAGCGCCGGCCCCTGCTGAGAGGAGATGGGAGTCGGACACAGGGACCTCACTGCCTGTGGCACCTGCGGGTCCAGCCTTTTCCTTAACAAGCCTCAGACCTGCAATGCTTCACTGTAAAACCTGTTATGAGCTTGCCGCCCAGCTACAAGGACAAACCGGTTCCAGAGCAGATCTTGAAGTGAGTGGATCTTTCTTAAAAAGAAAAGGATCGGGTGGGACATGACACATTCTGTCATCAGAGCAGTGGAGGGAAAGAGAGTGGCAAGTTCAAGGCCTGTCTGGGCTACCCAGCAAGACTTTGTTTGGAGTGCACCAAAGCAAAGCCTTTTTCATTCACTATGGTTCAGAAGTCTTACTCTTTACTGTTTGGCATACAAGATGAGAGTTTATCAAGTTAAAGCAATATGAATTTTATCTTTGAGATAAGAGAGAGAAAGCTAAACATCACTTGGTGTGCACACAGGATCCTTTAGCCCAAATATCCACTCAGGAATCACTGAGGACCAGCCGGCCCCAGGGTTCGAGGTTGCTTTCTGCTTCTTAGAGAAGCCAGCATGCCAGTGAGATTAACTGACAATACTGCAGCAACGCTATGCAGACGTGGATGTAGCCACCTTTTAAGATGGTGAACTGTAAAATAAAGAATAAGAGGCGGTATGAAACCCAGTATATGCCGTCCCAGGAGCTCAATGTGGCCCTGGCAGTCATAGATGTAAGCCTCGGTGTCACGCGTGGTTGCTGGCTGGCTCTGTGAGGTCAGTGCATTTGCTTGTCCTTTCCCAGCTACTACAGAGCCAATGAAGTGCAGCAGTTCAGATATTCCCGGCCGTTCCGGAAAGGAGAGAAAAACCCAGAAAATGAGTTTGCTGTGAGTTCATTTGGTTTGTCTTCTCCGTGTGTGGGGTTGGGAATGGGGATTGGACGTGAGTGTTTGGAGGCCAGGGGTCAGCCTTGGGTGTCATTCCTCATGAGCTTCTCTACTTGTTATTTGGACAGAGGGAATTTCCTTGGGAGTGTGGCTTACCAGCCTAGCTCGGCTGGCCAGCCAGTGAGCCCCTGGGAATCCTCCTTCTCTCCTCCCCCACACTGGGAATATAAGCGTGTGCCACCACGCCTGGCTTTGAACTTCAGTTCTGGGGCCCAGTCTCGGGTCTTTTGGCTTGCTCAGCGAGCACTTCCCCAACTACACCATCTCTCCAGTCCATTTGCCTTCTAGTGAGGTGCAGTGTCTCCCCCTCATTGGCACACACAGCATGAGCTTCCCCTATAGGAGAACGTTCATTGATAATTACTGACAAAGCAGGCTGTCATCTCAGTGGAGACCTCGAGACTGAAGGTCTCAGATCTGGGCTCTGCTTCTAGTCCTGTTGCTGGTATGACCTTAGGCAAGACACGCCCAAGCTACCTGGACCTCAAGTTTCCATCTTGAGAGTGAAAGGGCCCAAGGAGACTAACTGACCCCATGCAGAGTCGAAGCCCACGGTCCTTGGGTTTTATGAAGAGTTGGGTTCCATTCCCTAGGAGACTTGAGAATGGATTTTCACAAGTGAGCCAGAGGCTTGGGGTCAGTTGTGACCCGAAAGCTGACTACCATTTCATTTTGTTTTCTTTCTGGTACCAGACCATGTGGATTGAAAGGACCACATACACGACAGCCTATACCTTCCCTGGGATCCTCAAGTGGTTCGAAGTAAAACAGATTTCAACAGTGAGTCATTCGGATTTGTAACTCCGGCGGGGCGTGTGTGGTGGGAGCCTTTCTGTCTGCAAAAAGAATAACAGCTTTTGTTCAGCTCCCCTGCAGTCCGCACCAGCTTGATTTGCCTCCTCCGGCCAACTTTGTTTTTTAAAGGGGAAACAAGAAGCACACTTGTAGAATGGGGTCACTTTGTAAAACTGATGTTACAACATCAACCCGAAAGGTCACACTCAGAGAATGACTCTTTCATGGCCCGAGGGGCATTGTCCCGTGTCCCCCACAATGCTGCCAGTGCTCGGATACATTGCTGGCATGCCTCTGGGGAGTTGCCTGTCTGCCACATCTCTGTCCCCAAAGCCCCTTTCATTCTAAGCTCACTGTGTCACTCTAACTGCAGCTCCTGCCTCGTACTCCCCAAAGTTGCCATTTAGCCTTTATAATTCTTACCTGGTCTGTCTTCTCTCTATCCCTCTGTATTACTGCCTTGTTTCCCATCCCATACTGGTCTCTGCTTACTACAGAGCCTTGGTCTTTTCAGCTATGTTCCTCATTACCTCAGAGTGTGAATTCCACTGAGCGGACCCAATATTTCATGTGTCTTGTGTTTAGACCCTCCTGTGGCTTCCTGGTACCTGCACTGTTGTGGTACCTGCACTACAGAGCCCGTTTTCATTTCTGTCCACCTGCATTTATCTCTGTCCGTCTCCGTCGACCTCCATTTACTTCCATCCATTCCTGTCCATTTGTACTCATCTCCTTTCGTGTCTACCTCTGTCCATGGCTGCCTCTCCCTTCTATTCACCTCTGTCCATCTCCTTCTCCTTCTGTCCAGCTCCATCCATGTCTTTCCACCTCCACCTGCCTCCTTCCATTCTGAGAAAATCTGTTGGAACTTAGGCTTTGATGCTAGTTAAGTAATTAATGACATTGGGTCATTTTGGGGAGATGGGCTTCAATGTCCTCCTGCCAGTGCTCATTCAGTGTTATTTCCCACCAAGGTAAGTGTGGGACCCACCTTCTCCATGCCACCAACTCTGGAACACCCAACCACAGGTGGATACCCTTTGTGGTGTCTGTGATCCCGTCATTCTGGGCATGTTTCTGACCTACCATATTTGAACATCTTGAGTTCCTACTAAAGCTATACATTCCTGCTAGCTTTGAATTACAGTGGACTCTCAGAATGTGTAGGTCCACTCTCAGTGACTGAGCCAACCGTGGGTTTCTCAGCTGTGGATTGTATACTGTGTACTTAGGTCTACCACAGCCACTTCTGCTCTAAATATATAGACTCTTCCCTTGCCTCATTCCCTAGATAATGTATAGTATTCACCAGTATAGCTCTAGGTCCCACCAGTAATCAGATATGATTTAGAATATATGAAAAGCCAGATGTAGTGGTGCAAACCTTTAATCTCAGCACCTGAGAGGCAGAGACAAGTATATCTCTGTGAGTTCAAGGCCAGCCTGGTCTATATGGTGAGTTCCAGGACAACTAGGGGTACATAGTGAGATACTGTCTCTAATAAATTAAGTATATGAAAAATATGTAAAGGTTATGTGTAAATATTACATCACTTTGGAACCAAGTTTTCATGCATCCTGAAAAATTTTGGTGCCTTCAAATTAAAGAACCAGTCCCCCTATATATTTCTGAGTTGGCTATGTGTTTTCACCACTTTTGTAACTGGTGTACAGTAAGGCACTTAGCATAAAGTAGGTATTTGAGAAATAATTCCTGGGCTGATCATGTACAGTCAATGTTAAGCATGAATTTGGTACTCACAAATACTGATTTTCATACCCAATAGAGAGGAGAGGAAGAAAAGAGATATTCTTGGGGCCAGACATTTCTTGGAGCTGGGCAGGGTGGCACATGCCTATGCCAGCTTTCAGGAGGGTGAATCAAGAAGACCAATGCTAGTTGGAAGCTAGCTTGGTCCTCGTAATGGGTTAATGGCCATCCAGGACAGTGTAACAAGACCCTGTCTCAGTACAACAAAGAAAGGAAAGGGTAGAAGAAAGGGGGAAGGAAGAGAAACATATTTCTTGGCCAGTATAACCTGAAATTGGATGTATTCCTCAGCGTTAGTGAGAAATCATCATTATTTAAGTGTACTGTGCTTTTTGGGTGGTGATGTTAGGAACAAAGTCAGGGGTGAGAGATCATGTGACCAGTAGTGGGGAAGATAAAGAGGCCAGGTTTTGGGGGAAATATAGTTTTGAGGACATTTCTAGAAGAGGAATCTGTCCCTGTGATTTCTTTTTCATCCATACCTCAGCCTCATTTCTCAGTCACCCTGTTCTTTCTGACTTCCAATAACCACAGGCCCTACCCTAAGGCCATGGGGCATGGGGCAGATCCTACCATAAGGTGAGGAGGCATGAGTCTGAATAGAGGGATTCCAAGGTCACTTGCTTTTTCTTGCCAACGAGTCACCTGAATTTTCCAAGGGACATTTTCCATTTTCAGTGGCACAAGAGTGTTTCAGATCTGCTAGGCAGGAACTGTCTCAGAGCTCCTGAGGTGAGTTTGTCTGAGAGACAACCCTCATACAGCTCTACATTTTTTTTTTCTTCTCACATGTTGTGTAGAAAGATACTTTGCTCCGAGAAACAGTCATTTTCACAACCCACACTTACAGCATTCCACTTCCTGAGAAGATTTTCAATAGCTGAGTTTGCAATTGACTAACAGAAAGCCAGGGCCTGATAAACAGACTCTTACTATTACGCTTCTGTGAATTGTGAGTGATTTCTCTCTTGAGAAGAGTGATCAGGTTTGTCTCAGTCTTTGCAGTGGAGCTCACGACGATTCCTTCTCCCATGTGCTGCATTCCTCAGGAAGAAATCAGCCCGTTGGAGAACGCCATAGAAACCATGGAGCTGACCAATGAGAGGGTCAGCAACTGTGTACAGCAACATGCCGGGGACCAGTCCCTCTCTGTGCACCCGCTCTCCATGCTGCTCAGCGGCATTGTGGACCCAGCTGTCATGGGGGGATTCTCCAACTATGAGAAGGTAAGTCCCGCTCCTGGCTCTCATAAGACATATGGGCCTCCTCCCTCTGTGCCGCTCTCTTCTTTGAATGGGCACATGGAAATACATAAGGGTTGTCCCTGGCCTCACTTTGCCCTGTGGAGCCTTGATGAAGAATGCCAGGCCCTGGTGCCTCATTCTGTTCTTTGGGAGGAAGGCTTAGGATGGTCCCAGAGCCCAGGATGCACTCCGCTGAAGTCACTTTTAGGGAGAGCAGAGCTTGATGTAGAATGGCTTTCCAGGAGTCCCCAGCCTGACCTGAGCCGAGTTGTATAGACCGAGGATAGTTTCGACTTATGTTACTCACTTCTCTGGTGCTGGGATAAAATACTGTGACCAAAATCAACTTAAGGAAGAAAGAGTTTATTTGCCTGATGGCTCCAGAAGCATCGAGTCCATCATGGCAGGAAGGGATGGCCTGTCGTGGTGGCAAGAGCTGGAAGCCAGCTGTTCACATCTTCATCCACGCACAGAAAATAGAGAAAGGGAACAGGAAATGGCGACTAAATTTGAGACTAAACTCTCAGATCTCATCCCAGGGATGGGCTTCCTCCAGCAAGGCTCCATTTCCTTCAGGTTCTGTAACCTCCCCAGGGAGCACCACCAGCTGGGGCCTAAGTGTGCAGATACATGCTCCTATTACTGGCATTGCTCTTTCAAACTGCCACACAGTTTCACCGTGGATTTGCTAACTGGATGTTACATCTGTTACTCTGAAATGGCGTAGGAGGCATCCTGACCATGTGTAACCCACTGGATAGGGTTTGCTAGAGTACCATTTATATTGGAGTTCACAAATTCAGTCTAGGTGAAGGTTCTTTAGACAGGAGTCATAGCTGGTATGGTACATGTTCAGTGGATGAATACTTTGGGAGTCTTCTTGAATATAAATATACATATGGCCAAGTAACCCCTTTGAGGAGGCAAAAGATTGAATGGATGGCACTCTCTTTTCTGTTTGTGCACAGTGTCCCAGTGGAGTGAAGGCTTTGTGACCTGTCACTCTTGTGACCTCATTCTGGCTTTCTGCTGGCCACTGTGTGCTCTTGGACATAGGTGTCACCTTTCTGAGCTGTAGGTACCTGCATAGGGAAGAAACTTCCCAACTTAGGGGATGAGTTTGGAATTAAGGGAGCCATTCCATATATAGGCAGGAATTTATTTAGTATGCATTTCTGAGTTAATCACTGTGCAATAAAGGCTGTCTTGTGAAAGGGATGAGTTTTCAGTTAGACCCTCCTGGTTACCACTACATAAGAGACTCTCTCCCTTTTGAAGCTGTCCACCTCTCTGCTGGGAGCGGGAATGTCGTAAGTAATGTTTGTATGTACTCTGCTTTCAGGCTTTTTTTACAGAAAAGTACTTACAAGAACACCCTGAGGACCAGGAGAAGGTGGAGCTGCTCAAGCGGCTGATTGCCTTACAGGTACGAAGCTAGGGAGGCACACAACTGGCCCGCTGTGCACAGTACTGCATGGGTGTCCGCTGCACTCAGCCCTAAGACAGGCTCCACAGCTTACAGGCACTTTCCAGCCTCCCCTTCTCTCTCAGTCTCTGTCTCTCTGAGTGTGTCTGTCTCTACTCTCTGTTCTCTTTTCCTCCGTGTGTGCGCGTATGTGTGTGTGTGTGTGTGTGTGTGTGTAAGAGAGAGAGACAGAGAGAGACAGAGGGACAGAGAGACTTGGTTGTGGCAGTATTCTCTTGTAGTATTGAGGAGATGAAGCAGGCAGATTTTCATGGACTTACTGACCAGCCATCCTAACCTAGTTGGTAAATTCCAGGCCAGTAAGAGACCCTTTCTTTAAAAAGCAAAACATCTGGGAATGACAGCAGGGGTTGTCTCATGGCCTCCCCATGTACAGGCACACATTTACACACACACACACACACACACACACACACACAGGCACACACAGGCACACACAGGAATTTTGTAATTTGGCTTACTAGTCAGTGTTTCTTGCTAGCACATATGGCTCTCATTTTTTTTTAACCATGTTAATAAAAACTACTAGAAAAGCAGCCATTAGACTCAGTCTAAGACCAATGCCTAACCCAGTGCTCAGTTGCATTCACCTTGTCTGTTGGCTTCTCTAGAATCTTTGGTTCCTCTCTGTTCCTTTGACACAGTTCCCAAGCCTAGACTAAAACGTGGCATTTTCACTAGATAATTCTGCCTGTCGGTTAGCCTCGCCTACTCCATCCCACCTTGCCCAAACCTCCAAATCTGAATTCCCTCTCTTCCCAAGCCATGTCTCTCACTCCTTTCATGCCCTTTCTTCCAGATACCTCTGCTCACAGAAGGGATCCGCATCCACGGGGAGAAGCTAACAGAGCAGCTTAAGCCACTGCATGACCGGCTGTCCTCATGCTTCCACGATCTGAAGGAGAAAGTAGAGAAGCTATATGGGGTCATAACGCTGGTAAGCTTCGTCTAAGCTTCCCCTGGTCCCTCCCATGACATTGCTCAGGGTCCCAGATGCCAAGTGAATCATATCAGCATAGGAGTTATAAGCATTTTGATGGATTAGATCAGTTGGATGGCTATTCTGGCACTCGGGATCCGAAGAATACTGAGTGTTGCAGCTCAGATGGAAAGGTGTTCTGGCATTTGGGAGCCAAGGAATACCACAGGTCACAGCATAACAGCTTACAGCCCTGCTTCAGGAAAAGGCTTCTCCAGTGTATCAGCTCTGCTCAAGCAGGAGAGGGTTTCCCCAGCAAAAAGTGTTATAGCCCTGCTCTGCTCTGCCCAGGGTCATCTCTGCTCTGGTGAAAGAGATGTGTTGGGAGGGAAGAACCCAGGAGAGTGGCTGCCCTCTGCTAGGATGGGCCTGAACAGCCACAGGGTTTCTATAGGGATTCTTAGGGAGCAGAGTTTTTCCAAGGAGATTTGCAGAGTGGGGATTGGTCAGATTTCAGTCTCTGAGCTCAGATTGGCTAGATCTCCTGCTCAGGGACTGGTTGGTTTTCTGCACAGGTTTAGAGTCAGATTTGGCTCTGGTTTCAGGGCCAAAGTATATTTCTTCCACTGGTCCTTTTTAGCCTTTTGGCTCTAATGTTAGGACGAGGGTATATTTTTCTCACTGACTCTGATTCCAGGGACAAAGTGTGTTCCTTTGGCACTAGTTTCAGGGTCAGGTTGTATTTCTTTGGTTCTGGTTGCAGGGCCAAAGTGTGTTTCTCTGGCTCTGCTCAGGGTGTGTTTCTTTGGCTGGCCCCTTTTCCCTATAGGTATGATGGTACCTCTGATGTTAGGTAAATGGGCAGGCAGGAGACAGCCTGTTCTACCTTAAGTCATACAACCATCTTTGGGCTGAGCCAACCTTCCGGACAGAGATCTTATGAGACACAGATAAATGGCTTCAGATTCCAAGGACACAATAGGGCCCGAGTTTACAATTTTAACAAATGGCCAGCTGCCGCTGTTCATCAAGGTGACTGGACTGGGCAGGCACTTTGAGAACACTGGGGGGGGGGTGCAGTCAATTTCCTCGTTCCACACATAGAGCATTCTCCTCGATCCACACATAGACCATTCCTTCTGTCTTGCCTAATTTTTATAGCTTTTCCAGTTTCTTTTTTCTGTTTTGGTAAAAGTGTGCTCGTCAGATCTTGAGGAAGGGTTGTAAGCTGTATTTTACAACGTGCGTGCCTGACACATTGCTCTGCCATCCTCGACACTCCATGAGGCTGCATCATAGTGGGTCTCCCCACCTCCCCCAGGCGCTGAGGGGAGTGTGCTGCTGTCCTGTCTGATCTCACAATTGATGGTGTGATGGTTCTGGTTCTTCGCTGTGACCTTTTGCCCTTGAGTTCTCCTTTCCCTCTTTTACTGTCTTCTTGCTTTGAACCCCTGACTTTTAAATTATTTTCCTCAACTCAAAGCTCTGCCTCTCTCTCCCCACTAGAGTTCCCCCAGGGGACCTTTCCCGCCACCTCTTCACCTCTTTCACTCACCAGAGACCCAGTCCTGCCAGGTATGCTGATGCTCGTCCGTCGTCTCAGCACTCAGGAGGCTGAAGCAGAAGGAGAGCTAGGAGTTCGAGGCCAGGCTAAGCTACAGAGCTAGATTCTGCCACCCACCCCCGTCCCCCAAAGTGCCCAGTTTAGTTTTCTCCCTGACATTTTCTCTCCTCCTATTACTATCTAGGTATGTGTGTGTCTTTTGTGCCCACGTTCCTGGACCACAAGACTAAACTTTTCTTTAACCCAGTGTCCTCCATCATTGTTAGACCCAGCCAATGTTACAAAGCAAATTTAGTAGAATACCACATGGTGGCGGTGAGTCCCAGGTGACAGTTGTAAAGGGGGGCATCCTGGACTTCCTAGACTCGCCCTGCTCAGCTTAGTTCTGTGGCACACATACACCTCCGTCCATCCCCGCCTTAGACCTTGCTCTTAGGTCAACATTGCATATGTTCAGAAGGCCAACTGGGCAGGTTCCCCAGAGCATGCGGGCTGCATTGCAGGCTGCTAACCTTGAGGCTACATGTGTTTCAGCCACCCAACTTGACGGAGAGGAAGCCGAGCCGTACGGGCTCAATGGTACTGCCCTACATCCTGTCCTCAACGTTGCGCAGGCTGTCTGTCACCTCTGTGGCCTCTTCAGTGGTCTCCACCTCCTCCAACTCTTCTGACAATGCACCCTCCAGGCCAGGATCTGATGGGTAAGGCTGATCTTTACACATAAGGTGGGGTAGGACAGCACCTGCGACATTAGCTTTGGGCACCAAGGTGAGACTCAGTGTGTCTACACACCATGCCTTTGAGGGAATAAGTCATAGTCGAGGGCCTCATTAACCTCTCATGTTCTCCATGGTGAACATCACTGACAACACTGTTACTAAAAGTAGAAAATGAGAAATTAGTATTTCACCACCTACAGAACACAATTGCCTTCTAGGCACAGATTAATTTCTCCTCGTGTGTATCATTTTTAAAGCAACTTCAAACTTAATTTGCTTTATCAATTAATCACAGAATAATATAGTACAAAATTCCAAAGGTAGAAAATGATCTCTCTCTTTCTCTCTCTCTCTCTCTCTCTCTCTCTCTCACACACACACACACACACACAAAACAAACCTCTTCGTGTATGTTTTTAACATTCAGTGTATTAGAACCATCAGTAGTTTAGTGTGTGTGTACACATATGTATATCTAAGAATGCAGTGCACCTCCTTTGCGGACAAACAACGGAAAGCTCGCTGAGTTCAGTTCAATAGTTTTTCAACCAAAAGTGCAGTTTTAAGATAAATATTGAGTGTCACTCCTTTATATATGTCAGCAATTGATACAGTTTTTTTGTCAGTTTAAAACAAATAAAAAATAATTAGGGTGGAAAACTATCTTATTAAATTACAAAATCAAAGTACAGAAGTTTGTTCAGCAAGTAAATTAATGAATAAATAAGAAAGTAGATAGTTCAGATGAAAACTATAACAACTGGAAAATACCCTGAGAAAAGATTTACATGAATGCATTATTAGATAGATAGACAGACAGATAGATAGATAGATAGATAGATAGATAGATAGATAGATCTTTTAAAAGGAGAAATTAACTGGAAATGAGATAAAGAACTTTCAGCCAGGTGTTGTGGCTCATGCCTGTAATCTCAGTACTCAAAATTTTGAAACAGGAGGGTTTCTGGAATTTCAGAGCTACCCTATGTTATTGTCTTAGTCACTGTTCTGTTGCTGTGAAGAGACTCCATGACCAAGGCAACTCTCATAAAGAGAGCCTTTACTGGAGACTTACTTACAGTGTCAGAGGGGGGTAGTCTATTATCATCATGCCTAGAACATGGCAGAGGAGGGTAGTCTATTATCATCATGCCTAGAACATGGCAGAGGGGGGTAGTCTATTATCATCATGCCTAGAACATGGCAGGAGCATGGTGGAACTCATGGCACTGGGACAATAGAGTTTCATCGTGATCCATAGGCAGAGACAGAGACAGACAGAAAGAGAGTTGACAACAGGGAACCCCTCTCAAGTAATTTAATGAAGGGTAAGGACTATAATTAGGTATGTAGACGAAACAAGACAGGCTCTGAGTTGATTGTTGTTGATGACAGAGGGCATGTACATGAACTTATTATCAAGGCTTTGTGTATGTGTGTGTGTGTTGAAACTCAATAATAAAATATAAAAACAACAACAGCAAACAAAAAAAAACATTGCCCAATCTATTTGCAAACACTTTGCATTTGAGTGATTTTTCTGCCTCAGCTTCCTGAATAGCTGGGATTATGGGCATATGCCATCATTTTCAGCTTCAAATATCTTCTTAGTCATAAATTAAACCAAACTTTAAAAATTTTGCACTTTCTTTTTTCTTTAGTCTACTCTTTCCATTTTTGAATATTAAAAATACTTGCCCTTCATCTAAAATATGCATGTTATATATCCATCTCTCCCCTCTGTGTGTAGCGTTTGATCATGATTCCTGAGTGGACCAATTTTCATAATGGAACTTGAAAATCTATCATTGTACCCAGTCGACATTTCTCAAACACTCACTAGTGCCAAACATTGTCCCATTTTGCCGATAAGGAACCTAAGATTCCGTGCCCAGGGTACCCAGCAACTGGATAACTTCTGCAGGCTCTCTAGCCTACAGAGAGCTGTAAAGCGTATTCTTCCGGCCAGCTGCCTGGGCCCTGCCGAGCTGCCTGAACCCCCAAATAATTCACAGGACACTATATTAATTATGAAGCTGTTGGCCATTTGTTATTGTTTTTCATTGGCTATCTCTGACTTAATTATTGACCCATAATCACCAATATATATTTTTATAAAGACTTATCTTTCTGAGAACGAAGACTTGCATCCCCTCTTCCTGGGAATCACATGGTGACAGCTCCCCTCGCTACATTTCCCAGAATCCTCCTAGACTCCTAGTCCCACCTATCTTGCTTCCCTATTGGCCGACAGTGCTTTATTGACATATATGCAGGACTTCCCCATCAGAGAGCTAGTGATATGAGCTACTCTTTTACTTTATATGTTCTGTCTTTTTCTCTTCCCAGGGTAGAGTCAATATCAATGAGGGACCTGGGTTTAAATCTGTAGCACCCACATCAAAGTGATTTGTGACAGCACACATACATAACCCCAGTGCTAGGGTCAGATGGAGATAGGACATGTCTGACAGCTCATTGGCCAGCCAATCCAGCCAAATCAGTGAGCTCTGCATTCAGAGAGAAGCCCTTGAAAAATAAGGTAGAAAGTAATAGAGGAAGCCAACCAGTGTTGACCTCTGACCTTCACATGCATGCTTACATGGCTGCATGTGATCTGCACACACATGAACATATCCACAAGGGAACAAATATATGACACCAGGGATGGGGGTGAAGTGATAAAAATTCGCTAATATTTTCTCCCTTTCACATGACCATCTCATTTCTGTGTGTTTTACACTGAGAAGTTTGTCTGATAATTAGACTCTGAGGACCCGAGAAGTTGGGTGAAGATGGAGGTGAGGTGCTGGTGCTTTGATGTCAAGTCTACCATTCTGGGATCGAAGTTTTGTGACTTTTGACCTTCCTGGCTAACAGGTCCATCCTGGAACCACTGTTTGAGCGCAGAGCCTCATCGGGAGCCAGAGTTGAAGATCTGCCACCCAAAGAAGACAGCGAAAACCGGATGAGCAAGTTCAAGAGGAAAGACTGGAGTCTGAGCAAGTCACAAGTCATTGCAGAGAAAGCGCCAGAACCTGACATGATGGTAAAAAGAAAAAAAAAAAAAAGGAGAACAAGTGGAAGCAAACACTGGCGGGCCACCACGGGGAGGGGGGACACCACTGGCGGGGTCCCACTGCCTGCCCGTCAGTCTGCACATTTTCAGCCACTGCACAGCAGTGAGTCACAGATAGAAGCCTGGCTGCAGCTAGTGTCAGGACTTAGCAGCCGTGCTGGTGTCAAATCACAGATGGCAGGAAGAAAAGCATATACGGAGAGTTTCAAGTCTCCAAGTCAATACTGGCACAGGATCTCATACCCACAGCGTAAACACGTGGGTTGCACTTGGAATCGCAGCTCTTGCCACTGTGTTCCATAAGTCAGTGCAAACATTTTCATTTCACTCTTTAACTTTAAAGAAGACACCCTTTGTCTCCCATAAGCCACGTCTGGTTTTTACCAGACCAACTTTCCCTAAGAATAGTACACTGTGTGGTCAGAATCAAGTCAGTGGCCAGACCAAAAGTTACCTGTGCTTTGATGTCATTCTCAAAAAGTATCTGTGCCAAGTGCCTGCCATGTAACAATACAGTGACCTTAGAAGTAACAGTTGGAGATGGTAGGGGAGATGGATCAGTAGGTAAAAAGTGGGAGGACTGGGTGGGTGTGACACCCTGCATGCGATTTCAGTGCATGGCTAGCCTAGATCAAACATCGAGCTTTAGGTTCAGCTGTGTAATGGAGAGTGGTAGAGTAAGATAACCCAAGTTGATTGTAGCCCTCACATGTTTGTGCACACACACTGGAGAACAGAAAGAAACATGACCCTTGTTATGTTCTGTCCAGCATTTAAGGTTGCTCAGCGTGTTACTGAGGTCTGCCATGTCCACCATGACGTTTTAATGTTTTGGGTTTCCCTCTTTGTTTCCAGAGCCCAGGCAGAAAAACACAGAGGCCAAAGAGTCTCCAGCTCGTGGACAGCCGGCTGACACCATTTCACAATACTTCACCTCTGCAGTCTACAGCCTTGAGCCCACCTCCGCTCACTCCCAAAGCTACAAGGACCCTAAGTGAGTTTTTCCATGTCTTCTAGATCGATTCTATTAGGAAATGGAATGTGGCTGTGAATCTGGGTAACTCCTAATTACACCAGCTGCAGACCATAAGAGGCTGTTGCAAAGTCGATTCTGTTCAGTGGCCATTGGGATCATCAAAAGGCTGGAGTTTGGGGCTGTGCTTATTTCAGTAGCAATCCTGAGGGTCTGCCTGTCCTTTTCCAACCACAAGTCACTTGTGGTACTACTGAGTAGCTAAACCCATTCAGGGGTTAAAAATAACAGACCCATCCTGTATGCTGCTGTTCACCTGGAACCAGGCATAGGCAGCGCTCCAGACAAACTCGGATGCTCCTGTAGTGCAGAGGGAGGACATGTCCACCATTGCCGGTCCAGTCAGGCGTTCTGTATAGCCAGGTGAAGCTTCCTGAAGAGCGTGCATATTTCCCTAAACACTTAGAGTACATTGGAGAACAGCTTCCTAAAATTAGAAACTGTTCTCATCCTAAGCTTTAGAGTAAACATGGGCAGAATGGTGGTGGCACACACCTTCAATCCCAGCACTCCGGAGGCAGAGGCAGGCAGATCTCGGTGAGTTCAAGGCCAGCCTGATCTACGGAGTGAATTCCAAGACAGCCAGAGCTGTTATACAGAGAAATCCTGTCTCAAAAAACAAAACAAACAAAGAGAAAGCATGGGAATTTCTGCTTCAGAATTCCGGGTGAAGCGTCCCGGTGAATTAAAGAGCAGCTGTGGTTGGGCAGGGTCAAGGTCTTGTCCTCTCCATAGACACCTCAGAAATGGCGACAGCAATGTGTGTGAGGCCGGTATAGGTGCTGTGGTGGCAGACATTATTTTTGTGAAGAATCTGAATAAATCCTTCATTCTGTCTCCTTTGTATCATTTCCAGGCTCCCCATCTTTGCAGACAGATGAGCTGACGACTTCTGCCCCTCCTCCACCTCCCCCGAAAAGCAAGCCCTATGAGAGCAGCCAGAGGAACTCAGATGAGGTAAGGACCTGCAGGTTGTCATCAGTGTGGTCACCAGGCACCACCCCTGAGCAGACAATACTCGATTGTCCACGCCGTGTAGAGGAGAGGCATTCCCCACACCATGTGGCCACACCCCGTAGTCAGTGCTGGGTTCATTCCTGCAGCCTCAGGAGATGAGAAGGGAAATAAGACAGAAGCCTGCTTCATGTGGTCATGTGACTGAAGGAGGCACGCTCTCTGCTTCCCGTAGGGTGGTAAAGTTCACACCAAAGTGTCACTTGTGAATGGTTGTTTTGCAGTGGACTCAGAAGTGTTTCATTCCTTCTTTCAGTAAATATTACTAAGTGCTTTCTAAGTATTTGTCAGGTACCCAAGTGTTGGTGATGCACCGTGTGTGTGTGTGTGTGTGTGTGTGTGTGTGTGTGTGTGTGTGTGTGTGTGTATGTGTGTTCAGCTCAAGAGAACAAGGACTGTAGCTGGAGTTTCTGTCCCACCTGGTCCCTCAGCTGATTAGCCCCAAGTAAATACACAGAGACGTAATAGTTATTAAACTATTGGCCCATGGCTCAGGCTCCTTACTGGCTAGCTCGCTCTTAATCATTAACCCATTTCTATTAAACTATGTATTGCCACAAGGCTGTGGCTTACTCGTAATCTGGCATGTTACTCCTCCAGTAGCTACATGGCTTCTCTCTCAAGGCTTCTCCAGCATTCTCCTCATCTGGTAGCCCCGCCTATACTTTCTGCCTGGCTATTGGCCAATCAGTGTTTTCTTCATCAACCAATAAGAGAAACATATGTACAAAAGGACATCCCCCATCAAAGGACCAATGAGTACCTTTTTTTCTTGTATAGACAGAATACATGCCCGTCAATGTGACAATAAAATGAAAGTGTGAAATGGGGGAGGGATGGATTGGAAATTTAAAAAGGGACTGTTTGTAATTCCATGTGTCTTCTCTCCAGATTGCACCCCCACTGCCTGTCCGGAGAGAAGCCAAAGCCCCGCCCCCACCACCTCCAAAGGCTCGAAAGTCAGGCATCCTCTCTTCTGAGCCAGGGTCTCAGTGAAGATGTCAGCCTGGTTCTGCACCTCAGAGTGCCTTGGACCACTGTTGCCCAAGAATGACCCCTAGAAAGGGTGGCCTGCCATGCAGGGCTCCCTGCCAGCACTGCTTCCCGCACTGAGACGATTCCCCATCTCAGAACTGTTTGTTCATCTGAGGACCATGCCACACCCCCTTTAGCCCATGTGGCCTTCTGTATCATGAACAAGCAAGTGCTGTCCTTTTCCCGTGATGGCGTGTTGGCCTCAACCACTGACTTGCTGGATCTTCGGGTATTTGGATGCCTCCTGCCAGCTCTCCTGCGGCAACTGACTCCTGTGTGGATTTCTCAGATTGCTTCGGAACTGCTGTGTTTAAGACTTCTTTTCTTCTCTCCATCTGCATCCCTACCCTGCCTAACCTCCCGAGAGCCAGATACCAAGTACACTCCAGGAGCTGCCATGCTTCCTTTCCCTAATGTCTACTGGTGCCCTTGAGGGAAAGAGCACTTGTGTGTATCGGAGGTGGGGCCACTCTCTGGTGTGGTTGGCTTCTCCAGGATTCCATGGACTCACATTCTGGCACTCTCCTTTCCCGATGAATGGCCCCCACCATGCAGCAGTCACGTGCTGTGCCTCGGGTTCCTTTGAAATTCTTTTGCTCGCTCTTTCTCATCCCCTTCTTCTCTCTGAGCTCACATCCTGGGCTCTGAGGGACCTAGGAGCCATGGTCCTACAAGTTACATTTCCAGACTGTTGACCTGATGAGGTGGCCCCTGCCTGCTACTTGATTTTACCCTGGAGAATACAGTGCAATATTCCCTTTGATTATTTATTCCTCTTGATCATAGAATTAATCTGATTGCTTCCTAATGGTACTAATGTCCATATTCCTTTCAGAAGGAAAAATTAAGGTGACTTTGATGCCCAAATATTATGTTCACATAAGTACATAAATGACCACAAGATGTACAGATGTTTTGAGTTAGACGGGTTTTAAAATTCACACAGACACAGACACACACACACACTCACTCACCTCGTTTTGTAGGTGAGGAAATCGGGGCTACCCACAGAAAGTGGACTACAGGTTTTTTTCTACCAGCCCAGCTTGCTCACATAGGATGTACCCAAGATAGCACATAGATCCAAAAAGGCATCTCTAACAAGGTCCCGGTGGTCTAGCCCCAGCTAGGGTGATATCTGAAAAGCTCAAATAGTTCTATCAGACTTGGGTGTTGATGCAAAACTGAAGGCCTTTGTGTGGCTTGAGGCTACCCTGGGCTTCTGGAATCTGTCAGCAACCTTGCCCTTAATCTGTCCTTCCAAGTTCAAGTGCACGCAGGGATTTCAGCTGGGAGAATCTGCACCTGTCTCCCTGTTCTGCTTTGTTTGTGAGGCTCCTTTCACTACCGCCTTTGTTAAGAGAGATGCACCTGGTTCCTCACAGCAATCAAGGCAGCCAAAGCCAGGGACAGGCCTGGCACAGCACTCGAGAAGTCAGCGTGCCTATCCTAGAAATACCACGCCAGTCTCTGTTCTTTATTCCCATCAAGGAGCACCCACATGTGAGCTTGGAAAACACACAGGCTCTGGAATTTTAAACTGCTCTGCCCTGAAATCCCAGGTGTCACTTCCCATTTGAAATTCTCTGAGGGTTCGCTTTCTCACTATTCAAGTAGAGACATTACCTCCCACACAGGTGCTTACGGGGTGCCATTAAGGCGGAATGGGGTCATGCAGTCAGCGACTTTCTTTTTCTCTCCTAGACCTGGGTAAGATTTGATGCTGTTCATTTTTCTTCAAGGTATTTGAGGGTGAATTCAGGTATGCAGGTCTTACTTAAAAGATGGTGGCCTTCCATATGCGTGGAAGGGTTAGTAAGAGTTGGAGATCGTTTTAAGTGAGAAGATCCAAGCCCTGCAAAGAAGCAGGAAGGCATCAGAAGGGTGATAGAGGGGGCATCCATGGAGCTTGGGAAGAGCCCTAGCAGACTGACTGGAAAGGATTTAAAGATGTCACTGTACTTTGCAGGCTGCCATGGAAACAGAAACTGGGTGGGAAAAGAAGAGCAAATCCCCAGCCTGTTCTTGCAGATCAGTAGACATGAGTCCTGAGTTTTCTTTCTGGGCAAAGCTGGACCGGTTGTTGTCCAGAAGTACCCTACCCCTACCCCTTTTCCAGTAGGGCATTTTCCACATGATTCCCTTTCCACTTTAATAAAAATAATAGTTTTCAGCTGCCTTGACGCACAGGACTCTGGGTGATGTTATAGGTACCGATTTTACAGGGCACTGGGAGATTCACTTCTTTGGGAAGCTGTCTTAGGGTTTCTATTGCTGTGATAGCTTGTAGCAAGTTGACATAACAACAAGAAGGGTTAATTTGATTAAAAGAAAAATCACTGTCCTGAAGTTGAAGACTGCAATGATGTTAAATTTAGAAGGGACAGGAAGCAGGGGGCAAGAAGGACCAGTTTTTACTGCCCTTGCTAACCTGGCTGAGGAATGGAAAGGCAGGGAACTCAGCCCTGAGATTGTCACAGTCTTCATGAATGAATGTTGACCGATGGCTTTGAGTTTGAGGCATTGTTACATCACTCTTTTCCATTCCCTCTCTGCCATGGTGACTTGTCTTGCTTTGAGATTTGTTTTAAAGAAAATATACCCTTGCTGGAGGCTAGATACAGTACTAGCCCCTTGGTGCACTCAATAGAAACATCCTACTATGCAATTCACTCCAGTGTGTTATTGGATCAGAAAGTCAGCGCTATATGAGAAGAAAAGCCCTAAGTAAGGCTGCTTGGCAGTGGATGGCCTCCACCTCCACCTCCACCCCTTGCTTGACAGGGACACCCATTGTACACTTAGCCACACTGCAGACCCCTTGGATAAAGCAGGGTGTCTCACAAGAGCTCAGATGCCATGATAGCCACCTTTGTCATTGATTTCCAAGCTGAGTCTTTCCCTTCCAGTTGCCTCCAGACTGAGGGGCGCATTTTCATTTTGCAACTTATGTACAGTGAGTACACAAATCACAGGAGTGCAGACAGAGACATCATTAGACAGCTAGATACCCATGTGACCTTTTCTCAGACAGACATGACTCCTGTATCCCAGAGGGAGCCTGCGTGCCAGTGGCACAATTCTCTGAGACGTAATTGGGAGGTCCTTCCAAGTTTGTGCCTTCACCTTCACACTTCTCAGGTATAATGAAATGGAGACAAGGCCTGCCCCATCGACACAAGACAGCAGAGATGATGATTCACATTGCAAGTCCATATTCTTGTCTGTTGTATGTTTGAGACTGCATGGACTCAGTCAGTTTCCTTCTGCCCTGGCCTTCATGATTCTAAGGAAACAAAGTGAGACCTCTGTCCAGAGGCTTTTGCTGTATGAACTGGAATCCACATTTTTCAACCTCTACTGTTGCTTTGAGCCTGCCAGGCCTGGCTATTCTGAGCAAAAGATTAGTGAATATTAATGAGCTTAGCATCTATTTTTTAGATATTAGTTCAAATTGTCCTCTAACTTTCTGGGACAGCCTGTGGATAATAGTCTTCAGAGTCACCAGGCTGGCCTGCTGTGCCTAGACCTCCAGTCCCTTGCTAAGAGACACACTTCCCTTGAGTGCTTTGGAAAGTTGACAACTACTGCTTTCTTGGACACTCATTCCTCTCTTATTTAGAATTCACTTGGAAGTGTTGAAGATAGAGCTCACTTGGCTTAGCTTTGCGAGGTTCTGGGTCCTAGCTCTGTACAGCAGAAGAAATAATAATTGGAAAAAGTGAAGCTTCTCTTTGGGTGGGTTCGGAGTTAAATGATTCATTGTTATCTATGGGAGGAATCGTTTTCTTTCCAGGGCATTAAGTCTTCAGGCCCAGCGCAGTCTGTCTCCCACATGCATGCCCAAGCTCATCCCTTCAGTCACCTCTTATGGGTTGTTCACCACGATTTTATAAATAATTGGATTTCATACATAAACAGTTAGGGAGATGTGTGTTGAAGAGTTTTGTTCATATTTGCTGTTATTTATTTTGTAAATTAAAATGGAAATGTATTTTAAAGTTTACTATGTGTTTAGCTTGTTATTGTTTTTAGATGATTAAAATATGATCATGGGCTTAATGGTTTTTCCCTAGTAACAGCTCCTTCAAGACACTTCACCCTCAGGGCCCTTCAGACTGATTTCATTACAGATCTAGAAATGCATACTGTGGGATCCTGGTGTCTGTCTTACATAGAACTAATAAAATCTGCAATCTTTTCATTTCTTTTTTGCCCTGATCACTCATGCCTTTGTTGTCTGAGCTGAGATGAAAGTTTTCTGAAGGAAAGTTATTCCATGTGTGCAGGTTTTATATGTTCTTCATGGGTAAATAGGCACAGGTAAGTGGATAAAGTAAGAACATCTAGGCTGGCCCAATTAATCTATTACTTTTAACAGCTAGTAATGTCCTGTTATCTATGTGTCAAAGGATTACCCTATGTGCTTATCAAAAATATAGATGGCATTTGTCCTGAGGCATGAGTGAATGTTAGGCTCGTGTGTTCTGGACACACATGCACCGACACACGGACTTGAAAAGTGCACACGGGCACACACACATAGACAGTGCATAATTGTGTTATGTATGTAAGGTATGTAAGGTACACTGAGAGGTAAAGTTTTCAGATAGAGGGAAAGCTTTGACATTTAGTAAAGGTAATGTTTTTATATTTGATATCCCCCTTGATCTTTTGGGCCATCTGTGGATTAAGTGGATCCAATAGGCTTGCAAACTGCCATGTGTCATCCCAAGTCTATAACAGCAACAGCAGCTGAATGAACTTTTTTTTATCCCATTCAAGAGAACCCATGGCTCAAGAAAAAAGTTTCCCCAGATATGGTGTTTGATTGAAACCCAATGCTCCAAGTATAATGTATAAGAAGGTCTGTTGCTTTTTAAAAAATAGGTCCATTAATAACAAGTTCAAGGCCCATTTGAGTAATGTGAGACTGTCTAAAACAATCATTAATGAAAGATGGTAGGCTTCCACTTGCCAATCACAATATTTTTTTAAAAATCCAATTTACAATATTCCATGGGAATTTGCTGAAGTTTGAGTTTCTTCCCAATGGTTCTATAGCTACCTGAAAGTTGTGGGGATATGTGAAAATTGTGTCATCACATGTAGGACGTCATGGGATGGCCACAGAACCACGTTGATCATGAGCCCCAGTCACCTGTTTCAGTTCCTACAACCCAACACTCCCAAGTCTCGCCTGATTGGCTGTTCTTTGCTGTGCAGTTTAGGGAATGGTGAACTCAGATCCAGTGGAACTGAGTGGGCCCCCAAACCCTGAGCCTCAGCTTCATCGCTTGAAAGTCAAGACATCATGGCTGTTTGTCATCTTGATGAAAGATGTCTGTGCGTGTATACCTAACATGAAGCCTGACTCTGACCTTGTGGAGGATGAAAGGTGGCCCAGGAGACAAAGGAACACCAGGTTCTGTCTGCAATGGACTGTTTACACTTCTGTTTCTTAAGTTCTCAGGAAGGAAAATGCTGCTGAAAATGGAGAGCTGGTCCTGAGGTCATAAGAGCTGGCCCTGCTCCTCACCAGCTGCAGAACGTGGGAGAGTGGTCACTGAACCTCCCCTGTGAACACAGTAGATTTGCTCATGGCTGCAAGGGGTGAGCTAGCCAGGGCTATGCTGGAGAGCTCACCCTGGTGGTAGTGGTGAGTGTCAGGTCCACCCCAACATCCACCCCCTCTATGATCTGTGGGAGCACATGAAGGGGCTCATCCTGCAGACCCAAGGCTGCAGGACCTCCATGACACAGGACAACAGGATATCCAAGAGGAGTCCCAGTGAGAGCCCAGCATCAATAGTGTAGCAGAAACCAGAGGCCTCGAACCAGACCAAGTAAAGCTATGTGGACGAAAGGGTAATCGACTGTGGCTCACTGTGTCACAATGCAGCTGTGATGGCAAGGCTTGTTCCTTTTGTTTTTCATTTTTTTCTCTTAAATTTTGTTTTCTTGGTGGGGGGATGGTGCAAGGGCAGAGAGCAGATGCAGAAGGGATAGGAAATGAATGGGATCGAGATGCATGATGTGTAAGACACAACGAATAAATAAAAAATGTTTTAAAAATAAAAAGCCTCCTGAGCTTGGAGTCAGAGGCCCATCACATTTCCAGGATTTGATCCACAACGCGTCACTTTATTATGAAATTCATGTTGCTGGGCACAGAAATGCTGAAACCCACACAATTACAGATCTATAACAGGTCACAAATTTCAATGTCCATGTTACACTTGGGTGTTGTGGATCCTTTGGTGCTGATGCATTTACATCTTTTTCTGCCTGGTTTCCTCTTCAATCAGACTTTCCTGAAAAACACATAACATGCATATCAATGCTGAATTGACTAGCTGAATTTTATTGTTTCTGACATTCAGATCTAAGAAGAACAGGTGCATTTGTTATTCACTCAAAAGTGCTAGAAACGTGGCAGACAGTATCTTGTAAAGCTATGGACATCCTAAAATCTTCATTAATCACTAAAAGGATGTCATTTTGAGGAAGGATTGGGTGGAATCAGCCTTCCTTCGAGTCCTTCATGAAGTCATGCGTAAGGAATTTTGGCTGGTTATTTTGATTGGGCTATAGGCAAGATTAGAACAAGAAAGGAAATAGAGATGTCTGCCCACCTTCATCTTTGTTCACTGGGTGTGGAATTTGAAGTCAATGGAAAAAACTGAAATCAGCCTTATCTCCATGCAGGGTTTATGAGGGTTTGCCTGCTCCTCTCAGTAACTGGCAGGGGGCCATATGCTTTCTGACTGCTGCGGGTCAGTGGGAGAGCAGCTCAGAGAACACTGACACTTGTTCTAGGTTCACTTTCCCCATTCAGTTTGTTTCATGCTTCTATTCTCATCAATAACCAATACTACAGCCAGAATGGTAATACAGCCCTGTAACTGTAGCTTCTCAAGAGGTTGAAAGGAACCTCAAATTCAAGTTTGTCTTAAGCCAGCCTGAGAAAGTTAGTGAGATTCTGTGTCACACTAAGAAGATTTTTTTAAGTAAGAGGAGGGTCAATGATATTATCCTTACAGTGCTTGGCAGCATAAGATATTACCTGGGGTCAATACCCAGTACCAAGAGAGAGAGGGGAGAGAGAATGAGAATGATGGGCATTTAGGCCTAACACAACTACAAGTCAAATCTGTGGCTCTGAGTTATAAATTTTGTAAGTTTTGAATATTGTGTGATCCAAAGTGGGGGAGTGACCAAAAGCCTTGTTCTTGGTTTCCACAGTTCCCAGAGTTCTAGAAGCAATGGCTGCATCAAGGGAGGGTAGGAGTCAGCTCAGGGATGAGTAGCTAGGGGGTTGAATATTCTTTGAAAATTGGAGGATCACAGTGGGATGAAGTTTGCCAGTCATTCCAAAGGCTGGATCTGGATTGGTAGATAAAGGGTACATAGACACATGTAAGTCAGTTTCAGAAGGAGTGGGGAGGACTGCTGTGAGCTGTCAAGGGCCCTGCTGCAGGAGTGACTCAGGTGGCTCTGAGGAGGTGGCAGGCCACCGTACCCAAACTCCTTTCTGACTCTAGCTCTATGCAGTGACCACTGTAACTCACCAGAACTCCTCGAAGGTCCCTGAGGGGCGAGCGGGGCCAGTGGACAGTGCATTCGAGGTGCTGAGGCTCTGCCAGCTGATCCACCTCTTTGTCCATCTGGAGATAAGAATGAGATTCTCGAAGACAGAAACTAAACAGAGCTTTCCATTGCCACCAAGAGTGAGGACTAGGGGTTATGATGCTGAGTAAGAGGTCTGGGGAATTGCGGGTCTAGGAGTTTAAGGATGCTTTTTTTTTTTTTTTTTTTTTTGGTGTTTCAAGACAGGGTTTCCCTGTGTAGCTTTGGAGGCTCTCCTGGAACTTGCTCTGTAGACCAGGCTGGTTTTAAACTCTGCCTCCGGAGTGCTGGGATTAAAGGCGTGCACCACCAACGCCTGGCTTAAGGATGTATTTTTAAAGAGTGAGCTGGAGTTTGGGAGGTGATGAAGATGGTAAGAAGAGATCGTGTTCTCTCAGACAAGAGTGAAGTGCTCTGAACCTCACGGACAGGACACAAAAAGTGCATGAACTTTATAGTCCTGATTGGGCTGGGTTTCTGTTATGTTGTTTTGTTGCTGCTGTTCTTTCATTTTATTTCAAACAGGGTTTCACTCTGTATCCCAGACTACTCCCAGACTCACTGTGGATCCTAGTCTAGCCTTGAACTAGCTTAAAGTGGTGTGTTTGTGTATCAAATTGACAAGGGGTGGGACTGTGACAGTTGTTTCTAATAGTCAATTCGATATAATGTAAATCACCTGGGAAGAGACTGTCTAGATCAGGTTGGCTGTGGACATGTCTCGGATCTTGAATGTTTACGGATGTGGGAAGATGAAGCCCACTGTGAGCAGCATTATTCCCTGGGTTTGGGTCCTGGAAAGTAAGGTGTGTGCTAGGCATACATTTATCCTGTCAGTTCTTGACTATGGATGTTTCTAGCTGTTCTGAGTTCCTGCCCTCACAATGATGAACTCTCCAGAACTGTAAGTCACATAAACCATTTTCCCCTAAATTACGTTTGGTCAGTATGTTTTATCATACAGAAATGAAACTGGCACAGAACCCTCCCTTTTTAGCCTCCAAAGGACTTCGACTACAGGTGTGAGTACCACACCCAGAGAGGTTGATTTCTAGTTTTCCTTACATCTTAGGTCCATGAAATTTGCTTCAAAAAGAATCCACAGAGCACAGGCTTCAGGCTCTGGGGCTTTGTTCTATCTTCAAAGCCAGACAACACCTTGGTTGTAAGTTTCTTCACTATGTTTCTTCTCAACTCTGAGTTACTGCTTGGACTGATCAGCTACTGTAAATAGCTTCTCTTATGTAATCTTCCCCATCCTTAATAAGTGAAGTTTTAAGATAAAACAAGGGTCCTACATTAATGCTGGTGCTAACGTTGCAACCTAATCTGGAGGAAATTAAATCTAGTACATTTTCCACTTCACAATCTTAAATTGGATAATGCATGGAATTAAACATCCTCCAAGTTCTTTACTAAAATGTCTCTATCAGTGGCAAGAAATAACAGCACTTATGTCCTTGATACAGATACTTGCTGATGAATTATACAAGAGCATTGATTTGATATCATAGACACTTGAGAGCATGGTGCCTTGTCATGGAACTTGGTGTTACACTCCCTTCACATCTGTCCTACTGTTGGTTTCCTTAGTCTCTGTCAAAGGTGCAAGGAGGAATCTGGCTTCCACTCCATGAAGTCTTGTCTCACTGGAGTCAGTATCTAGGGTAAGCTCAGAGTCGTGCCACTGGGGGCGGCTCACACAGTTAGAAGTTAATCAATGCGGGGAAACTTACCTCTTGGAAAGAATCACCCAAGCGTTCAGCGTTTCTCTTTCCTCCAGGGCGCAATCCATAGGACCAGTGCTGGCTGGAGCAGCCTTCCAAACATAGGCTCAGCAGAAGAACAGCAGCTGTAAGTTTGGGGATCATCTCCACTCTAAGGGACATCAAGACACCATCATGACAGACCCATACTGAAGGAGAACAGAGTGCTTAGCAAAGAGACAAGCATCTGGATCACTGACCAGCCGCAAAGGGAGTCATGCAGCTGGTATGCATTTCATGAAGACAATGAAACACAGCGACATCTGCCTGTCTTGAGCTTTTTAGACCTTGGGGACAAACACCTGTACTTGATTCTGGCATCTTCAGTGCTTTTTTGTGGTATAGTCCATTTTTAGTTTTGTTTGGTTACCTGAAACCCATAATTCATTCCTTACCGAATTCACTTTGCCTGTAACCCTCCCCATTACAGAACAGTTCCCAACTTTGTCATTCATGAAGTTAGAACTGGGCCATCTGCTTTGAAAAAGCAGGTCCTCGTAGATGTCTCTAGTTAATAAGAGGTTGCTTGACTTTAAATGGCTACCCTGTGGCATTGCTGATATCTAGTCTTTAAGGCATTACAGCTGCCGGGACCAGCTTCAAGACCAAGAACTGATCCAAGTGAAGATACTAGCTCAGATACCCCTCTTGCCTAGTAAGCCTGGAGTTAGTTGATAAAATGTGCCTCTAAATTAATTTCATCTGATGGGGATGAAGCCAAAATCAGTGTCCAACACTGGACCATGCTGGCTTCCTCCAAGATTGGATCTCCCCCAAAGGTTGGTGGTTGACAAGGTCAGTCAATGAAGGGTAAGGCTTCCCTTGGATACCATCACATCTAGTCTTGAGTGCAAAATACCCTGTAGACATACAAAACAAGCAACATTAAAAATAGTGCTAGAAGTACAAAGAACTTTACCTGTTGGGAAGTGAAAGCCAAAGAGATACAAACTTCCTTTGGTGGGTTGAATGCTGCAATGTTTCTGCTTTCTTGGCTTCCTTTTTATATGTTTTTTTTTTCTGGGACATCAAAATCTTCCCCGCTGGTGAATGACAAGGTGTAGCACAGCACAGACAACAGTTTTAATAATGATATTTAAATCCTCGCAAAAAGCCTTTTAATGGTGAATGTAATTGGGACACCTGCTGGTCTATCTGTTATATTTTCTTAAACCTGGTCATTAAAATCTTAGCCAAAACTTTCACAGCTGAAGTCACCATTCTAAGGGATTAAAATCCAGCTCTGCAGTGTTCCCCTGAGGAAGCTGGCAGCCCTATGAGAGTTCAAGGAAAATCAATGTCTTGGGTGAGATGAAGTTAAACAGACACACACAAAACTTTCACAGGGAAGCTAAGCAATAAATACAAGAAGTTGAGACAGAATGTGTGCGAACCAGTATTAGCAATTGGGTCTTGGTAAAAGGAAAATTTAAGTCAGATAATCATAGTGTTGTTCCCAAGCTAAAAAATCTAATTTAGGGCTGGTGAGATGGCTCAGTGGGTAGAGGTTGCTGTCAGTTCTGATGATCTGAGTTCCACCCCAGGGTCTCACAAGGTAGAGGAAGAGAAATGATTCTCTCAAGGTGTCCTCTGACCTCCACGCACATGCTGTGCGACAGACAGACAGAAAGACAGACAGACAGACAGACACACACACACACACACACACACACACACACACACACACACACACGCAAACTTTTCCTATCTTTACCCTGCCTATAATCCATGAAAGTCAGTCCTCTACTTCCTGCCTGTTAATGACTCTGCATCTGCTCAGCATTCAACACACGGAAATGTCGCTGAGACGCTGGTTTGACAGACCCTGCCTCAATTTAAACTCCCAAGGTTATTTTATCTGATACAGAATGAAACCTCTATGTACAACATATTGTAAAATTTGTTACACTACCTAAGCTTCAAAATGCTTTAAAAATGACACGGTGTTTGATCTTTACACAGCTGAGACTGACAACATCACTGGTAGGATGCTAAGCCCAGCAGTCGCTGCCCAGTGTTCTCTGAAGTAATTCCATTTGTAAGGGTTTCTAGTAACGAGTAACAGTATCAGGTCTAGATAAGAGCCATTGGCTTCCCAGGCTTCTCTGCCCAGTCCTTATGACAGGGTAGAGAAGAGTGACTTCAGTGGCTATCATTTCATTTAGCGGTTACTCTGACACAGTGTGTAGAACCTCATCCCACTAGAATATGTGAGTGAGGTGATTTTTCAATAAGAATTCCTGAAGTTCAAACAATTTTACTTTAAACTGTCCATTGCATTTTGTTTGTTAGAGATGTGCTTCTAAGTGTTAATCAGGGGAAAAAACAAAAACAAACAAACAATCTGTGGCATCTGGCTAGACCTAACAGAAGGATAAAGATGTGGGGACCCGGTTGTCAGTGAGCCTCAATGTATCCATACTGATTTTAAAAAATTCAAAAATATTTATGAAGACAGCGACACAGATGGAAAATATCAGATATGGCCTGGCCTAAGTACACATAGACTTGCCTCAGGTCACACAGAGCATAAGGACAGAAACCGAATGTGTCCTACTTTCCACAGCATCAAAAGAGCTAGTAAGCCATTGTGCCATCCGGTGAGGTTTTGAGGTGTAGAGACAGACTTTTAGATCTCTCATGAGTGCACACTTAAGCCAACTTACCTAAGATCTGAAATTGATCAGCTGGTTTTAAATAATTGGATTTTATAATTGTCACAATTTTCTAAGTCCAAAAGAACATTTTATAGGGGGAAACTACTTCATTTTGAACAAATAGCTCAAAATGACCACAATGATCTTATACCTTTCTGAATGACAGGTGAACAACCTCTTTGTTGCCCTAATGTAAAATCTCAGCAGGAGGCCTGTGGGGCTAACTGTAGCTCACACCAATAAGCCAGGCACTGAAAGGTTTGAGGATGAAGCCTTGGGGAACATGCTTTATCCTGAAATAATGTAACCATTTTTCTTTGTAGTTTGACGCCTTTCATTTTAAAGATACTACTTCCTTGGGGAATTTAATATAGTTTTTCATGTATAAAAGATTATTTCAAATTGACCTGGAGGCAGGCTTGTGACATAAATAACATTCATAAAATGAATGGGAGAAAATAGGGCTTGATTACTAAAGAGAAACCCATTATAGTAATGACTTTATAACATTTCTTATTCAAAATCCCTTCAAAGGGTTGCTGAGAAACTTAACTGACTGACACTACTGCCTTGGACAGTTACTTGAGTAGAGAACCGAGTATTACCAATGGAAACCATCTAACCAATGTAAGCTGAGAACCTGTTTACAGCCCTCTCACAAGGCTCTATTTGAACTTATATACCCACATGATCACCACCAGGGATAACGCAAGCTTTACTATTCAGAACTCTTCCTTTCTTAGAAATCTCTCTCCAAGACGTCAGGCAAAACCACATTTCTTGCCCAATACAGCAAATGAACAGTAATATTCATGAGCTATAGAGCAACACAAATCACTGGATGTCTTCCTTAGTGGAAAACCAAAAGTGTTGTACCATGGTAGTCTCTGAAAAGAGAATCATGAAACCACGTCCAAGAAGTGAATTTGCTTTAATGGCTTCTCCAACAAAACTAATCCATTAAGAGCACCATACCGTTCGCTCCTACATGCACCATCATGAATAACTGTGGGAAATGCAGAAAGGTTGAATTTCAAAAGCAAGAGCAGAAGCAGCCTGTCAGCGTTCCACACTGTTTATTAATGCGGTTTACATCAGATCTGAACCCTGCAGTTCCCAAGCGCACCGTGTTTACATCTTCCAGCTCCTCTGCAGTCTCAGGTCTGTCTGCAGAGGACCATTCAGTGAACGAACACAGTCTATAATTATTGAAAATAGAGTGCAGTGAAATGAGTTAAATATAATTTAGGCACATATTGATTATGAAAATAGGTATCTCTCAATACAATACTTCTCTGTCTTGGTAAAAATAATAACGCAAAGAAAATAATTCATTTTCAAAGTTGCTTTCCTGTCCCTGTAAAGGTGCGCTCTCCTCCCACTGTGCATGTGAGCCCTTTACTGTGAAGGAAAGCTTTGCATATGTAGGTAGAAGAATAAGCTACAGAATAATGAAGACATGCCACTCTCCTGAAGGAGACAAGGTCACCTGTGATGACTCACTACCTCAAGCTGATGAGTCTGTAGGATTTAGAACCCATTTGGACACAGCTTATATTCCCTGCTCTTAGAAAACACATAAGGACACTGGGACACCCACTAAGAAGGCCCTACTGCTGCTGCTGTTGCACAGATAATGAATAACTCAAGAAAACTTGACTACAATTTCACTCAAAAACAAGACAACAGAATTTTTTTTAAAAATTAAGAACCACAATTACTGACTGACTGATAATGTAGCTTATACTAGCCGAATGCTTAATTTTTATTCATCATCTTTTGGTGGCTCTAATCAAACCATCAGTTTAGAACTCCTTGGTCCCCACTGTAGGGTTTTAGCTGTAACCATCTGATGTTGCCTTCTCATAAGCCACTCTACAGCATTTATTCATACTTTATAGTTCAAACTGCAGTGGATTTAGGTTATTCTAAGCTGCTCCTGTACAAACTACTTGGCATTACATGAACTATGCTGAGGATACAGGTTGGTGTTTTGGTTCTGAAGTATCTTCTTATGCTTGTGAGAACTGAGCACGAGAACTGGACTCTGAATGGACAGAGCAGCCTAAGCTAGTGCTGAATGGAACTTGCCCATGACGAAGCCGAGGCATGCTCACTGGATAGCTGCAGCAACTGGTGGAGCCTTCCTCCTCCTACAGAGTAATATACAAGGTCTTTCCTTCCATCCTGCCTCAAAATGGGAGGACAGAATGGGACTCAAACATTATAGAAATGAATCTGAAAAGAGCCATAGGGAGTCTTACCCTCACCACACTCACATGGTGATAGGGATTTGAGGAGGGAAGGCATCACTAAAGCTATTTATAAACTTCAACAACTCTTCAGTTTTCAAGACGTTTAACAATTTAAACATCCTTATTGTATCTAGGTGTTCAATAAATATATTTGCATATATATTGTGCTTTTCATAAATTAAAATTCTCAAATGCATCGTAAACCAAGATGGTACTTCTACACAGTGCCTATATAAAAGCAAATATAATAGATACTACTCCTGGTCAGAAACCAGACAAATGCCTCAACTCCACTCAAAATGCAGCAGCACGATCTACTTTCCCTACATCTATAAACAGAGTGTTCTTCTGCTACAGTCACAATATGGGGGAAATCCAGTTGTTTCCCCTTATGCACCTCTGGGAACAAGCATTTGCTTCTAATTCCCGTACAATGTTATCTCCTGTAGACAATTCGATGGATGAAGAAATAAAATAAAGACACGTTTTCATCAGAGACATCTTCCTCCAGCTCTTGCCACTCTCATCTGACACTCTGGGACATATGTAACGGTGTCAGCATCTCTTCAAATATGGCACCCTTCACGTTGGAACCTCTCAGGTTGGCTTCCTGGAGGTCACACCCGGACAAATCACAGTTCTGTAAGACAAAACAAGAGTTTTGGAGCTCAGGTGATTTAGGATGAGACTTGGCTCTCCATAAAATGATTTCTCAGCATGGCAGGACAATATTCCAAGTGTTCCCATTTTTGAAACACTTCTACTAATGCACTGTGGTGGTTTCAATAAGAATGGCCCCCACAGGCTCCCATATTTGAATGCTCAGTCACCACACCACAGAGTAGAGCTGTTTGAAAGGATTAGGAGGACTGGGAGGTGTAATGTCATTGGAGGAAGTGTGTCACTGGGGTGGATTTGGAAATTTGAAAAGCCCATGTTAGGTGTGTGCTGGCTCCACCCTCCCTCTGCTTATGGGATCAGGATGTAGCTCTCAGTGACTTCTCCAGCACCATGCCTGTCTGCCACCATGCTCCCTGCCATGATAATGCACTAAGCCTCTGAAAGTGTAAGCAAGCACCCAGTTAAATGCTTTGCCTAGTATTCATGACGGCTCACAACGATCTGGAACTCAAGTTCTAAGGCATCCACTGAATGCCCTCCTCTTACCTTCATGGGCACCAGGCATGCATATGGCATATGCAGCAGGCAAAGCACTTATAAACATACATGGAAAGAATTGAAAGGACTAGATTAATGGTGCACAGCCAGTTCCTTTTGCCTTTAAAGGAATTTGTTGCTCTGATCCTAAGAACTATCAAGAGATCAAGGTGAAAACACAGAAAAAAAAGTCCACAGTAATCTAAATTTTCATATACAATTCTATCTGTGCCATATGTCATGTTGTTCAATAAGACACAGCTACCAGAAACATGTAACTATTTAAGTTTAAATGAATTAAAATGAAGTAATTTTCTTTAGAACTGTGTCTCGGTTGTACCAACTTCAATTGTCCAACAACTAAGGGGTTAGTTGGCCTGTGTACTCAACAGCACAGATACACACACACCTCAGTGCGGGAAGTAGCACTTGGCAGCACTCTGTAGACAACGGCCACTGAGCCAGGTATGGAGGCACACACCTATGATTCCAGCATTTGTGGGGCTGAGAAAAGAAAATCATATATAGCCTGAGCTATATAATAGAGTTCTTATATGCAAACAAACAAGCTACCTAACTATGTAAATCAAAAAGACAAATAGAATATAGGTCTTATGAAAAATAATAGACAAAATTAAAAATCTCAAACTGAGATTCAAACTGAACATGAACCTAATGTTAAACCTTGAAATGATATACATTTCTCAAGTAGTTTGAAAAATAATCTGGCCTGTTAAATTCTGTTTGGAATTAAAATTTATGAAAAATGTAGTGTATGCCTGAGCAAGATCCAAGAAAACAGAGACAAATGAAATCCAGGCTGGCTGACCACCGCATTAGTCTCTCTCCGAGTCTGAAGTGGCACCAGCACTTAGATGACACATCAGATCTAACGCCGAAACTCAGTCATTCAACAAACAAATGACTCCCCACTATCCCATTTTTTGGAGGGGAGAGGTATGGGGTCTCACTGTTTATTCCAGTCCAGGGTCACAATCCCAATCCTCCCACTTCAGCTGGGATTATAGGTGTGAGTCTCCATGCCCACCTTCAGAAAAAACAATGGAAAGGGCAATAGCCCTCCAGCCACCCGGCCATGCTGAGTGGCGCTTCACAATTTCCATAAGCTTGCATGATCCCACCAGTAACCCTCATCCTTAAACTCCTCAGAGCCTAACCTCCAAGTCGGTTCCTGCCAAAGTTGCCCCTCTGAGATTACAGTTCTTCAGTTTTGCATTTTTTAAGGTGGCAACTCGAAGGTTAATTCCTGTCATCTGACTTCCTTCCATATCCACGCCTTTCAGATTAGCACCTGCAAAAAAAAAGCAAGGTTTTGGGGGAGCTTACCATAAAAATATTTACAGTTAACCACTGAAAACAAAAGTACAAGATGATTTAAGGAAGGGGAATGAGCCAAGACCCCACAACTTGTGGAAATAAATTTACCCAACTTGCAATATAGATTTCAATGGTGGCAATTTATTTTTTTTTTAAGATTTTTTTATTTATCACGTATACAATGTTCTGACTGCATGCCAGAAGAGGGCACCAGATCACATTATAGATGGTTGTGAGTCACCATGTGGTTGCTGGGAATTGAGCTCAGGACCTCTGGAAGAGCAGCCAGTGCTCTTAACCTCTGAGCCATCTCTCCAGCCCCTTATTTTCTTTTTTAAGATTTTATTTATTATATATACAGTGTTCTGCCTGCATGTATGCCTGAAAGCCAGAAGAGGGCACCAGATCTCATTATAGACTGCCATGAGCCACCATGTGGTTGCTGGGGATTGAACCCAGTCCTCTGGAAGAACAGTTAGTGAGTGCTCTCCAGCCCCAGTAATTTATTTTCTTATGGCATAAAATAAAATGTTTGAATAATACTTCTGAGGAGAGAAATCAATATTGTCTTTTGATAACTAGCACTTTTCTAATATGCCTCTGTAAAATCATGATCAAGGGAGACACACGCACCATCTCACCTAAATCCACATAAATAAAATGCCAAACAACAAAACACTAGTGAAATATTAAAACTCGACACAACACTGCAGGGTAAACTGAAATTCCTCATTTTTGTCAACATAAGAAGAAGATCTTATTTTCAGGGTTGGAGAGATGGCTCAGGGGTTAAAAGCACAGACTGTTCTTCCAAAGGACCTGGGTTCAATCCCAGCACCCACATGGCTACTCACAACTGTCTGTAACTCCAAGATCTGACATCCTCACACAGACACACATGCAGGCAATGCATATAAGGTTAAAAAATACATAATTAGAATAATTAAACACAAAAATAATATCTTATTCTCTTAAAAAGTTCAGAGGTTGATAGATATTTAATTGACTGGGATCAAAGTAAAGTGACTCTCCAGTTCTGGCCTCAGAGGAAGCTCCACCCACAGCCTTCCTGTTTCACCTCTAACAACAACTTTATTAATGGTTTCCTTCTAGGCAGGAATAGGCAGATAGGCTCTCACCCTCTAAGTTGGCTTTAAGACCGGAAGGATCCTCAAAATTACAGAGCCTCAGGGATGCGCCTTCTGCGTTTGAGCAGAGCATCTTGACTCCCTGGAGATTTGCACACTGTGAACACAAGAGTCCCGGCTGTAAGGGTTAAACTTGATAACATCTGTGCAAGCAATAAGAAAGAAATTAATAGGAAAGGCCCAAGTCAACACATTTGCAATTTGCTATTTTCTGTTTATCCTGAAGACACCTTTAAAGAAACCCAACAAGAACTGAGAACTTTTGAAAGAACTACATTAAATGTAAACACCAAATGAACAACAGCATGTCCATTTTGCATAGTGCATGAGATCAGATAAAGCTATGCAATCTAAACTATGACAGCCTATTCTATCTTTATAAACAGCCCTAGACATCACAAAATAATGTTCAAAATGTAAGTGAAATAAGGAAGACATAAACTCAGGGGATAGAATTTATCTTCCTAATCATGAAAGGAATTAAAAAAAAAAGAAATTCTTGATGTCCCATTCCTTCAGAGGCCAGGACACTAATGCCACCACTCGCTTCATCATTTATCTATACAACACTAACCACCTGTTTCTTGAGTCTTTCTGTGTCAACCACTGCTCTATGGCATTGCCAATCCTGAGCACAATGCATAACGAGGAGAGCAGAGAGTTGGAAAATTCATGCGTGAGTTTAAGTGTGAAGTCATTGCTTTCAAGGCCTGGAGTATATGAGGTATTGATCAAAATGACAAGTGTCTCTGTAAAACTAACATTAAAATATTTCTTCACAATTGTGACAATCAAAACAGAAGCTGAGTGTGTTAAAATTTGCAACGTAGAATATACATGATAATTGTTCTTTGTCTAAAATCCTAAGACTGATAAGTTATAACCATACTTATTAAGGGAGATCTTTGGTTTTTGGCGGCAGTTGTATTCAGCTTCAGTCACTTCCAGTAAAAGGAGACAAGAGAGAGGTAGTCCCACTAACAGTCAATGGACAAATACTTGCTTACTCCCATCTTTCCATGCCTGGACCCTAATGAGAAAGTACAGAAGCTCTGCCAAGGTAGATGATATAAGGATATTAAGAGATCAAAATAATTAAAGGATGACTAGATGTATACCTTAAAATCTAACAAGACAGGAAGTTGCCATCTGCAAATGAATGCCACTGCTTTTGGTTTTTCTCTATTAATACTCCCAAATAAGACATATGACCTTTACCCAGATTTCCCAGGTAATTCTGCAGGTAAAAGTCTACATCCAGGACTGTGCTCTGGAATATCATGAAGTAGGAAATACAAGAAAAACTGTAGTAAAATTTTCAATCTTTAACCATGCAAAGCACTTCAGGTTGTTACTTCTGAGAATGTGCAATTCAGCTAGTAACATCAGTACCATATTTATAAGAACTGTTTTATATTATCAAGAGAGGCAATGTGTTTTGATGAAACCAGTTAGGTCATTTACTGTTATTTTAAAAATATATGATATTATACTTCTTAAATGGCATTTGTCTTTAAGAGATAAAATTCTATATATTTTGAAGTAATGTGCTGTGTAAAAATATTCTGTGGTAAAGTACAAAATAAAGAAAGTTGACTACATGCTAGTGTTTGCTGAGGTTAATGGACAAAGATAAAATGGAGATTCACTGTATTATTAAATTTTGTAAATATTTGGTATTTTCCAAATGAAACAGTCCTTTTAAAAGAAAAATAAATACAAAGAAAGCACTCTTTGGATTCTAGTTCCTACTCTAATAATTCTTTCTGGCCTTTGGCAAGTCTCTAGGCTACAGATTAGCAGCCTATAAAACAAGGTCAGACTAAGCAAGCCTTCCAGTTCTTGGTACTCTAAGTTCCCATCAATCTATCAGGCTGTACTAGGAATATGCAGCGAAGATAAGAGATGAATCATCAGCCTCTATGCAGCCAGACAAGTCAAAAGCCAGCAAAGCATGCAGAAGAAACACCTTCTGATGCAAGGTATGGACTCCTCAACAGTGATGGCAACAGGGACCACCTATGTTTACAGTCAAAGTGGTGGATTTCTCCACAAAGGTTCAGGGACTATGATGGAAAGAAGCAAAATTACAAACTGGGTGATAAGTTCAACAAAAGGCGGGAGCCCTAGGGGCACCCTTTATGGCAGAATGCTCAACACATACCATATTTTATGGACATTGCAATATTCATGGCTATTAATCAACGACCACCTTCAAATACCAAAGGCAATGAGAAGTTAACTTTGACCCTCATAGCTTACAACTTAGCACCACTCCTCAATATAAGTCAATTTTATTAGCAGTGATTAACTTACATTCCTATTACATTTCACTATATGAGAAATATATACTGGTCTTCACATCCACTATTTAAGGTAGGCAGAAAGAGAATCTTGAGTCCTAGTGCACAGAGAACATTATGTCTCAGTTCACAAGAACACCTTAATTAAATAGATTTGAAAAAACAGTTGTTTTGAAATGACGAAATCTATCTTTATCTTTTTCTGTCCCTACCTAAACTAAGCAGTCTTCCAACATTTCAATGAAAGCTAACTCCTTGAAACTTGTCTTTATGCTGTGAGTTTATGTCTTCTGCCTATTTTGAAACTAGACCATTCAGCCTGAGGTAGAACAGAGAGAGTAGCAGTATCTAAAATGTATATTGGCTGATTTTTTTTATTAGACTTGATATAGAAGTTGTGATAAACAGGATGAATTAATGAATAAAACCAAAATTATAATAACTCAATAAATGACTATCAAAAGCAAAATGCTATACCTGGTATAATTAATTAACAAAACAGACTAGAACCCTGAGATAAAGAATTTGTTACTGGCTCTGTATGTATTCTCTACCAGAATAACCCAGGTAACTACTACATAAATACATATACATGCATAAACATATATACATGACATATTCTCACATATGTGTAGAAAAAGGAAGAGTACCATCAAGATGCTGACTTCCAGAATGCCCACCACACCCACTTTAGATCTCTCCTCCAGATACTTCTAGTCATTACCTTTCCCATTCACAAATGAGGCTCGGCAGATTTCATGTTCTTTCTGGCTTTCCATATAAGTTGGCAAATAATACAAGTTCTGACAAAGCTAGTCTACTACTTTGAGGAGCTCAGGACCTCATTTCAGGATTTAACCTTATGTTTCACAAAGGATATGAATAAAACCAACCCATTCCACCTTTAGATACTCCAGAGTCAGCCACATGGTAGTTATCTATGTTGAAGTAAACACTCTGCAAGAAACATACAATTCCTGCATTTGAGAATACTCAACAGCCTAAATTTTAATTTTCCTTATGACTAAAGAACGTTGATTCTTACGTCGAGAACTGATCCAGAAAGATCAGCTCGTTCAAGATTAGCACAGCAGAGATTTGCATGTGCAAGGTTGCAGCGGCTTAAATTGGCCATTTTGAAGTTAATGTATCGAAGGTCCAAACGGGAAAGATCAGCACCACTGAAGTTTAAGCCCTGGAATTAAAAAGCAGACTGTCATGATGCTGGAACTTTCTGTCTGAACTGAGCTTAATTACTGTAACTAAGCACTGAGATTTTCAGAAGCCATTGGCCTTTCCATCACTTGGAATTTATTATCAGCATAAGCAAGCACAACTGAGTACATGGCTTTCATGGGTTCTCATAAAAGGAATTTTATCTCTACATATTAGCATAGAGCTGGCTACAGTCACTGAAAGATGGATATCCTAGAGAGGGACCATAGTCCATCGTATACCTGCTGATAACCATTACTGTGATAAACTGAAGAGCAATCATTTTACGAATTCTCAAATCCAACCATCTTATTTAAGGGGAGTAAAGATGGTGTCTTCAAAATCTGTACTGCTTTAAAACTCAAACGTTTCTACCACTGACTGGCCACACATGGTAACTGCATATAAACTTAAAAAACTGCTGCAATGTCCATGTTACTCAAGAACTGCACTAATTATGACAATCAAAAAGGCTATTCCATCTATTCTGTGCTAGTCACTTTAAAATTAAATCAAGGCCACAGGTTATAATTAAACCACATCTTGCATTTAAAAAAAAAAAAAAAGACACTCAGGATTGTGGAACCGCTTTTAGATCTGTCTGCTTCAGTTACCTGGCAGCGCAGCTCTGACTTCGTTGGAGTGGCCAGCAGAAATCGAACAAATTCCTTTCGAGATATTGGTGAGTGATCCTCCGGTGGTTGGGAATTCTTGAAAAAGATATTAAAAAAAAAAAATCAATGGTGTCTTTGGGGTAATTCTTAGGATAAGTGTAATATTGATCAAGATAAAAAATTCTCACCTTTATGGCCACTTCTAGATGTTCGATCAGTGAGTCAATACCAAAAAACCTGGCTTCTTCTAGCACGCCTATCAAAATACAAAGCATGTGATTTTCACACAGAACAATTCACTTTGATATTTACATAGCTTTTTTTTCTGTTAAGCTCTCACAAGTGTTGAGGTTCCACAAGTAGGCCTATTTGTTTATTTGCTTATGTGTGTGCATGTGTGTACATGTGGGTAAAAACCAAAGGACAAGCTCAAGTGTTGCTTCTCAGGTGATGACCACCTTTTGTTTGAGAGTCTCTCTCATTTGCCTGGAACTTCACCTAGCAGGCTGGGGCGCTCTGCAGGAGTGTCCAAAGATCCTCCTGTCTCAGTTCTTGCTGTGATTACAAGCTCAGGCTGCCATGTCCAGCTTCTGAAGTGGATCCTTAACCCACTCCAGTTAGTCAAACATTTGGGTCCTGACACTTAAAAGACAAGCACTTGCCGGGAGGTGGTGGTGCACACCTTTAATCCCAGCACTCGGGAGGCAGAGGCAGGCGGATCTCCGTGAGTTCGAGGCCAGGCTGGACCGACAGCCTCCAAAACAATACAGAGAAACCCTGTCTCGTTAAAAAAAAAGACAAGCACTTCACTGACTGAGCTGTCTCCCTAGTTAGAGGGAAGAAGCGTCGTCGTCAGCAACAAGTAGTGGTTTAGAATGCTCCTACATAATGTTGAAAAATATTTTGAAAACATGTTTTTCTGAGACAGATTTGGATATAATCTCATCAGTTGGGGGATAGTCTGGGACACACAGTTTTCCGGTTAGTCTGGGTTACACTATGAGACTCTGAGCGGGGGGAAACAACAGGTTTTTCCACCAAAGAAAAAACCAGAAAGCTAATAATTACAACAAAATCTTGGCATATTTCTAGATTCTATTGTAGTTAAGTAGGCCATTAGCAAAAAATCTTAACACTATATAACTATATAACACTAAAATAATCAATTTAGTGGTGACTTTATTGTAAATCAAATTAAAAGCAGTTCATTTAATCGTAACAATTCATCTACTTTATTAACAGAGTGAATGATTGATTAGGTTTGCTATAAATATCTCAGTGAGTCAGAAAATGATAAAAATGAATAAGAGTTTAAATCAAATTCACAAAATAACTCAATAGTGTAATTCAGACATTTACACTTTATTTCTAAATGGTACAGAGGATTTTGTAGATCATACGCTTTGCTCAGCATGGTTAAATAGGCACACATCTGCATGTGCTTTAGGAGACTCTTTTATTAGAGTATAAGTTAGCCCAATGGGCCATGTGAGGACTATCACTCAGTTGGCTAAACTCACTCAGGAATTACAAAACCAACAGACACAACCCTTCCCTTTAGATTCTAAACTCGTAAGAAAGGCCAAGCAGTTAGTTGGGAGGAAGCAAATACTCTCTTCTGGGAAAGTCAATGTCCACTTCCAGTCATACAACTGAAGAGGAAAGCTCAGAGCGGCACAACAAGGAAGCTGGCACACGTCCATGCCCAGCCTCAGGTGCACACTCACGGGGTCACGTGTTCCATGCCCAGCCTTAGGTGCACACTCACGGGGTCACGTGTTCCATGTCCAGCCTCAGGTGCACACTCATAAGGTCACGTGTTCCATGCCCAGCCTCAGGTGCACACACACGGGGTCACGTGTTCTCTGCCCAGCTGCAATGCTCCTTCTCTGTATCCCTCCCAAGAGGCAGTGCAGGTATAAATCCTTATAAAAATCCAGAATAAAGATGCTCTCTTGGCCTCCCTCTCAGTTCACCAAGACCTTTTGTGTAAACCAGACCCTCTTGGGGAATGTGGTATGGTTTCCTTTCTAATCCAACTTTAAAACATCCAGAAACATACACAAAACCCCACCTTCAAACAGCTGAAAGGAAATCCAGTCTATTTTCCACTAGCACCAGTAACACCTAGACTTGAACTCTAGTTCCACTACTCCACTTCTGTCTTAGAAAAATTACTGTAGATTATTTTTAAAGTATTAGATGACGTGAGGGAACCTGCCAGCATTAGAAAAACTTTTGGGTAGAAACTGTACTTATTCAAAATGATGTATAAAATGTACCAAGGAGTGTTCTTCACTCACGGACATGAGAAGAGGACATCACAGAACACTGGTATCAGAGGAAGTGGCTCTGACAACTGCTGACCACCAGGATGTACACTTTTGAACTAGTTTGTGGGAAGAACCTGGATATTTGGGAAAGCATGGTAGAAAATGCTAACACCTCTATCAGTGGAGTTTAATAAACAATACTGCTGGAAGCTCAGATTACCAGACCAGTAGGAATGCAGAAAGTAAAGGCCTGGTTCACAACACTTAGAATCCTACTGTCTTAGCATAGAAGTCATTCATATTATATTCTGGCAAAGGATTTCTTCTTAGTGTCCAGGACCCAAGAGCTTAAGTGAGGCTGAGTTTAAAAACAATGGACTAATTAGCCTGCTGGAGGGAGTATCAAGACAGTTGAGCATCCAGACTGCATCCCAGGCAGCAGCTACTTAGCCTGGCTTCTACGGAGAACTGGAAGCACAAAACAGAAAAATAAGACTTGAAAACCAGTATTTTGGCCAGAAAAAGAATGTATATAACTTTGTAGATGAGGGGGGAAACTTGATAAAGAGTTTAACACCATCTCAAAGAGATCAAGTACTTTGATAGTGGACTTCTCAGGAACTGACTCACCACCACAGGACCACGGATATGAAGGTCTGACTTCACTTGAAAATTTTTGCATTGAGAAGGCAAGTAGAATTAGCAAAGTGTTTTTTTTTTCAGATGCAGTCATGCAGGTTTTCAGCATACATTCCATGTCATAGTCTAAGGTTTCAACCGTCCTAATGTGTGACCATTTAATATGGTTCTCATGTTGTGATGACCCCCGATCATAAAATTATTTTCATTGTTACTTCATAACTACAAGTTTGCTGCTGTTATGAATCATAATGTAAATACTTTATATGCAGATGGTCTTAGGCAACTCCACTTCTTAGAAAAATTACAGTAGATATAAAAGGGTGAAAGGGTGGCTTGACCCCTAAAGGGGTTGTAATGCACAGGTTGAGAATCACTGGTCTAAGGGGACTCAGCTAACATTGAACTGGCAGCAGAGATCCACATAACACTATTCCTGCATGAATATAAAATTCCAGGATTCTAGGATCAGAGGTTTCTGTCTAGATTTTAAAAGCAGGCAGTTACACGTATCCTGACACAGTACTGTCTGCCAAGGAAAGCTGCCGGGGGGGGGGCAGTTGGGGAGGTAGGGGGTGAGGGTCAGCAAAGCCAGCCCAGGAAGAGAGGCCATGGGCAAATCAAAGGGCAAGGGACAGTAGGGGGCACTTAAAAGACTTGGGAGCTCACATTATATGCCCTAGATGCTGCCAGACAAGGAGCTAAAGGGTTTAATGTCTGCCTTGCTCAGTTTGCTCCTGCATTTGAATGAGAAATGTTTATGAGGAATGTTCCATAGGCTCAAGTATTTGAACCCTTGTTCCCCAGCTGGTGGGGCTGTTTGGAGAGACTGTGCCTTTAAAAGATGGTGCCTTGCTGGAGGACAGCCTTGAGAGTTTATAGTCTGGTCTCTGTTCATGTCTGTGGTTGAAGACGTGATCTCTCAGCTTCCTGTTCCAGCTGTCTGCTGCCATACCCTCCTGCCATAAGTCATGAAGGACTCTCCCTCTGGAACTGTAAGCCCAAATCAACTTTTTCTTCCTTCTCTTTTCTGTGCTTCAATTCTTCTCTTTGAGAACAGGGGTGCTTATTCTGGTCATTGTATCTTGAAAGTATGCAATTTCAGTTTTGATTTTTCGGGGGCTTACAACTAAGAGACTGCTTTGAGTCTCAGTAGTGACTCCAGAGTTGAGGTTCTGAACAATGTTGCAACTGATAAGACAGTTGTGAAGCTGGACAATGAATTCACAATAAGCCTTTGGGACCTGGGGCAGAATGCTATGGCTTAAATATGAAAGGATCCCCCAGACAGAAGGAGTGAATGTTGGTCTGCTGTTGGTGTTAACATTTTGGAAGGTTCTGAAAACTTAGGAAGTGGGGCCTTGTTGGAAGAAGGAGTTAGTGAGGTATAGCTTAAAAGAGACCTGGTCCCCAACCCCTCCACACCCTCTGCTTCCTGTCTGCCATGAGACTTAAGAACCTCTTCTAGCTCCTAGTGTCATCATGTCCTGCCAAAACACATGGAACTTAGCAACAATAGACTTAACCCTATGAAACTGAGAGTCAAAATGGCCATCTCTGTCATTGTTGTGTCCAAATACTAGACAGAAGCAACCTAGGGGAAGAGACAATTATCTGGGCACATGTTTTCGAAGACACCACCCATCATATAGAGAGCACAAGGCAGTTTACAGGACTGGAGCAGCTGGGTCCACAGCAGGAGCAACGTGCGATGTGACTTCTTTATATGTCAGTAGCAGACAGGAACGAGCTGAGTAGTACTTTCAAGTGCAAGCCCCATGACCTAAGCTGACTAGCTAGACTATACATCCCTAAGATTCCACAGTCTCCTAAGTCAGCACCACCACATAGGAGGCAAGTGTTCAAACTGTGGGGGACACAGCACATTTAACCCATAACAAGTTATCTTCCCAGATATTTAGCCATAGGTATGCAGAAATAACTATACAGATGTGGCCCACAAACTGCCATGCTCCCCACAATACCGGAAGTACTGACAGGCCAAATTCATTCACTTGGGGAATGCTGTGGTTTGCAAAACGAATGCTCCCCACAGAGCCATAGGTAAAGGCCTGGCCCCTACGGTACTAGTATCAGTCAGTGGTGTATACCCATAAAAGGTAGGGCCTAATTGCAGGTCCTTAAGACACTGGAACCATACCCTCAAAAGGGGTTGTGGGAGCCACGTTTCTCTACTCACTATCAAGATGTGACCATCGTGTGCTCTACCAAGCTAAGCCACCATCTGCTGCCCTCACCAGATGCTGGGCCAGTCAAGTCTACCTGATCTTAGCTCTAACCTCAAGAACTGTGAGTTAATAAATCTTCTCTTTAGAACTTAGATACTCCTGAAGTTTGTTTTAGTAATACATAGCTAATTAATACAGAAACCTGCAAGCTCTCAAATACAGAATCACTACTGAACCGCAGTGAACCTTCACAAACATCCTGAAGTGCAGGTAGGGATGAGAGAATCTTAATACTCATTTTTCAAATGGGTCTTAGAGAAACTTGCCCCAAGTTAATTTTCTAATAAACTGCAAAACTGAAACATTATTATAGTCAAGATTCAAAAGCTTTGTCTTTCCTTTTGACCACACTACTCAATATAGTAATAAATCCCATTTAATTCACAGAAATAATAGAAACCTATAAAAACTCCTTGTGACAGAATCTAAATCTACTTAGAATCCAAATAAAAAAGGCATGGGCTGGACATACAAATATAAGCAAAGATAACCTGTCAGAAAGACTACCTATCTGTACCGATACCGACACTCCCATACTCACAGTACTCGGATATGTGTGAAAAACTTACCCAGTAAGTTAATGCCATCGTTCACAATGAGCTGTCCATGACGTAAGTAGTTCAAAATAGGTTCAAAGTACTCAGGACTTCTGTCAATTAAGAAAGCTCCTCTATGATCTTGCTTATTTCCCCAGACACCTGCGATACCATTTAAATGGAGAAATCCCCCCATAAACAAAAATAGTCAGAATTTGTGTAAGGAAAATAAATCACATAACATGCCATCAAATCTTTACTCCTATAAAAATTATTTCACTCCACTCCATAGCTACAAAGTCGGCTCAGATGAAAAGGACCACAAAGGAAGTGAGAACGTGTCTACTCACCTTTGTCCTTGAACATGTGCGCCAGCATACTGTCGGGCTCTTTATTCACTAAAGTGCTCCTAAGAATTCAGGGAAAAAAATTGATTTCTCCATGTGTCTTTACAAACAAACATATTTAAGTCAAGAGTACACTTGAGTTCAGCTGTTCTCTCAAAGAGATGCATGCTACAACCTGGTAGGAGTAATGCTGGGAAACAAAAATGTGCAGTAAGTTGCCAAAACCGCTTCTAATCTGGCAAGTCCTTTGATTTAATGCTGCATTGATATCTTTTCATTTAAATACTAGCAAGCCATTTTATTACAATATTGCTGACCTTATATTATCTGATGGATTTAAGTTGTTGTTTCTAGAAATATTGCTAACTTCTATGCACAATTCATGTTTATTACTATATCTAAACAGCAAATTTTAAAGCTGAAAAGATGCTTTATTTATGCTTTCTCTGGAATGAAAGGTTAACTTCATTTAATTTTTTCTTAAAAAGCTTTCTAAAAATAGTTTCACATCACATAATATTCTTAAGAAGCATTTGAAAATCTTGTAAGGAAATTGAAGGAAACAGTACATAGTCACTTTCACTCAGTTGTGCTCTTTAAGGCACACATGTATGTATACAGGCACTCGAGCGCGCGCGCGCGCGCGCGCACACACACACACACACACACACACATCCCTACCTTGTTGTTGTAAAATATCGTCCTCCTACATTTAATGTCAGCCAGTCTGTGTGAGATCCTAGTAATCCTCCAGGTGGTTTAGAATCTGTCTGAGGATCTAGAGATGACATATAAAAAGTAACAACTATTAAGATTGAAGATTCTGGGAAGACAATGAAGTACTTTCTCAAAGCAAAGCCCTATAAGAATCTACCAAAGTACCCAATCAGCCACAACAATGCAATCAAAGAGAGAGTCTAATAAACTACTTGACTAAGAAAAGTCATTTAGTGATCAAGAAGAATAGTCACTTAAGACCAGATTTGTTTTGTTTTGTTTTTCGAGACAGGGTTTTTCTGTGTAGCCCCAGCTGTTCTGAAACTCACTCTGTAGACCAGGCTGGTCTGGAACTCACAGATCTGCTTGCCTCTGCCTCCTGAGTACTGTGAATTGACCAGATATGACCAGATTTTTTTATGCCAAACTTTAAGTCAGAATAAATACTCCAAATAAGCAAAGTGTGGATCAATAATTTTTTCAAAGACTTTATTGTAAAACTGACATAAATGTACATGTTTAAAGTTTATAATTTGATAAACTTTGATGTGATTCAGTATCTGATTTTCAAGTACAGAGCCATAACCTGTTACAGCATGCAACATGCTGGAGAAAACTTGGCTCAAAGCTTCTAGGGAGAATCTACTAGAGATTAAGTGTCAGACAGTCAGACTGACAGAATAATATAAGCACTGAAGGCAAACATTCAGTACCCTTGGAGAAGGAAATGTCAATGGAGCTTCAGAAGAAAAGACACTATACAATGGATATGCCTTCTGACAATATGGAAATTGTCACTTCTAACAAAAAGAAGGCAAGAGGATATCCAAAAACTGTTAAGCTGTTGCCAGGCCTTATTGTACTGAAAATTGTGATTATTCCTCTGAAATTTTTATGTGGTTTTTGAGTGGGATGGAGTGGATGAACAATAATGTGACACCGTAATTCCATCACTGTGTTCTTGGAAATCAGGGTTACTGCTATGGAAGAAAGGAGACAAAGTCAAGAAGAGGCCTAGAACCAGACCAATGACACTTTGCAATTAACACTGGCAAGTAAAGATATATGAACAAAAGGGTTTACTGCGGGATCCACTGTGTCACACTATAGCTTCCATGATGAGATTGTTTTTCCATTTTTTATTTTTTCTATTAAATTTTATTTTGGTGGGTGTGGTTGCAGATGCAAATACAAAGGGACAGGAAATGAGTGGGATCAGGATGCATGATGTGACAGACACAAAGAATAAATAAAAAGAAAGGTTAAAAAAAGAAGATACAGGCAGGAATAAACAATAGCATTTATTTGGGTTTTTCCACTTTTTTTTTTTTTGGCTTTAGGGAATTGAACTCAGTAGCAGACGCTGTTTCTATCACTGAACTAAAGCTCAGTCTATTTTGCTAGTATGCAATGAATCAGTCAAATAACCACTTCCTGTCAGGTCAATGGATACAGGATGATGGAGAAAAGATTGAAAAGATTTGCTCCCAGTTTAAAGTGGTGACAGAAGAGGCTACACATTAATTTCCTGGTTTTTTTTTTTTTTTTTTGAGACAGAGTCTCATCACAATGTATCCTGGGTTGGCCTGGAGCTCACTATGCTGGTCAGGCTGGCCTGGAACTCACAGAGATCCACCTGCCTCTGCTTCCTAAGTGCTAGGACCAAAGGCAAGTCATGGCCAGCACACTTACTTTTAATGTGGCCACTACCTGAAGCAAAGCCTCTAGGAATCCCCTGGACTCATCAAATACAATGACTGTGATGTTTTAAGAACACTTAAACACATGCCCATGGGTGACTAGAAGGACAAAATAAATAAAACACTGTTAAGGAATATTTGCTTACTGATGTATTAGGTCTTTTCTTTTGAGATATTCAAATATATAAGCTTTCTTCCGCATGAAAGGATAGTGGCTGAAGCCAAGTCATGTTTTCATTGTTAAGATTTGATCAGCAGTAAAGGACTGTCAAGCACTACGCAAGGAATACATGATTACAAGTAGGAATATACTCAGAGAAGTTCTACCAGTCACTATCAAAGACAATTGTTAAACAGTTGTTTCTAAAATCACAATTACTTTGTCATGTCATATGTCACAAATGTACAAATCTAGCAAATCTTAAAGGAATATAAAAAATATACACTAGAATATAATTATAATTCAAATTATAAGTGTAATTTGACATAAACTAAGTGAAGAATAAAAAAGAATGTGAGTTTGGTCATCATAATTTTTCCATGTTAAGTCACATCGCTCCTCGTAAAGTACTTACCATCTCATGTTTTTTGCTATGGCAAATAAAACTGGGATTTAAAAGTCACTTACCAATAAATGGTTCTCCTTCACATACAAACAACACATCATCATCCCTGGGAAAACCAAAATTTAAAAAGCCACAATCAAAATCTAGAAAACGCATTAACTGGCTGATGACTGTCTGAACTATTCCTTAGGGTTATAAAGGTAACAGGCTCTGTCACCAATCTACCTACAAGAAAACTGTTTGCAATGTTGCAAAGTTGACCTCGACTTAGATTGAAATTCAAGCATGATCGATCCTGTATATCAAAGCATTTTTGAAATGGAAAAAAACAAGACTCACTAACAAATTTTGTGACTGTAGCCTTATATTAACTGAAGAATGTACTATTTTATGTTCAAAAGACATGACTGAAACCAAGGCAATTTTTGTTTTTATTTTAATTTACCCCTAAATAAATCACTGAAGTGCTTTCTCAAATAATTAGCAGCTGCATACCTTAGAAATTAAAATAAACTGTCATATTAGATCTTGGAAAAATGAAACCCTAAGCAACTCTGTTATAAAGACCTGTTCATTACATCTACCATGACTATGTTTAAATATTTCAGGTCATCTACCTACTTGAACTTCCAGTGTAGACTCCTCCCTATAGTCTCCTCCCCAATGACCAGAGACACTACTGTGAGGCAGAAAACACTGTGCAAGCCTTACATACTTCTGTCACAGTCTAGTCACCTGTCTTACAGGGATCATTTGAGGATCAACATAGAAATATATTAGGTCTTTCTGGGGAATAGAATTTGTGACTGGAAATTAGGATGACGTATATAACACGCAATGATGTTGGCTAATTATCCATTGGAAACTGAGGTAAAGAAAAAAAACTAAGAAATTCTAATTTATTTATACTTGCATTTCGATTTGTATTTTCTACTTGCTCACTTTGCCAGTTAACATTTCTAGATTAGTGTGGAAGTCTGTCGTCACAGACAGAGCAACCGCTAAACTATGACCTAGCTAAGCTCCTTCACACCTTAGATGCTCAGTTTCCTTATTTAAAACAAAGGATTTAGAACCCACTGCTTTCAGAGGAAGTCTATTATACTGAACAGTCAGTCTGCCTTGGAATTCAAGTGTAGATTCATCTTTACATACAATATCACTTAAGGCATCATGATCTTCACACCATCAATTAAAAAACTCTTGTTCAGCCAACCAAATGAGATAACTCAAGCAAAGCAATCCCATTGCTGCTGTGACTTCTACCTAGAGTGTCTCCTTTAGCATCTTTGTGCTAAATGACTTCCCTTCCCCAAAGCTGTCTCACTTTGAGGAGTGCAGTGAATCTGATACCTGTTTCAAGCAATAATTTACCCGAGACACTGGAAACACCAAAAGCAGCTATAAAAAAGCAATACCTTGGAAGACCCCTGGTGTTATCTCTAGTTAGACTTTTGTAGTATTTAGCATCAGTTCCTTGTGATATTTATAATTTTAAATGAGTTTAACAGTAAAAAGTACATATAAGAGACTTTTGAAATTTTGAATTATTATAAAGAAATTCTCAGTGCCATATATGACCAATGCAGACTATCAATATGCTGAAATATATACTAAAGTTCCTATATCTGATCAACAGACTTTGAATCCAAGAGATTTAAATTTCAAACAGCTAATTTCAGACAACTGCTTGCCAAAACCCAGCTTTCTCGATAGCAATGAAACTATTGTGTAAGTAAAACAATGTAAGAGCAAGAAGCCAAGGGCACACTACTGACAGCTTTAAAAAGGTGAAGGTTACCTGATCAAAGCAATATCATCAATCAGTCCACCTTTTCCATTATATACACTGGTGGCTTTTATGCCAAGTTTACTGCTGGCCACTGAAAGCAAATCAGACAAAGTTCCATAGACAGCAACCACCTGTAAACACACCAGATCAATTTGAACATTTGCAATGAATGTCATCACTACAACATTACAGACATCATACTCCATATGGATTAAAACATCAAAAGATCATGTAGGAGATTCTGAGCCCTGTCTGATATAGTTACTTTGTGACCCCTACTGTAAAAACTAAAAACTAGAGACTAAAAACCCTAAGGAAGAGAGGGAGGAAAGACTGTAGGAGCCAGAGGGAATGGAGGACACATGGCCCACCAAATCAACTAAGCAGGGCTCATATGGGCTCACAGAGACTGAAGCAGTAAGCATGGTGCCTGCACCAGGTCCTCTGCATATATGTATGGCTGTAAGCCTGGTGATTTTGTGAGATTACTAACTCTGACTCCTTTGCCTGCTCCTGCAACTCTTTTCCTCCTATTGGGTTGCCTTGTCCAGCCTCACAATTTGCCTTGTCTTTTTGTATCTTGTTTTATCCAGTTTGGTTGTTGTCTCAGAGGCCTGCTCTTTTCTGAAGGAAAATGGAAGGGGAGTGGGCTTGGGGGAGGAGGAAGGTGAAGGAGAGCTGGAAGGAGTGGAGGGAGGGGAAATTGTGGTCAGAATGTAGTGTATGAGAGAGAAATCTGTTTTCAACAATAATTTTTTAAAAGAAGAAATTGTGGTAAACCAAACTAATCTAGAATCTTAACATCCAATACTAATTAAGACTGGGACTTAAAATTAGATTAGCATTTTCTATGTGTCAACTTGTTACAAACTCTATACCTTGTTGCTTTAACTGGTAATGAAAACAGTGCTGTCTACCTAAGTTTTATGAGAAAATAAGTTGATGTCTATAGCTTAGCAAAGTGCCTTAAGTCCTTATTATGTTGTTCTTCTATTATTCCTTTGAAGGAATGGCTGCTTTTATGGAATAGGAATGATTTTCTGCTGTTTAGTATATAATTTAATCTATCAACTATAATAGATAACAACGTCCCATCTCATTAATTTTTCCAAAAGCTAAGACCTCTAGTCTTTAGCATCTAGCATTCTGAATGGCACTGCTGGGTTGTATAATTGGCTGGTGTGTCCAACAATGAATCGGGTGGGGTCTAATATATAATGGTGCGTGCAGCTGCACTAGCAGGCGGCTGAGAATTGATTCACACATGGCTCTTGTGCTTTTCAGCTCTACCTGGCTTCCCAGTGGCTGGGGCAATACCTGATGGCAGCACTGTCAGCCAGGGTCTCTGAAAGTTAGAAACAAAGAACACAGCTGCAACCCAGAGGGGCAAAACCCACCACAGCTTGCAAAATGGCCAGGAGAGGAAGGGCACCCCCTCCCTAGAGCTGTACCCTCATCTTGTCCCTATACATTAGCAATTTTCTAAATCCTTCCCTTTCTCCTCTTGTGTATTCTGCATGGCTTTCTTTTGCCTGGCATATCCCTCCCTAGGCCTGGCATCATTAACTTCCTCTCTGTAGTCCTTTCATTTCCATTTGCATACTATAAAATGGATATAAGACGAACACATCTACTTAAAGTGAGCTCCTAAATTAAATGAGACATTAAGATTTTATGTGGCCTATTTTCCTTTCTTTTTAAAAATTTATTTTTATGTCCACTGGTATTTTGCCTGCATGTATGCCTGTGTGAGGGTATCAATCCCCTGGAAGTGGAGTTACAGAGAGTTGTGAGCTGCCATGTGGGTGCTCTGGAAGAGCAGTTAGTGCTCTTAACCTCTGAGCTACCTCTCCAGCCCTGACTTATTTTTCAAAATCAATCAAATTAAACTGCTGTCCACTTCCATATGATTGACTTGGTTTTTCCTATGCCTTGGTTGTTTTCTAATGAACAGAAAGGCTACTCACCACACTCCAGTGCTACAATGACTACATGATGATATTTAAATTTGAATTTGGTAAGTTTAATCAAAAAATTTAAATAAGATTTATTCTATTTATATGGATGCTTTGTCTGCATGTACATTTATCTGTACATTAGGAGAGGCCATTTGATCCCATGAGAATGAAATTATAGATGATTGTAAGCCACCATGGGTTCTGGGAATTGAACTCAGGGCCTCTGAAGGAGCAGCCAGTGCTCTTAACCACTGATCCACCTCTCCAACCCTGCTTAATTAGAAGTTTTAAAAGGCAGTTCATTAACTGCACTACCCATATGTCCAACAGTCAGCTGACCCACACGCTCATGCTCCCATGTGTGTACAATCACAGTTCTACTAGACAGTGCTGTCCTAAGCAGCAGGATAAAGCAAGCAATGCTGAAACATCTATTTTACCCAGGCAACAGCAACCATAGTAACTAAGTGAAGGGTGTGTTACTGCCATCTGAGGTGGTTTGAATCAGAGTGGTTCCTATAGGCTCATATGCTTGCATTCTTAGTTCCTAGTCAGTGGAACTGTTTGGGAAGGATTGGGAGGCATGATGTTGGAAAAGGTGAGTCACTGGGGGTGGCCTTTGAGATTTTGAAAGCCATGCCATTCCCAGTGTGCTTCTCTTTGCCTCTTGGTTGTATCTTAAGATGTAAGCTCTCAGCTACTGCTCTAGCTCCATGCCTGCCTGACTGCTGTCATGCTCTCTGCCATGACGGTCATACACTCTAACCCTCTGAAACTGTGAGCCCCAAATAAATATCTTCTTTTATCTTGGTCATGGTGTCTAATCACAGCAATAGAAAAGTAATCGAGATAACATGTTTCCTGTTCTCAACTTCCCATGAAGTCAACTTCGAACATATGATTGATAAACCCTCACAAACTGACTGGTAAAACCTATTTACAGGATGGTCAAAATTTGACAGCTACTTTTATGTTGCCTGGAAAACCAAGGAATTAAGGTATAAATTGAGTTCAACTTTTTAATATCAATAAATCAGTCTGAAGATAGCAGCAACATAATTTTATTATTCCATCAATTATGGCAATATTAAATGGTGGAAAGAATACAATCAACAGGAAGATATAGGCACTACTTCTACTTGTGGGAATATAAGTCTCCACAATTACTTCAAAAAACAATCTGCAATTACCTTATAAAATTGAACACTTGGGGGGAGGTGGAGGAATCAGAGGGTAGAGGAACACTTAACCAAAATCAAAAGTTTATAATCTTGCAACTGAAGTAAAAAGTATTATCAGAGTGGATAGTAAACAGGAAATATAAAAGAACAAGGAGTGGGGTACTCTGGTCAAAGATTTAATGGGGACAGGGGCAAGTACATAGGATAGAGAAGGTAGTAGGAGTGTGTTAACCAAAACTTAAGGTTATGAGGAGGCCTTATAAAAATCTACTCGTTTGTTTTGTTTTTGTTTTTTGAGACAGGGTTTCTCTGTGTAGCTTTTGGAGCCTGTACTGGAACTAACTCTTGTAGACCAGGTTGGTCTCGAACTCACAGAGATCACCTGCCTCTGCCTCCCAAATGCTGGAATTAAAGGTGTGCACCACCACTCACCACTGCCCAGCTCAAATATACTAGTTTGTAAAATAAATAAAAATAAAATTAGGCACGTGCACATGCATATGAAATACCCTGCATGGGTGGACAATATTGCTACAGAACACATGGGTCATTAAAAATCTCAGTGTCAGGCATGGTATATCTACCTTGGGCTTCAGAGAGGCCCCAGAGGTAACCAAAACAACCATAGGCTATTGCCATCACTCTTGGTTATACACCATAATTATATGGTGAGACTCTACTGTTGAAGATACCATTCATTTTAGATACAGAAGATGAAGAGAAATCAACCTTGACTGACAGAGAAATACTCTCCCTAATGACCAGCTTACAAAGTGTCAAAAGGTGCTGGAGGATGCTGGAGATAAAAAAGACATCAACGGTCTTAAATCAGCGCTGGATCCCACAATACAGACTTGCCTGCTAGGGCATGCTCTGGTGTAATAGTGATGTGTTACAAGGGATACCCAATCACTCTCTGATTTGATGTGAGGCCTGCTCCAGGAGGGATTTCATGTCTGGTACTATAACCCTGGTCAAAAAGCTCATAGGCCTTAGAGGGGAGTTTACTGCTGCTATGTTAAATTGTCAGGCTGTCAAAGTGAGTTAACAATATTTATGCTTATAATCCTAGATTAATGTTGCTCAACTTTGGTCAAGGAAGCTTCTTTTTGCAGTGGGTAATAGTTAATTGAGACTCAAAACTGATTAAAGTGCAAACTATAAGTGACCATGAGTACTCAGTTGTGGGTGAGTCATCTAAGTTACCCTCACCCACATCTCAGGAAGCACCTAAGAATAGCGGGCAAAGAGAATGTGAGAGCGAACAAATGAGCAGTGCTGAGAAATGCTGTGGTCTAGACAGGACTGTTGAACACATCATCTCCAGCAGCTATAGTTACCTGGAGAAGACTTGTGCCATCACAGCAAGCCAGTCAAAATACCAACATGAATGGGGTGAAGGCCCCCAGGGCGAGGCCTTGGTGGAGAATAGATCAGCAATTGAGGCCGCTGAGGGAGGCAGAGTCACTTTCCTTGAGGACAAGGTTGGTGGTGGGAATGTCCATACCCACGTGCATATAAGCAGCACCTACCAGACTCAGGGGGCTAATTTTTAAAATATGTACCTGGAGGGAGCTTGTGAATGCAGGTGTCTGTGCAAAGCAAGGGCATTTGGTTCCCTGGAGCTGAAGTTATGTGCTACCTGATGTGGGTGCTGGGATTCAAACTTCAGTCCTCTATAGGCAGTAAGTACTCTTAACTCCTGGGACATCTCTGGGGGTGAAGGGGAAGAGTATGAGTGGAGAGAGAAAGGTAGTTCTCAAATTACAGCCCCAAAAGCTGTAATTCAAGAACAACCAGGAACTGTGATAGAATTTTATATCCCAGCCTCACTCAGACCTTCTGGGGCTGGAGGACAGTGCTGTTTTAAGTCTTCCCAGTGGTTCTGTGCCTAAAGCACTCTGGGAGTGTTCTTTCTGCTGGAGTACACATATAGTAGTGTATGCGACACAAGTCTGCTGACAGGAGAATGGATATGTATTTTTATATATGGACTTCACTAAAGCATTGAAAATGCAGTTGTTATCACTAATAGAGATATTAAATGGAAAAAGTTCGGGAAGACTAAGAAGGCAGCAAAGAGAAACAAAATAATGGGACGTAGTATTTTCCACTCTGATGTACATCAATATTTTACAATGCAATTTTCTGTATACATCAAATATATTAAGAAGCAAGCTGAAAGAACAACAAGTTCTTACTCAGGTTTGGGTTCCAAGAGTCAGATTTTTACCTCTAACAATGCAGGGAGTTCCAGTCTGAAACATGACAGCAACATCACATTTCTGACTTAATATCAAGGATGGAAGGGAAGCTCTTTCCTGGACTAAGAACGCAACTGTCAGTACAGAACACAGCTATTGCCTTGCCTGGAGCATTTGGCATGGAGGGTCACACTCAAACGGTAGTTGTTAAGTGGTAGCTGAATGAATGAATGCTGTATACAAAAAGTCTATGATTTGCCCAACTCGTTACTGATGACACTAATACAGGGTTTCTCAGAACCACATTTTATTTAGATGTCTGAATCCTCATTTCCTATTCTTAATACTACGCTTTACAGGGACTAGTAAAGAGGCCAAAGGAAATGGGGAGCATATGGAGCAAAGATGAAAGTTGTAGGCACAGTTGACCTTTCTGGAGCCAGTAGCAGCCCTCTCCTCCCCACAAGTCAAACAAGTCAGGGTTCTGGGGGTATAATCTCCCAAGCCCAACAGGAGAGCAGTTTTGGGCTCGTGCTCAATCGGTTGTATACTTATTTAATTGTAAGGTGCATGCCACTGTCAGAAACATTTATTTTTCTAAATGATATGAGGATTTTTATTTACTCAGATGACAAATTGGTCAGCTGGAATCTTTTAAATATTTATCATTAAATTTAGTGAGATTCTGCTAAATATAAGACTGCCTTTAAACAATAAAGGTTTTCATTCATTTACTTGTGTTTTAATGTGTATAAGCATGTGTGCATTCAGGTGCGCATGCACGTGTGTGTACATGTATGTTGAGGTCAAAGGTTGATCTGAGGAGTCTTCTTCCCATTCTCTTCACCTATCCATTGAGGCAGGATCTCTCAAATGATCCTTGAGTTTGTCACCATGGCCAGCCTAGCTAGCCAGCTTCCTCCTGGGATCCCTCATCTTTGCCTTCAGGGGCTGGAATTACTGGTGGAATCACACAAGCTGCTTGTGCAATGCTTTTAACCTCTGAGCCATCTCCCTAACCCAAGAAATTTTTAAAAACTAAGGCAAAGGGAAAAAAGTTTGTCTGCAAGTATAGGAAAATACTTTTTTTCACATCTTAGTAATTAGAATGACCTCATCATACCACTAGCTAATCGTTCAGAGAACAATATACCCTAAGGAAAAAGTTGAGTATTAATAGCAGTTATTATGTCACATTTCAAATAATATTCTAAAAACATGGGGCTCTTTGGCTTCTGATATCCTATTATTATCATTATTTTAACTTTACAGCCAATGCTATGAAAAGCAGTCAGTCTTGCCACTTTCTCAATGTTTACTGTACTTGCATAATTAATACTGGCTTCAATATGCAGTTTCTTTGAAGCAATCTTTTAGTTATTTGGCATAGTTGATGGCTAATTCAGTTAAGAGTGAATGATGTAAATCTCCACTGTACTTGTAGGCTTCTATATATCATATGTCAAAAAGAACCAACTGGTGCTAGCTATCACCCTATTTGTATGTGTAGGCCTGTGTCCTAGAAGAAAACAAGACTGGCTTGACGAGTTCAGTAATTAAAGGCCCTCATGCTTTTCCAGATTAGGAAGGCCAATTTTTTAAAAATTATTTTAAGTAAAAACATAAATAACACACATCCCTTCCTAAATCTCAAAGGGTCATCTTACACCCTTTATGGTACTTCGTTTTACTTAAGAGAAACCAGCTCTTTCATCAACATTAAGAGCACTTATCAGTTACACAAACAGAAAATGCATGTTTCTATCCTCATGCAAGGTGGTGAGTTTTTCCACCTCACAGCCCATAGCCACAAAGCAAGCTATAAGGAGGAAACCCATTTGAAGAAAAGGTTATTCTCATGACTAAGGGATTAAAAATACAAACCAGGTAAGAAAGGAGACAATCTAAATGATATATTCTACTTTGCAGACTGGAAACCAAACTATTTCAGAGCAGTACTTCATTTAGGACTATTTTACTGAGCATCCATGCCATGTTTACGACAACCCTGATTAAATATAGTTGCTATGTATATACTACATATCCATCCATATACATATGAAGGCAGTATTGTGGTCTTGTCAAATAAGAGTCATTTTAATATTTTTCTATCAGCTAAAAGGAGAGGAAACAGCTTTAGAACATATGTTCTCTGGCTTAGTAGAAAGTACTAGGCATAGTTTCTTTTAAATATTAAATGTTAGTAGTCTTCAGTTCAGACTTTATCATCTTTGTAAAGTCTATGCATGCACAATTATCTGAGATGCGCTTTCCTCTGAGATTTCAAGATTTTAAGTAAATAAGATTTAAGTTGGAAACTCACAGTCAAACCCAAACTTCTTAGAAGTTTAAAAATTTTTAAATAATACACAAAGAGCAACTCACTCAATTTTTGTACAATAAACTTCAGTGGATTCAGAAGAGATAGAATTGAGGATTTATAAGAACCTCTAACCACTCGACTTCCTGGAGAAGCACAACACAGACCAGCACTGGTGAAAGTTCACATCAATACTGGATATACCAATCTCTCGCTAACCACATAGACTTAGTTTAGGAAAACCAGCCAACTACAGAGTTGGCTAAGGAAAAGTTAATGATCAGAACTCATAGAGCCCTTGCGGCACATATTTCTGAAGCACTGGCAGAGCTTATGCCAAGACTATTTTTGTATGAATAGCGAATTTTAAGAAAATAAAGTTGCAGAGCACAAACCTCACTGTGGTTCAGTTTTCCAGAGTCTGTTTATTCAAAACTGCAGAGAAGTTGAAAAGCACCCCCCCCATGCTATGTAAGAATTAAGAGTATTCTGGCTAATTAATAGAGTGGGACCAATGTACCTTGAACTGAAACTTTAAGAGCCTCCATTACTTCTGAGATTTTAAATAGGCTTACTTATGTGTGGGGCGGTCATTTCACCACACATTACTAGTCCGCCAGAGACAGCCCACATTTTCCAAAGAATAACTTTCAAGGGTGGGGCAAGAGGCTGCTGCAACATCGGAAAAATATTTAGCACCACGCCCTCCACGGAGGCCTAAATGCAGCTAAGGCTACTGTCAAATTAAGTCATTCTGGTCTGCTGTCACCGTTCTCCAAGTGACCCAAACAAGGCGACACAATAAAACATGCACCAAAGTTTTGCACAGTGGCAGAGCAGGGGGGCCAGGGCACCTTAAAAGAAGAAGAGGGAGGCATTCCAGACCAGGGACCCATTCTGAGGATGTCACTCAACTGTCCCCCAGAGTTTTCTTCCCCCGACCTGGCCAGGGTCACCCGCCTCGGTGATCTCTGCCTCCTCTCGGGGCAGAGCATTACTCAGCACCGATAAGGACAGGAAGGTGCAGCGGGAAGGTGGGAGGGGACCTCGGCCCGCCGCTCAGGTGACAGCGGAGCCTCGGAGCTCCGGTGGCCGGGCTGCCGGGAACTGTCGGGGACTGCGGGGTCCCCGGGTCGCGCCCCCGCTGCCGCTTACCTTGCCGTTCCTGGGACTGCCGTTCAAGAACAGCGTGACCCGCCGCATCGCGCCGCCCGCGCCGGGTCCTGAGGGAGCCGCCACCCTCGCCCCCGGCCCGCCACCCGCCGCGCTCCGCGCCCGCGAGACCCCTCCCGCCTCCCACCCGGACTCTCCGCCCTTCGCCACCTTCCTGGTCGGCCCCACACTCCTCACGCACGCACTCTCAGTCCCACACCCCGGGGTTGGCCGATCCTCCTTCCCACCCCGCCCCTAGGCTCCTTAGCCCGCTGGCGGCCCTTCCCCCAACCACGCCAAGACCGACACTGAGCAGTGCCAATCAACGCTCGGAGCCGGCCTGCATTCAGCCAATCAGAGTTCTGCCGAGGGGTGGGCTCAGACTAACGCCAGTCGGCGGAGGGAGGAAAGAGAGGCTGAAGGCTTCTTGACGGAAAGGAATATCAGCGAATCAGAGCAAAACCTACTGGCAAAGGGTGGCTCTAAGCGTTACTGAGCAGGCGCACGCAGGAGTGTAGGGGAATTATTTGCATAAAGAGTCGGAGTCTAAGGAAGAGGCGGGGCGCTAAAGTCCCACACACCAGTCAGCGCCTTGCTCTGCTTTAATCCCGCCTACTATCCCACCCACCAAGGTAACGGCTGGTGTCGGGATTGGCTAATGGGTAGACAAGCCATCCTGCGGTTATGTCATGATTGGTCTAATGATTCATTTTCGAAGTTAGCAGCAGCCAATCCAAAGGTTAGAGGCGGGGTTATCAGTTAACTGATGTGTTGCTCCGCGGAACTCACAGCTAGTCCCCAGGGACACCATTTTGCCGGAGATATGTCTCGCTAGGGGAATCATTCAGGGCTGGCAGTGGTTCTCCCGGGATACACGAAGGTCTCCCTGCGTGGTCCGAGAGCGCGACGGTGAGGACTGGAGGGAACGGGATGCGCGCGCTCTCTCGTAGGCTACGGCTCGCAGAGATCCCTCCGCGGGGGCGTGGCCGCAGTTTGAATTTGCTGGCGGGTAGTGAGGCTAGTTCGCTTCTCCAGGACGTGGTGTGTCCAGGCGTGCAGCGGCCTGCAGGAGGCCTATCCGGCTCCTTTCCCGGGCCTCCGGTGCTTTCTGAAGTGGAGCCTGCGCTACGCTCGACGTCATCGTCTGTGGGAACGCGCGGGCCTCGCGTGGGAGAGGTAGGTCTGTTATCTGACCGGGATCAAAGGATGGAAAAGCCCCAACTTGTCAGTGAGATCCGCTTTGTTTAGTCAATAGCACCTCTTTAACCAGAACGCCCCGAATTCTCTTCCAACGTGTGCCCCTAGCACAAATTTCGTTAGAGTTCCGTCGCATTTTTTTTTACTTGTAGTGGGATTATTTTTCACTTTGTATTCTTGTTTGTCTTTAACTCTCCCATCTCCAGATGGACACAAGTTCACACGACAAGCAGCCCTCTGAATCCAAGGAGTGTGTCGCTAATAATTCTGGTACGTTGGTGACTTGTTGTCCTCGTTAGATGGAAGGTTTGCGTGTTTGCCTTGATTGTGTTGCTTAGCCCTACAATGTATTGCCCGTTTTCAGGTAATGCCTCTTTTATCTTGGGAACGGGAAAGCCTGTGACGCCTCAGAAGCATGTAGAAGACGCGACTCCTAATCTTTGCACCCCCGTTACGGTTAAGTCACCTTTGGACTTCTCCACATTAACCGTAGAGCAGTTGGGAATCACACCTGAAAGCTTTGTTAAGACCCCTTCAGGTAAGAGAAGTTCTAGTATTGCATTTTTTCAATTTTAAAAATAGCTATAGTAGACCCCGTTGTACATGTCTATACTGCCTGACTATCCTGCTGTATGTATTTATACATACAGCAGACTTGCTTGTTTGGGGAGACTTTGTGCTCATCACAACTCACCATGTACAGCAGGGGCCAAAGGGGTCTAGGACTTCCAGCATGACAGTGTTCCTGAGTCCATCCTAGAAAACATTGTATACAAAAATAAGAAGTTGAAAGGGTAACACTGACAGGTTAGGTACCGCTTTCAAAACTCAGACAGAAAATTGACCCAGATGCTGGTTTCCTTCAACCTCAGGAATGAAGTTCACCTGTTAATCTGCCCTAGGTGGATAAAGAAGCACAGGAATGGAGTTCTTAGAGTAATACAACAGCAGTCACAGAGAAGGCTAATGAGGCACTGCAGGAGCCAGTCACACCACACTGTGTGAATCATGAATTAGGCTAAGCCAGTGTGGCGCTCTGTCACTTAGAATTATTGCATGGGTGACTAGATTCATTTCTGTGTGCTTTAGGTGCATGAGCAAAACTCAGGATGATATCCTGAAGGTTAAGCAGCTCTTCTCAGGATTATCTTTTAAAAACTAAGAGCAGAAAACAGGAGTCTCACCAGCCCTGCCCACATAGGGACTGTCTTCCAAGACCCCTAGTAAAATTTTAGAACCGGAAATCATGAAGCCTGCAGATACTTACTTTGCTATGCATACATATATGCCAGTGATTAGGCTCTCAGAAACAGGCTCGTTAGTTTAGAATCAAGCTTGACCATCACAAAGTAGTCTTTCTCTGCTTAGATATATCTACAATCACTTAAAAGAAGCACTCAAAAGCTGAGTTGCTGGCGTCATTTCTCCTGCGGCTGGGGTTAGCCACAGTAAAGTACTGTTTACTCCTGCGAACCTTGACTGTCTTATAGCCCAGATAGCCAGTGAGTGGCCTTAGGTACGTATTATGTACAGCACAGGTGCTACATTCAGAAGGACGTCCTGGGCCACATGTTAGACAGTGGAGTTTGTGCTGTTCGGAATGGCATGTTGTTTTAGTTTGTGGATTGCTTTCGACTGGCCCCGTGCAATATTTTCAGTTTGGATGACCACAGTAGATGAAACCATAGTGCACTATAGTATACATGCATGGCTTATGTTATAAACAAGGAGAGATTCTTAGCATCAAGTTGTTACCCCTGCCCTCGCTGTGTACTGGGGATATAGGACACAAATGAAAACTATAAGAGTGTTCATGGTCTTCTGTGTGCCAAGTGCTGATCTAGAAACGTGAATTGAATCAGTTAATCAAGTGAAAGTCTATCCAACTATTTATACATGAGCTATTGCTGGTAATTCTTTAGTTTCCTGTAACATATTTATTCTGTTTTCTCCCTCCTAGTGGCCCATCATTAGCCTAGGTCACAATTACTGACCGTTGCAATTTTTCATTCTGATTTGTGAGGTCATTTTGTTGCAGGAAAGTCATCTTCCCTTCAGAAGACCAGGCGACGTTCTACAGTCGGTGTCCGGGGCTCTCCAGAAACAAATTGCCTGATCCGTTTCATTGCTCAACAGCGAAGTCTAAAGAATGCTACAAGGTCTCCATTGACTCACAATTCCCCCTTTCAGGTATATTTCTTGCCGTATGCTCATGAGTTTTGTGAAGGCAATGTTTCGTCACTATATTTCTATTCGAGGGTTCTGCTTTCTGACACTTCTCTGTTTGGATCTTGGGGTGGGGGTGGACTCCTTTCTGTGTCTTGCCAAATACAGGAGTCTCTTCAATACAGGGTTATGGGGTAACTGATACCCAACATGGCTATGGTAAGATTTAGTGGGGGCTTTTATTTTGTAAAATTTTCATAGAATGAGGAAAGCTTCCCTCCCACAGTGTTTTTCTTCCTGTGGCTTCTCTGTATTTCTAGTGTTTTCATAACTGCTGGTTGGGCAGAGAAGGAAAAAAGGAACAAATGGCTTACCTTCAAGTGTATTTAGCTCTTTGTTTTTCAGATTTTTATCAAGTTAATGCATGCCCCTAAAAGGTCAAATAGTTGAAGGCTTGTTATGAAAGATATAGGTCCCACTTAGCACTCTAAAGAGCAGCCATTATGATGTCGACCCTCTCAGTCTAGAATAATTCACTCCTGTTATTTCCACTATCTTTTTCTGCTTTGCCACATGGTCTGTGCAGCAGACAATTTCTTGCTCATGAATTACAACAGAACCTTGATTTTCCTAAGTCTCTTTGGGAAGGTCAATGAGGTCAACTGTTTTTCAAATTTTACAAATTATTTGCCTTTCCTTCCCCCCCTCCCGTAATGTGTTGATATTTATACTCATGATGCAAAACTAGTGATGAGTGGGATTAATGGTCTTTTAGCATAACATCACACTATCATCATATTAGTACTTACTGGGCAGCCACGGGAAATATTAGTTTCATTAAATATCTTTGAAGCATTAGTAATGACAAACATTACTACAGCCCATTCCTCAAGTATTATATGTAGTGAAGTGGGAAATCTGTATCAAGCACTTGAGAAGTTTCTAGCAGTGTGTATGATTGATTTGTGTGGACTGACCTGGCTATTTTTTCTTAGAACATCATTTTTGCTTGTTGGGTCAACTGGTAGAAAAAGTGTAGTTTGTCAGGCTTGCAAATGCCATGAATAGGCAGTGAGTCTACCCCAGAAACCAAACCCTGTCTTACCAATAAGAAGGGTTGCATTTTAAGAGGAAATTAAGATTTTAGAAAACATGTACCAGTGACTACATTTGACAACTTCCTGACTGATCAGTGGGTATAACATAAAATACTTTAATATTGCCTTTTTAATGGACCACTTTTTGGAAAATGCGAATAGCACAGAAAACCAGTGTTTTCCAAATGACCAGTGCTTGCTGTTACAAAACCTTTTATAGGTAAAAGGTGTCCCACACTGCAGAGTAGGCTGGTAGATTCATTTCTGTGTATGTGGGTCTAAGTATCTATGTATGGCCCAGAGGTTAACATCAGGTTTCTTCCTCCATTGCACTCTTGCCTTATTTTTTGAGATAGTCTCTTTGCTGAGCCTGAAGTTTTCTAACTTGGCTACACAGGCTGGCCAGCCAGTCTCTGGGATATGCCTATCTCTGTATAACCTGCCAACCCTGGGGTACAGACATGTGCCATCATACCTGACTTTTACATGGCCTCTGGGGATCCGAACTCAGGTCTTCGTGCTTGTGTTGCAAGCTCTTTGCTTACTGAGCTAGCTCCCCGGCTCCTGAATCTAAGGATTTTATTTGAGAAATAAAATGCATGTACGTGCATCACATGTGTGTTGCCCGCAAAGGTCAGAAAAGGGCATCAGCTCACCTGGCACTGGAGTTCCAGGGTTGTGAGCGCTGCATTGTGGGTACTAGGAACTGAGCCTAAGTCCCCTACAAGGACAGCCAGTACTGATCCATCTCTTAGCCCCACCCCTAAATGTCCTAATAAATATTCTGTTGCTGTTTACTTTGTTTTGTGTTCACTCGCCGTCTTCTTCATATACTGCCCTTTCTCTCCAGCTTCCCAGTAGCTTGGTTATGTTAGCATTCTCATGATAGCTTTATTATGGTCCTGTATACTAGTCTGTGTATTTTCCCTTGGTCTGGGTCTCCAGATCACGGTGTTTTCATTGTATGTATTAGTTACTTTTTGTTGCTATGAGAGTCCATAATGAGAAGCTTGGCAGCTGTTTGTTTGTGTTTCGTGACAGGATTTATCTGTTGCCGTGGCTGTCCTGGAACCCTGTAGACCAAGCTACCTCAAACTCACAGAGATCCACCTGCCTCTGATTCACTGAGTACTGGGATTAAAGGCCTATGCCTCCACTGCCCAGTGAGAGACCACACCTTTATTCACATGTAAAAAATGGAGAAAGCAAACTTGAAGTCAGGCAAGGCTATAAGCTCTCAAGAAAACCACTTCCTGCAAGGCTGTACCTCCTAAAGGTTCTGTAACTTCCCAAACAGTGGCACCCATTGGGGACCAAATTCAAATATCCACGCCTATGGAGGAGTTTTCTTGTTTAAACCCCCACATTCCTTTTCTGTGCCCCATCTCTGTCAAAATGCTTGTACCTGTCCTCTTAGGCTTATTCCATTGCCATCCTTTCCGTTTGCTGGGTACTGAGACAGTCTCAACATGGGTCAGGCTTGTTTGGAGCTCAGTCCTCTGCCTCAAACTCCAGTTGCTGTGATTGTAGGCGTGTGCTACACTGTGCTCCCTGTCACCCTCTTGCTGTCGCCAGTCACCTTTACACTCTTGGACTTTCAGTGGCTTTGGCTGCGTTTATATATTAAGACACTTTCTCATTGGGGTTATAGGACTCCACGACGGCCCAGTTTTCTTCCTGTGTCACTGGTTATTTCTGTTTCATTTGCTGATTCCTCCCAGTTTTTCCCTCAGAAGTGTCGGTGTACCTAGATCTCTAGTTGCATTGAGCTTCACTTATGTACTGATGCCTCTGAGATGTCTGCAGCTATGATCCTTAGAACTCCAGCCCTAGATACCAGCTCCTGTCCACCCACTATTACACAGATCAAAGAGGTATTTTAGAATGAATCACATCATTGTTTCTGCTGCTTTAAGCTTCCCATGTTTGCTGTTTGAAACCGGTCTACTCTTTTGAAGTCTCTTGGTTCTGCTGGTCTGAGCCCTGTCTACTTGTGACCTCATCCCTGCCTTCTTCCAGGCTGTGGGCACGCAGGCTTGCTTCCTTCTGATCGTTCCCAAGGGCGTCTGCTCTTGTTTTTGCTGTATGCCTCTTCCCTTGGCGTCAGACCACTTCTCATTGTGCTTTCAATTCAAATGCCACCTCAGAGCTTTCTTTCTTAAATAGCCAGAGCAACATATTGGTGCTTTCTCCATAACATCTTATTGTGTTCTTAATCTTCACCCTTGGTATCACTCCACAACCACACCCCACCTCAGAGGCCTTGAGTACCTGGAGCAGTTTTTCTGTACATGGAAAGAATGTAACTTAACCACCACAATTCATGAGACAAAAGCATGACAAAATTTTTCATTACTTTGTTCACAAACATTGTTCACTTCCTCTATCGGAAAATAGGTTTAATTAGGGAAACTTAGTTTAAGCATTCCCAAGTGCTCTGAGTTCCTGGGATAGTATGTCAGTCCTGTCATATTCAAGTGGGTTCATGGAAATGCACATTCAAATTGTGTGCCTTTAAGATAATCATTGTCACATAGATGAGTTTCCCACAGGCTTATTGGGAATATTATGTGCTGTTTATGTCATAAAGGTTTACATCATCGAGTATATTTCAGTTTAAAATGTTCTACTATTATGTAGTAGGCAGTTTGTCTTATGACTCTGCTTACCTGGGTATAGGATCGAATATAAGACCAGATCACCAAGCATGACTTCAGGATTTTAACAGCTTTTTCTCCGTATGATATCGTAAAGGGAGGTAGCTTTTTTTCCCTGCTTTCCTTTTGCTTATTGGTTAGAATGCTAAAATTGCCACAGGTTCTTTATTAGGAGAAATGTTAGTGGCTCAGGATAAAAGAAAAAGCAGCCTGGATAAAGTGTTTGATCAGAAGTTTGTTTTTCATTGTCTTTATCTAATAGTATAAATTCATTTTTATCTTTGTGTAGAACCTCATGGGCAGGGTTTCTAGGATCTAAGTTTGTGTATCTGTGTTTGTGTCTGAAGTAAATGGTTGGCTTTCAGCCCTAAGGAAGTAAGCATCCTCTAGATCTTACAAAGTTAGGAAGTTAGCAAGGACTTTATCTAATAGTATAAATTCATTTTTATCTTTGTGTAGAACCTCATGGGCAGGGTTTCTAAGATCTAAGCTTGTGCATCTATATTTGTGTCTGACATGAATGGTTGGCTTTCAGCCCTAAGGAAGCAAGTGTCCTAGATCTTACAAAGTTAGGAAGTTAGCAAGGAAGAGAGTGTGTTGAAACTAGAAGGGTCATCCTTGTCTTGTCGTGGTCTCCCAGGGTGGAGGTCATCTATGTGCTGGGAATAGTGTTCTGATAAAGCTGATCACTTCATTTTATGCTCTCGGTGCCGCCTTTGTCAGCATTCAGATAGGAGGCTCCCTCTGCCTCTTTCATCCTTGTTCTCCAGCTCTGAGGTTGGCTTCTCACACAGAATTGTTCTGAGCTGCTTTCTTTTCCCCTTCATAACGTTTTGTTGATACTGTCTTGGTGATGGCTGCCAAGTTTGTCTTAAGCCCCTTAGAATCCTTTTCAGAGTGATTTATAACCATTTCCTTCCCCCACAAAAATAATAAGTAAGGATATATTTGGTGGGGAGCCTCTATAAAAACACTTGCTACCCATTGTAAGTTTCTATTAGCCTAGTTCAATAGCTGCCAGCATATTGGGTATACATCTGGGTAACCACCCAGCTATTGTTCTTTTGCTCCGATTTTTAAAAACAGGAACAGAGGAGCACACGAAATAGTCAGACAGAAAATGTGTGATTCTGAGGAAAAGAGGCTCTGCCACACTAATTTGTCTTCATAAGCCTTTGTGTGCTTCATTTGGAGTCGGCGATGGCAGGTCCAGCTCAGAAGCCGTTTGTTTATAATGCTCCTGTGCTTTCTACATTTCACAGGGTAGCCCGGGACTCTATCGACATGCCAGTGCATTAAAAGAGCGAATGGCTGCTTTCCGGTCAGCTTTTCACTCCGTACAGGAAACTGAGAACATGGCTGGTGGTCCCGCAGCCTCAAAGGCAGATGGAGAGTCTAAGACATCAAATTTGAGTGAGTAGAGGGGATTGGCCAAGGTTGACTTTTGTGTATAGAGATAAGCTTCTGCAACAAGAAAAGATTCATTTCCACAGTGTGAAAGCAGTTTTTCCAGAGCATAGTTGTAAATGAAGGCTACTAGCTAAAATTTGCAGTATTTGCGTAATCTGGATTTCTGGTTCTAGGGTTTTGTTTTAGTTTATCTGCCTTATTTAGTGATGTTAAGGACCACACCCAGGGCCTCGAATGTATTAGACAAGTGCTTTACAACCAAGTCCCACCTAGGCCCTGTGGTTTCTGTTGAAGACTATACCTTTATTTCCATAGTTACACTTGTTCTGAATCTTAACGGGCCAATACCAAATAGCTCCTGTCAGGCTTCAAATAGGGCTTTTGGCAAACTTAGGTTTGTGTTGATTTTTATAGACTTATTGTTAAACTTTGCAAAAAGGTTTGTGAATGGCAGATATCTAGCTCTGGCGATAACCACAAATTTGTCCAGTCTAATCAATGCCTTGTTAGTCTGCTATATTCTTCACTGTGTCCATATAATTCATTTTGTTAATTTTTAATAATTTCAGAACTTGACAAAATATTGGCTTTCTTGCAGTCCTGTTTTTCTGCCACGTTATACTCTAATTACTTAACAGAGTCCATTTATTCCATGGTACAGGATCCCTTCAGATGTCCTAATTTGTAGTTTGTAACTTACCTATTACTTGAATTGTTGTCTAGGTTTTAAATTTTTTGCTTCGTTACTATAATTGTGATGTCGTTAAAATCCTTTTGTGCATAGTAATAACTGAACACATTGCAGTTGTGTTTCTTTTTGTTTCTTGGGATCTGTGTTTCCCACAAAACTCAAGTACAATCAAATTAGAACACAATTAGAATATAACTGTCTTTCAGGTTTGGCAGCATGTGGTTTGTAGTATCTCAGGGTTCTCTAGAGGAACTGAACCTATGGAGTAAGTATCTGTTGCCACAGAGATTTGTTACTTTAGCTTGTGTGCTATGGGCTGGATAATGTAGCAGCTGCTGACTGTACCCTGGAGCAGTCGAGAATCTGATAGCTGCCCGGTCAGTAGGGCTGGGTGCCTAGTCAATCCTCTTGGAGGAGAGACCCTGGTCTTCAGGCCACAAAGCTGGTTTTGAGGGCACTTGAAGAGGACATACCACCCAGGAGCTGCTTCCAGCAGCCAGAGTGAAGATGGGCAGGTGAAAGCAGCGCTGCTTCCCTCTCAGCCCTGTCTAGAGCTCATTGTGCAACCCTGGCTGTGCTCACATTTGCTTTATAGTCCAGGCTGGCCTTGAACTTCCTGGTCTCTACTCTTAGCCTCCCTTGTGCTACACACGTGTGTGTGCCACCGCATCTGCCTACGGAGTACCTTTTTGAATGAAAGAGGCAGCAGGTTTTTGTTTTCATTGAGGATTTACATACAAACACTATATTGGCATTATGTTGTAATAATGGATGATGTTTTAAATGATAAATGTAAAAGAAAATATTTATCCCTGTGTCATTTTGTTTCTAATTTTGTTTTGTGTATACAGCAAAAAAAGAAGCTCTTGTTGAATACCAGCAGTCTGGGTTCCCTCTAAACTCATCTTCAAAGCGGCGGAGAATATCCTCCCAGAGCAGCCCTGATGACCACCTCAGCAGTGCCAAAGGGAAAGCGGTGTGTGGGCAGATGCTCGCCAACCAGTCCTGTGCTGTGGGCACCTCCACAGACCTTGCTGCGGTAATTGTTCTTTCCACACAGAAACAGAGCTGTGGCTTCTTTCTGCACAGGCATTTTGAAGACTGTCAGAGCCCGAGATACTAGTGTAGGTCCACAGTATTATTGCTGTGTTTCCTAAAAGTGTGTGTGCTTGTGTGCTTCCAATGTGCAATTGTGTGACTCTTGTTTCGATTGCTTTAGAAGCTGATTGGGAAGATGGGTTGCTTTTGACTACTTTTATGAGAAGATAAAGCCCGGGGGTCTTCTTCATGAGGTGTTCTACATAGGGATGGTTCTACTGTAGGTCTCAGTTGTACCCTGAGATGGCTCTCTTTTGTCCATCCAGGGAACATTGAGTTCCTGAACAGGTTATTTAGATATTACCTGGAGTATCAGTTGCTGAAACTGGGAGCGCCTGTCCAAGTCTGTCCACCCTTGCCTACCTAGTCTGTCTTACGACTGCCTGGGAAGCAGACTCTTCTTAAAATTTGTCTTTACTCCTCTACTTGTTTCAAGTAGCATTAGGAATTTTTGTGGATTGTGACAACCTAACATCTGTCAAGATTCTGGAAAAACAGAAACCTATCTGAATATTACTAAAGTAGTACAAACAATGTTATTGGGTTTGGTAACTTGTGCAGCTATGGATGAAAAGCCAGTTGTATGACTCATTTTCTTCTCTGTGTCTTCATTCTGTGATCAGAGGATTTTCTTTCATTCCTGAGAGGAGGTGCTTGACACTATCACAACTGCAACTAGTTTTTAATTTTATTGTTTGAGAGATGAAGAAAGATTTGGATGCACATATGAAGTCAGAGGTCAACTCTCAAGAGTTGGTTCTTCTCCACTTTGGGTTCTGGGGACTGAATTTGGTCATCCAGCTTGTAGAACAAGTGTTTGCCTGCTGAGCCATCTTGTCATCCCAATGGATGAAATTCAATCTATGCCATCTCTGCCACTTAGATCAGTTTACGTCTGACTTAGTGACATGTTGGCTAGTCACTAGAGACTCCTTAGTTCTGATGTTACGTGTAGTGCATGTGGAGGTCAGAGGAGAGTTTATGTGTGGGTTCTCTCCTTCTACCATGTAGGTGCTAAGGACTGAACCCAGGTTTTTAGGTTGATAGTAGGTACCTTCTCTAAGCCATCTAGCCCACGCTAATTCTTTGATAGCAAGGGGAATAAAAAAGGACGGTCATAGCACAATGATCCCAAAACACTTCTACAATCCCTGTAACACAAGAACCACTTGTATTGTAGACTGGCTTACGGTCCCAGTTTCTTCTACTTTATTCAAGGTGATATAATGATCACTTGGCAGAAGCAATAGTAGTTGCTTCTTTCCAGAACTTTGATTCACTGGACCTAAGTCACAAAGGAGAAATGATTTTTTAATTACTGTGGCTATGCTTTTGGGAATTTCTTCTCCAGAGGATAGCAGATAGCACAGCTCTCTAGGCTTCAATAGGCAATAAAAATGAATTACATAAACTTTTCTTCAGGGTTGAAAATTGTTTTGTGGAGTGTTTAAGGTGCAGCTGGGATGAGTATTCTATGGTTCGTTCCCTGTGTACTTTGCTTTTGCTGGCTAGAGACCAAAGGAACAACAGATTTTCAGTCATCCACAATATTTATTGAAATGTCCATAAAGGTGTTATCAGCAGTACTGTTAGTAATAACATGTTGTGCTTTTGATTCTTTCATATTTTCTCCCAGAAGTCATCTGACATTGGTCCAGCCCAGCTTGGCTGTTTAGTTGCTCCCTGTCCAGAGCTCATGGAGACCTCACATGGTGAGTATATATTTTGCTTAGTGCAAATGTACGTTGCCCCATTTATAGACATTTGTGATGAATGTTGCTATGAGCTGAAATGAGTGAAAGCAGTTCTTTGTATTATAGGGATGGTAGGCAAAATGTTTGGGGATCATTGTGCTTTGATTTTTTTGTTGTTGTTGTTTTTCTGATATGACAAAGAATTAGGGTAGGCTAGATGGCTTAAAGAAGGTGCCTACTTCCAACCTAACAACCTGAGTTCAATCCCTAGAGAACCTACATGGTAGGAGAGAACTCACAAACTCCTCTGACTTCCACATTCACTCCATGCCACATGTATACCCCATAACTAACATACAGATACACATACATCAATAAATTATTTTCTAGTTTTAAAATTAAGTTATTGATACACTTCCAAACTGGTGGGATAGTGGTATGTTAACAAAATAATATCTATTGCTATAATAATAGTATAAGGATAGGGCTAGCAATGCATGGTGGTACATGCCTATAATCCTAGCACTCAGAAGGCTGAGGCAGAATTAAGAGTTCAAGGCTAGCTTGGAAAATGGCAAGATCCTGTTTTAGTAGAGGGAACATAAAATAAGGGCCTATGACTATTAGCATGTATAATTTGTTAGAAATATACTATGTACAATCTGGGTGTTTTGTTTTATTGGCTTCCAGCTCACATAAAGCCACTGATAACCATGAACTCCCAATGTTCCTGCCTATACCCCACAAGTATTGTGATAACAGGTATAGGGGTTGCCCTGCTTTAGCCCATTAAGGTTTCAAGTAACTGTTGATATAATTTGACATCTACTATTTTGTCTTCTTTTGCTTTTTTTTTTTTTTTTCAAGAATTCTGTTTTAAGCTGAACAATGGTGACACATACCTTTAATCCCCAGCACTCAGGAGGCAAAGACAGGTGGATCTCTGTAAGTTGAGGACAGCCTAGTCTACAAAAGGAGTTTCAGGACAGCCAGGTCTACACACAGAAAAACCTGTCTCAGGAAAAAAAAGAAAGAAAATAGAATTCTTTTTTAATTACCATCTTTTAAACTGTACTTCATCCTCTCGTTCTCTTGCTCTGGGATTCTAGCACACATTCTTCCCAGTTGTTTGAGTGGTCCTATGTGCAGCCACTGTTCATAAAACACAAGTTTCTCACTCTGTGGCTTCATGTCTTCCCTGCCTTCCCATGGCTTTTGTAGCCCTTTGCACTTTTTGATGATATACACATTTACTTGGCTGTGACTCCATGCCCATTACCAGTGTTGCCTAATTTTCTTGTCCCACCAGGTCCTGCTGCCTTTTTCAGCCCCAAGTAAACACATGGACGCTATATTGATTATAAATCTGTTGGTCAGTGGCTAGGGATTCTTATTGGTTTTCTCTCTCTCTTAATTATTAACCCATTTCTATTAATCTATGTATTTCCACGTGGTCTTGGCTTACCAGAGAATGCCCAGACCTGTTACTTCTTTTTGGTCTGCATGGCATCTGTCTCTGGTGGGCTCCTGCCTACCTTTCCCAGAATTCTCCCTGTCTCCTAGTCCCACCTGTCTTCCTACCTCATTGGCCAAACTGTTTTATTCATCAACCAATAAGAGAAACATATATACAGAAGGACATCCCCCATCATACCATTTTTTGTTTTAAACCATCAAATGTTTCCTGAAATTTGAGAGGAAAATACACTCCTATTTCTGGTCCATTTGTACTCTCATTTTTTTGTTTTGTTTGTTTATCCTTTTAATGATCTAAATTTCCCTCTGGAGTGTTTCTTCCGCTTCAAAATGAACTTTTCACCCTTTTTTGTTAATATCTGTTGAGAATGTTTTCATTCTCAGGTGAATGGGTCGATTTCTGCCTGCACAGCTAAGGTACAAGGACAGATTGTGTATTTGTCACTTAGATAAAATAAGGTAAAACGCCTTCTTGTCAGATGTCTGCTTTCTCCTCAAGAGACTTAGTGTCCTTTTACTTGATATATCACATCACTCTGCAATCCATCTGAAGTGGGAACATCTTAGCCCCCCACTAAATCCTACCCGGAAATGCTGGGATGAACAGGGAAAGAAGGGGTGCTGTAAGCAGTGGGGCTTTTGTTAATGTAGTCTAGTGTTTCGTGCTGATTATTTGATGACCCTGGCCATGGGCCAGATGGACTATAGAGCTTTGTTAGGGCCAAGGAGATGACTTGGCCATAAAGAGCACCTGCTTATCTTCCAGAGACTCACAGTGCTTCCTCACACCCATATCGGCGGTTCACAACTGCCGTAACTTCAGGGGCTTCAGACCAATCACACTTCTGGACTCCATAGGCACCTGCACATATATGCTCTTGCACACATACAAACAAATTTAAATTTAATATTTGTTGGCTTATAGAGGAGGCTATATGATGTACCTGCTGTCTCCCTGGCCTTCCCAACTTCCTGCATCTTGATCCTCTGCACTGCTGCTTAGTCAGGTTACATGACTTCTCTCCTTAGCAATGATATTTAAACATCTACCTTCCCTTGCTGCTGTTCTTCATTTAAATCACTGGATCTCAACCTTTGGGTCACAACCCTTTTGCAAAGCTCTGTCTCCAAAAATATTTACATTATACTTCATAGCGATAGCAGAATTACAGTTATGAAGTAGCAGTAAAAATAGTTTTATGGTTGGGGGTCACCACAACATGAGGAACTGTATTAAAGTGTCGCAGCATTAGGAAGGTTGAGACCACTGATTTAGATGGTTACACCATGTTACATATAGCACAAATGATGTCTTAGTGTGTGTGTCATACAGGGTTCTTTTCAGTCAGATTGCATCTACATCACTGAGTAGAATCCCAGTTTACCTGTACTCCCTGCATTTGTCAACGTGAGCTTTCACATTTGTCAGGGCAGCTGTTTGGGCTGATAATCTCTTTCATCATTACTCCTCTTCCACTGTGTTTACATATTGAGATTTTTCCATCTCGAGCAGTAAAATGGCTCATTATCAGGGTTTGGAAGTCTCTGGTTTTTCCTCCCTTAGCAGGGAGTGTTAGAATTGAATTTCTTTTTTTCCTTTTTTTTCTTTTTATGTTTCCAGGGATTGAATTCAGCGTATGTTAGATAAGCACTCCACCATTGAACTATACCACTAGCACCTAACTTGTGCAACAGGGTCTCACTGTATAGCCTTGGCTCCCTTAAATTGTCCATTCTCCTGACTCCATCTCCTGAGCACCAGGCTTACTGACTTTCTAAATATCCTATTACAGTCTTTGCACGTTTGGTGAGTATCTTGTGCTAGACGAAGCAGATTTGGATGCTCTCCTCTTGCTTTCCCCTTGAAGGACTTGGAGTTGCTGCCTGTGTAGAGGGCGCACGGTCAGTTGTGTCTGTTCCTCTTGACACACGTGCAGACACAGCCCCTGCCATCAGGTCAACGGTGACTCCTGTGTGCGGGAGCAGCCCTCCCTCTAAGACTTTTGTGCTTCGTTCTGTGTTGAAGAAACCTGGTAAGCTGTTTGCAGAGAATGGAAAGGTAAGAGTTACGTTTCCTAAAGCAAAGGAGGGCCAAGCCATTTTGCTTCAGACCAGTAACTGAAGTGCACATGGCACACTGGTGTCGAAGGAAATGCATTGTCCTCACTTGGTTTTCCTTTCTTTTTAACTCACAATACTATTCTAAGATTGGTCTGTTTTAAATTAATATTACATTGGTATTCAGAATTTAATGTAGGTAGAGTGCATCTGTGTAAAAGTTCATCCAAATTATAATTAATTGCATTGCCAAATTAGTTCATGGCGGAAGTATCTGTCTATAACCTACCCATTCTAAGCATGTGGGTCTAACAGCTCCTCAGTCAGCTATGATTCCGTGAGAGTAGTAGCCTAAGACAGGAGGAAGTTGCCGGGAACTAAGTAGCATGTTCTGAATGTTCTGAGCAGTTCTCTCAGCAGCCTTGGAACATATCCATTGCATTGTTTGTTGTACCCTCAGCCCCTTTTAACAGAATTGGATATGCGTTTCCCTGGTCAGGAGAAAGGACTAACTCAGGAGGGTGCTGATTAGGAGTCTTGTTTGTGGCAGAACTATTCTTAGAGCAGGTGCTGTTCTCGATTACTCAAAACCATGGACTGGGCAGGGGTCTGGGTGAGGTTGAAATGTAGGTGGTGATTAACCAGGACTTTGATCCCCCTGTAAGCCAGGCTCTTTTCTACAAGGTTGTCCTATCTGTGGATTTATAACATCCCTTCTTTTATAGTGTGCTCTCTATAATCTTAGGGATAAACACTGACAGAAATGTCTTTCTTATTTTATCCTCAGAAATATGGATATTTAGGCAAGAAATTCCATTATTCAAGGTGCTGTTCCCATGCATGAGACAGAGCTCCCTCTTAGTATCATTTACCTCGCCTGTCTTTTTTTTATTTTAACGCAGTTCTTATTTGCAAACCATTGTGAAATCTGCCTGATCTGACATCTGATATAATACACTTTAATTTTGCCACATACATCTTCCTTAGTTTGCTAGATCAAAAATGGGATGATTTTAGCCTACTTAGGAATCTCTGTTCACTAATTTGGGCCTACAATACTGTTTATTAAATAATATACAGAAGCCAAGGTTTGGAGAGATGGCTCAACAGTTTAAGAGCACTTCCTCCTCTTACAGAATACCCAGGTCTACTTCCTGGCACCCATGTGCAGCTCACAACTGTCTAATACGAACTCCAGAGGGTCTAGTGGCCTCTTCTGGCCTCCACAGACACCTGACACATGGTATACATTTCTATATGCATGCAAAACACTCATAAACTTAAAGTAAAACGAAATGTTAAATAACTAAACATAAGAGAACCTAGCTTTTATTTGAACCTTTTCAGCAAAGATGTTTTAAGTCAAAACAGCTAAGAAAATAAAGGTGTTCTACAAAACAATTCTAATGACTTTGTAATGGAAGAAGTAGAACCTTTGACTGGTGTTTGTTTTGATTAGGAGTACAACCTCTGTGATGGTGGGACTCAACTAATCCCAGATCCTTCAAACTGCAAAGAACAAAGAGCAGGTGTGTTGTTCATATTTATTTTCAAACCTAAGGATATCATTTTCTTTTTAAAACTCAATGCAGTGTATTAGAGTTTTTACAGTCTGCTCCTGCTTTATACTGCTGAGATTACTTGAGAATGGAGAGCATAGGGGAACGAAAATGTCTTTGTAGAGCCTCATAATTGATCTTGGGGTGAGGGTGTGGTTCATTGGATGGCCATCTACCTGACACGATTGAACTCCTAGGCTCAATCCCCAGCGTCACACATGCACAAAAAGAGGTTATCAATTCTTACTTAATGGTACAACTTGTAGAGAACTTCAGGTATTCCAATTTTATTGACACTTTAAATAATTATACATAACTTGTTTTAAATCAGGACCATTTTAGTTGAAAGTATGGTTTTCTTCCATTTGCATTTTCTCTACAAATTGTTGTATTACCAGTAGCCACTAAATATACCATATTCATACATTCTAGTACATGGGTTTTAGATAAGAAAAACAGATTAATTTTTTTAACATAGTCTCATTTATTGTCTTAGGTATAGAAAACTGTAAAACGCCAGGCTTTCTGAATCTGAAGAAGAGGAAGAGAGTTACTTTTGGAGAGGACTTAAGCCCTGAAGTGTTTGATGAATCTTTACCAGCCAATACTCCGTTATGTAAAGGAGGAACACCTGTGCGTCAAAGAAACATAAATGCTGCCAGTCCCCTGCAGTCACCAGTTCATGAGCAGTTACTTCAGCCAAATTTTGATGACAATGAGGAGAATCTTGTAAGTGGGGAGAAACATAGAAAAAAAGCTTGTTTCTATTTCCATCAGGTCTCACATTTCTTTTTACATGAAAATTATGATTTGAAATTATGAGTTAGACCAAATGACATGCACATTTTTATCTCTCATACTTTTGGGGGGTTTTGTTGTTGTTGTTTTGAGACAGGGTTTCTTTTTGTAGCCCTGCTGTCCTGGAACTCACTCTGTAGACCAGGCTGACCTCAGACTCACAGTGATCCCCCTGCCTCTACCTCCAAAGGGGTACTCTACTACTGCCCAGCTCATGCTCTTTTGTACATTTTTTTTAAAAGACTTTCCCCCAGGCTAGAAAGACAGCTCAGAAGTTAAGAGCACTAGCTGTTCTTCCAGAGGACCCAAGTTCAATTCTCAGTACCCACATATCAGCTCACAACTGTCTGTAACTCCAATTTGGGGATATCTGATACCTTCACACCAAATAAAGTTAAATTATTTTTTTTTAAAGACTTTTCCTGGCGGGGCATTGGTGGTGCATGCCTTTAATCCCAGCACTCAGGAGGCAGAGGCAGGCGGATCTCTGTGAGTTCGAGACTAGCCTGATCTACAAAAGCTAGTTCCAGGACAGTCTCCAAAGCCACAGAGAAACCCTGCCTCAAAAAAAACAAAACAAAAAAAGACTTTTCCCAATTGCAGATAGTACTTTCACGGGGCCTAAGTGTTATTGGTTGTAAGATACCTATTTGTATCCCTAAGAAAAGATGTCTGAGGCATTAAAATATGAAAGAAATAAACACCTTAGAACTGAGATAACGCATTTTAAAACATACTGGTAAACACATTTTAGTAAACTTTCAATCAGATTAATTTGGGAGGGGATTACCAGTGTCAGGAAGGGGAGAGGTGACATTACTGTATCCTAACAAGTTTTCAAGAACAGTAGGGAATTAGCGACAATTTCATGCTGTCATCTTAGCAGCTCAGATAAGTCAGTTACAAACTTTGAAACACATTAGGCATCAGCTTTCAGTCAAGAAGGAACACATTGTTTCAATAACCCCATGTTAAAGAAATTTAAATTGTCACTAAAATTTTCCCATAGGGTAATAATTTTGCTAAGGAAGTCTACCAAATATTTAAGCAAATGACAATATTGATTTTATTACATACTTTTCCAAATGAGACATGCTATGTGATCATCTCAGTCCATGCATAGAAGGCATTTGTGAAATTCAGCATTTCTGATTAAATATCAAAGAAGTGTGGGCAAACTGGTAAGGAAGGAATTCAGATTAACATTTTTATCTATGAAAGAACAATAGTTGCTATCTTACTGGCAATTATATGGAAAAGGTTTGAAATCTGTATCTTGCCATCTTACCATGAATTTCATGGAAAAATATTATAATACTAGATGGTGTTTCCTATTGCTTTAATTTGCTTTGTAGAAGTTAAGACAGTGGGATTTTAAATAAACCAAAAAATAGATTGTCAGTGATTAGTATGACCCCTTATTTGGGGTGGTTGCAGTTGGTAAATATGTTTGCATTATAAAGATAACCAGTCAGTGTTCTAATGTTATCTTTGTTTTGATTTTTCTTTTCATTTTGTGCTTATAATTACTCCTACCAAATAAGGCCTTATTTTTTCCTTTGGGGTACATCATTTACATATTCACTGAATTTAAGATTATCTAATTTGAACTTTTTTTCCTTTGCTTAGGAAAACATAGAACCTTCTCAGATACCATTTGCAATCCTGAGTCCTAGTAAATCTTCATTCTCTGAGACTCTTCCAGGTATCGTGTTTTATCTTTTGTTGGGGGGGTTTGTGTGAATATGACTTTGGTGTGTGTGTGCTTCTGGGGGAGGGGCTAAAAAGAGAGCATTATCTATCCTGTGTTCTCATTCTCTGCCTTAACTCCTTTGAGACAGGTTCTCTTACTGAATTTGAAGTTAGGCTGTGGCCAGCGAGCCCCAGTAATCCTTCTGTCTCTACTCTACCATAGCATTGAGAATATAGGCATGCTTGGCTTCCACTTTGCTTTATGAGACAGGGCTTGACATTAGGATGGAGCTTGTTCATTAGGTTTGCATGACTGTCTAGCAAACTCTAGGAATCTTCTTATCTCTGCTTTCTATTGATGGGATGATAATATCTCATAACCTGCCTCTTTATTTTTTATTTTAGATTTACTTGTTTTATGTTGATGTACCGGTGTTTATGTGTGTATGCCATTTGCATGCAGATCCCTCTGGACAGGCAATTGTGAGCCTCCCAATGTAGGTGCTGGAAACTGAGCTTGGGTCCTCTAGGAGAGCAGCAAATTCTTTAATTGCTGAGCAATCTCTCCACCCTTACTTCCTGGCTTTTTATATGGGCTCTGTGGATGAAACTCAGGTCCTCATGCTCAATGGGCACTTTGCCAACTGAACTGCCTCCCCAGCCTCTTAATTCTTGTTCTTAGTACATAGGACTTAATCTCTTTTTTCTTAATTTTTTGCATGTGGTACAACAGTATGTTCTTGATTTTAAGAAAACCAAATACTGTGTATGAGAAATTACCACTTCTTTCTATTGCACGTCTCATTCTTCATAATCACCTGCATTTAATTTACATGCATTTTTTCTGCTTCAAGTTGATGTGCACAGTGCTGTTGCTCTCAGCCTGTGAGGAATCACTAATAGACTTTCATCTATATTTGCACAACTGACAAAATTTGGATTGAAAGAAGGATTCCTAAATAACTAAAAGTTTTGCTCACCATTAACATGGCAACCAGGCTGGCTCCAAGTATCATATCATTTACAGTCATGATAAGACAAAGATTTGTCCTGAGTTTTCTGCCATACCAGGCTTGGCTGACAGAGCCATGATATGAGTACTTGGGTTATGAACCTTTATTCATGTTTTCTCTCTTCCTGGATCCTGTGATGCCTTCCCATTGGTCTAGCCTGGGTTTGTGTGCATAGAACCCAAAGCTGTCAATTACTGAGTTACAGATAAAATGGCTATAGTCTATAACGTTCTAAGCTCTGAACACATTACACTGCCTTTCATTTGTGCCATTAAACATCGGCCATGTCTAAAGTTGTACAGTTAGGTGTATGCTCTTATTGCACTCATTTTGTTACATTCAGTAATGTGAAGTTTTCCAAAGATTGTTGTGAGTCTTGATTTGTTGCTTTTATTATCTGTGTCTAAATATGAATTAAAAGCAACAGTCACTCAAAGCACTGTGCAGAGTTTTAACCTTCTGATTCATATTAGTTTGGTGCTAAGATCTAATTTTGCTTGTTTCTTGATCCCAGGCACTGACACTTGCAGTTCTTTAGGTAACCGTGAGGAAATAAGCTGGAGTGTTGGTAGACCAACACGGACTTCTCACAGAAGAAAGGTAAATGCTTAGATTAAATCTTTGTGGGAATGAAGAAAATCTGATTTGATGGGTGCTGTTAAGAATTAATATTTGCACCGGCTGTAGTGGCACTTGCCTTTAATCCCAGCACTCAGGAGATGGCTGTGGCAAGCGGATCTCTGTGAGTTCAAAGCCAGCTTGGTTTACAAAGCAAGTTCCGGGACAGCCAGGGCTACACAGAGAAACCCTGTCTTGAAAAAGCAAACAAACAAAAACCCCAATTAATACTTTGTCTTACTCAGTACCTAACTCAGAGAAATGCCTTGCTGGTCTGATTTTAATTCTAGTAGAAGAAAATCCACTAGAACAAGAGCTTCCCTTTAGAATTGTGTTACATGGAAGACAGTCTGCTTGTTAGCTGAGTTTTAGATCTGACAATGAATTTTATTAAATATGGAGAAGATCCACATATAACTAATAAGAGCCAGAAAGTAACATAAGTACATGCCTTCTTAAACTGCATTAGTTTGTTTTCTATGGTAGCATTCAGCTGACAGAGATTGGCTCCATGTTTTTTGTTTTGGTCATTGTTACATGTAATTGGATTTTGATCTAGAGCTTTGTAAATATAAGCAAACCTATACTATTATTGGACCTTTACCTATCTGATTGGATGAAAATCCTATATTCTAGCCTAATTTACAGTTCATGAATTATTATAAGCTAAGTAGTACTTAGCTTAGTACATTTTTCATAAGTATTTGGTAAATAAGCCACTAGTTCTTAAATCATGTTTCCTTCCTCATATGCTAATCCTTCTGAATCTATGCTTGATAATGTAGAGAATGGTAATTAGTAACACTGTCTTAATTTTGGTTAATGTATCTCTAGTGGAACTTGTACATTAAGAAGCAGTGGGATGTAAAGAGGTAAAAGTAGATAGGAGATGTGGCTCGGTGATAGAGCAAGCACGCAGGCTGTTTTAATACTGAGCACTGAAGGTGGGAAGAGGCAGAATGGGCCTGTCATAGGAAGGAAGACTAAAGTGAGGCCTGCCGTGCAGTGAAAGGTGACTCCATGTTTATGTGTCCTTCCTATGGCTTCTTTTATAGCAGGTGATGAGTTCTGCAAAAGAGAATGTGTGCAACTCATACACTACAGAAGCTGAGCCCTGTAAAGAGAAGAACGTGAACAGGAGGAAATCTCAAGAAAGAAAATGTACAAGCAAAGCACTTCCTGGAAAGAAACAGGTAAGGATGCTTTTCACAATGTACTTCATATGGTGTGGTACATTTCTTCATTGTACGGTAAGGAAAGCAAAGGTATATATATGTACATTCCTTCATTGTCTGATAAGGGAACCGTGGCGGTGCCTCTGCTCATTACCTTAAGAGGCCAGTTCTGTTCCTGCATCCTCTGTGTGTGCATCCAGCCCAGTAAGCAATAGACACATGGAATTGCTTCTCTTTTTTAAGAAGTGTACATCTGTTTCTTTTTTTCCCTTCATGTTTCATTATGTAGCCCAGGGTGGCCTTGGGCTCAACATCTTCCTCCTTTGATCTCCCCATGCTGGGAATATATGTATCATGCCCATCTCTCAATATTCTTCATGTATGCACATATCTTTTTATTAATGCTTGTGACCCTCAAAAAGAAGATGTTTCGGCATCTTCACCAGTTAACTTTCCTGTTTATCTTCAGCTTCAGCTTTCCTCTTTCAGGATTGGGTTCCGGGCTTGATTAACTGAATAATAGTCAATGCTAACTATTTGTATTCACCCCGATTACTTTTAATAGATCTCCCAGGTCAGCTAAGGCCATTCTCAAGCCAGTTTGTTACGCATGAACTTATCAAACTTTGCCTGATATTTGCGATAGTCGCAAAATGTCTGTCACAAATAAATGGCTGCGGCACCAATCCTCTGTGGTGGGGTCCACATGCCTCCTTCACACTCTGCTGCCCCAGAATGTGAAGCTGCCCTGTGCCAGCATGATGTTAGCAACCCTGACACTTAAGGTTCCCTCAGCCATGCGTCTTTGAACTCTCCTTGTAACTGGCCATGAATGCTACACTTTGCCTGTACATGGCTGGTTATCTTATCGAGAGATGAGTGAACCAACTGCTACATGGACATCTATCCATAGAGTCACTTCTATATCTAAAGAAAAGATTGGAAGCCAACTTGAAGGCGCCTCACTGTCTGTGTGCTTAGCTCACCCAGTATCTTTACACTGTTCCCTTTCCCTTGGTGTTCTGTTGATCCTGACTGTCCTTCTCTGGGGCCACCTATTCCTCATGCTTCCCTCTGCTACCTTCTGCTTGTTAATACTTCACATTGTCTCCGGCCTAGAAATGCCCACTTAGCTTCCTCTCTGACCTCAGTCTGTATTTACCCACATTACTCAGTCTCTTAATTACAGATCAGTTCTACCAAGAGTGATATCCTGGCCCTCTGGCTCCTCTGAGCTTTCAGATGTCCACAATTTTATGATTCCTGAGCTCCTTGAACTGTTGCATGTGTTCTTGTAGTATTCTCATTTCTATGTCCTTTTCAGCTGCCTTGTCTACTTGGGAAAGTTTCAGCTCCAGGTTACTTACGCCTTCTGACATCTAATGCTACTGAGACACAGATGTGGGGTATGCATCTAGAGTCAGAGCTTTGGGTGATAGCTGAAAATCACTCTCATCTTCCACTTTATCTGAATTATTTTTCCACTAAATATGGTCATTTAGTTACTAAGATCAGCGTAAACTTTATAGTGCTGTTCTCAATAGACATCTTAGCAGTATTTGACCTAATAGAACACTCACTTGCAATATCTATTAAAAGTTGATTTTCAACAGGCAGTGGTGGCCCATGCCTTTAATCTCAGCACTTAGGGACAGAGACAGGCAGATCTTAGAATTCAAGGCCAACTTGGTCTACAGTAAAAGTTCCAGAACCACCAGAGCTACACAGGAACCCCGTCCCAAAATCAAAACAAACAAAAAAAGCTGATTTTTCTTCTACACTGTCTTATATGCATTCCCTAGAATTCTGCTCTCAAACCTTGTAAATCATGTGCTTTGTGATGGCTTCATATGCAGTATGTTTATTAATGACAAGGATTTAAAACCATGTCTTCTTGATTCATAAACCTCAGTCCAGCTGCCTACTGGACACACCTTCTAAAGTCACCTGTTACAAGCCAACATTTCCAAATTAGTGTCTCTCCTCAGGAAACCTACACAAAACATCTATGATTTTTTTCTTAGTCTATGACTCAAAAAAAGACTTTTTTTCTTGATAGGCACAGATACACCTGAGTCATCAAATTCAGAAGTAACAATTGTCCTGCTTATTTTCTTTTTTAGACTTAGGGAAATGGTGAAAAATTACCTTATTTTAAAAGTGTATTTGTGTTCAGTCAATGGTATACATACCATTTTTTTATCTATAGCTTTAAAAAACACAGTTACAAATAATTCATATTTGTAAAGTAATTCATATATTTCTTCCTAGCAAATCAGTGGCCAGACAATTCAGGAAGACTAAACATTAGATTGCTCTAATCCCTTCCAGGACCCTGCTGTATTAATTGATATAATTTAAGCAATAGAGGTAGAATAGCAATGAGAAGGGGTGTTAAGCAACAGATGACAGCCTTCAATGAATTTCTAGAAGACAAGGCAGATGGGAACATGTTGACGGATAGAAGAGGTGGAAAGATTTACAGTTCAGAATGTGCTAGGGAAGAAACTAGAGGGATCTGGGAACCAGCCTGCTTGTGGGAATCCCAAGAGACGCTGGCCCAGAATTGGCAGGTACAATGGATGGGAAGCGTGAGAAGTAGTACTGAAAAAAAAGATTAATTGAAGTTTTATATATGGAACAGTCTGCACCAGTTGGCATGCTATCCTTCTTTCCCGCCCTGATGTTCAGACCAGATGTTGTCATCTAGGTTAAAGCCCCATTCTGGCATCTGTAAATTCCCACAGTCTTAACAGCCAACTCTTGCCCTAACACAAAGCCTAACAACTGAGATACTCTTGTATTGCACTGCCTTGCCGTGACCCACCCCTGACCCTACAGGAAGTTCCCAAGGAAATTTTCCATACAGTAAGGAAACTAACCGAGCTAGAGCACACAGGAAACTCATATCAATCTAGTCTGTTCTTAATTAAGAATCAGATCATTGAGTAGAACCAATATTGTTAAAGAGACAAGTTAAAATACTAGTAAGTTACAAACAAAGCAAAGACTTGATCTCAGAGAAGTCGACTATGGACTTAAGAAATTAAGAAGGGGATTCTATAAAAGGGGAACAGAAAAATAATTGGAAAATTAAGAGGTTCTTTCTGAGTCTTCATCTGACTTCTCAAGGCTCTGCCAGCTGGGTACACGTCCTGCTGAGCCATTGATCTCCACAAGTGATCTGCCCTTGAACCTGTAAGAAGTAGAAATGCTCACTGTAGGTCACCTATACCAGAGCAGAGGTGGATCAGGTGGGTGACATTCCCTAGAGTCAGAACAGCCTCTCCACTGTTGCATGGGATGATTTCAGCTCAAGGAAATGCTGCAACCTGGTCCTGATACACCTGGATGTTCCCAGCAGGCATTTTCCCAACTACTGGGAAAGGCAATGTGTCCTCATAGTCAAGAGGAAGGACCATCAATGCTGTATTGCTGTAAAGAGACATAACCAAGGCAAGTCTTACAAAAGAAAGCATTGATTGGGGCCTTTTAGAGTTTCAAGATATTTAGTTATCATCATAACAGGGAGCTTGGCAGCATGCAGGCAAACATGGTGCTGCAGGGTAGCTGAGAGATCTACATCTGGCTCAGCAAGCAGCAGGAAGAGCAAGACACTGGATCTGCCTTGAGCTTTTGAAACCTCAAAACCCACCCCCACTGCCATTCTTTCTTCAACAAGCCCATATGACCTAATCCTTCCAAATAGTGTCACTTTCTATATGCCTGTGTCCGCCATTTTCATACATAACCACCACAGCCAGTGACATCAGTAGAGACAATTTTTTATTTTAAGGACTTGGACTGTGCTACTGCATCTATCTGGTTTATGAGCATTGCAGGCCACTGAAACAGGAGAAGCTCACTCCGAGTGACTAACCTGCAGACCACTGTGGTAAACTCAGTGGCAACCTTCCACAAAAAGCCTTACCGGGGTTCCAATAAGGGGCCTGGCATGTATTACCAGGCTGAGTGGGATGAAAATGAGCCAACATTGACAGTAATTGTCCAGAAACTGTTGAACCTGGAGATGTAAGTGGTGCTTAAGTCCCTGACAATTTTTCTCAATCAGTGACACCTGTGGAATTCCAGATGTCCCCACAGAGACCTGCAGAGTAGGTTACAATGACATTTTACTGTCTTTATTCACTCATCATGTTCCTTCTTCATTCACATTTGAGCCTTGTTTTAGGGATATTCTAGTGACTGTGGCATCATATCATTAATTTTTTAAAAAGCAATCAAAGAAGAAAAATATCAGTAAAAGACCATATATAAAGGAGTGCAGCAAAGAATCACTAAGGGAGGCATTAAAGAAGAGGATTCATGGCTTCTGCTTTGATAATTCTGACACCAGTTAGGCACAGTGGCATCTTCTGATACAGGTGTTCATAGTACTGTCTCTCATCAAATGACCAGAAGCTCATGTCTCAAACCCATCATGGTACATTTCAGAGGATTTGATGACTGTCTGTATTGTAATCTTTTAAAAGAGCAACAGCAGAAAAGTGATAGGGAGAACGACCTCGTAGTTGTTGAGGCCTGACCATCCATCTATGCAATGCTGGATGGCAGGTTGTGGGAAATAAAGTATGCCTTTGTGCTTGTTTAATTGTTCGCTCTTCATTATTGATTGAGGAAAAGCCGATCTGGGGTTGTTTACTATTGTATTAACTCATTGTTTGCTTATATTTAAAGAAAAATATCAAATCCATTTTCATCACATCACTCCCCCATATGTGCACATATGTAATATATAGCAGTAGTTAGACTGGAGAATAAAGGAATTTCTAAAAAGTATCATAGGGGAGTTAGTTAACCAATCCAAGAAACTTCACTGGAGCTCAAAAAGAAAGGGAAAATTTTTAATAGAAGAAATTGAAAATATAATATTTCTCAAAATTGAAGAAAGTGCTTTTCAAGCTAACAGAGCCTAGAAATGCTCGGTGTTTTTGTTACTTTTCAGTTGCAATGATAAAACACTAAGACCAGGGTAACTAAGAAAAAGTGTAGTTGGTCTTAAGGTTTCAGAGGGTTGGCATTTAAGATACATCATGGAATGAAGGCATGGTGGCAGGCAGTTGAAGCAGAGGCCAAGAGTTCACATCACCATCTGTAAGCAGGAAGTAAAGAGAACTATCTCCAAATGGTCTATGTCTTTAATTTTTTTTTTAATTTTCATTAAAATGAATTATGTCTTAGAAACATGCATGCTTCACATGCCAATCCCAGCTTCCTCTCCCACCCCTCCTCCCTTGTCTCTCCCCCAGCCCCCCACCCAATCCCCACATCATTCCCCAGGGAGGGTGAGGCCCTCCTTGTGGGGGGGAGTCTCCAGAGTCTGCCATAAAAAAGTATGAAACACTTCATGAATTTGCGTGTCATCCTTGTGCAGGGGCCATACTAATCTTCTCTGTATGGTGCCAGTTTTATTGTATACGCTGCTGAAGCGAGCACCTATGTCTTTAACTTTAAAACCTGCCCCAATGACGCATGTCCTCTGTATAGGCCAAGCCTAACCCTCCTAAACAGCCATCAACAAGTATTCAAATGTCTGAAACTTATAGGAGATATCTCATTCCCACCATCATGTCTGCTACATTGAAAGGCGGGGCAGTGTGAAACTAAAGAACATAGATAATAAGAAGAGTGGACTTTGCTTTTAAAGAAACAATCCAAGTAGCATCAAATTTCTCAGAAATTAAAACTATCTCTGGTGTGCAAAGATGCTCAAACTCACTTTCAGGGACCATTTGATCATCACAAGCCCCCCTGGACCAGGAGTTAGCAAAGATGTAGGAGTTGGAAGTATACATTGCTAGTGGGACAAAAAGATGCACTCAGACTTCTTTTGAGTGATTCAGATGTTTGCAGAAGTGAATTTGGGAGGGTCTGGCTGAATCTAATATTCATTTACCCTTCAACTTAGCATTTTTGATTTTGGGAATGACTCAAAGGTCCACTGACAAAAATACAAAAAGGTATGTGTCCCAAGTTATTTATCATATCACTGTAAAGCAGAAGGTTAAACATAAACCCAGTGGCATCAGATAATAGACTTGATTGTTAAAGTAGACTGTCCACCGAGTAAGCATTAAAAGCTGTAGAAAATAGTGAAGAACGCTTCCATATGCTGCTATGGAGTGGTGCCAGAATATACTTAGCAAGAAAGTAACTTATAAACAGTGTATATAAGCAACAATTATTGCTTGTCTCTCACTAAGTCACATTTGCAAGTAGCATTTGAAATGTTCTTAAAGAGATGAAGTTAAAATGAGGTCATTGGGATGGGCTCTAATCAAATCTATGAGACGTAAAAATTTGGATATAGAATCAGGGGTGCTTGTGCACAAAGGAATGGACATGTAATGACACAGGGCGAGGCCATTTGCAAAGCAGGGAGTTAAGATAAACCAGTCAGCACATTGATCTTGAACTTCAAGCATTCAGAATTGTGAAATAGAGTTAGCCTACCAAGCCTGAGATGACTTTGGTAAGTTGATGCTAACAGTTGGACTACCATTATCTAAGAAAAGAAGAACATATATATTTAATTCCTTTTATTTATTTATTTTTTAAAGAAAAAAAAAGCAGTTGCCAGGAAGTGGTGGTGCATGCCTTTAGTGCCAGCACACATAGAAACCCTACCTGGGGGTGAGGGGTTAAAAAAAAAGTTAAAAGCAGATTATCCAGGGATGTCAACAGAGCTTAGTGGGTAAAGGCATTTATCACCAAGCCCTAGGACCTGAGTTTGATCCACTTGATCTACCCGGTGAAAGGTAAAAACTAATCCCCTCAAAGATGTCTGCTAATCTCCATATACATGTCATGGCATATGTACACACATGCGTGCAGACACACACACGCTAATTTAGAAGAAAAAAGTTGAGCTTATTGTCCTATAGACACTGGTAACTGGAATAGGAAAATGCATGCTATTTTTTAGTTATGACTTACAACCTTGCAAATGTTTTATATTTTTGGTTATGAGCCTAACCTTTAATGGCTGAGCCATCTCTTTAGCCCCATGCATGTTTTATATGACTACAAATCAAGAGAATTCTTTAAAATTGAGGTGAAAATGAAACAATTTTACTATATTGAGTTTGTAGCTTAACCTCCTTAAAAAGCTTTTAAACCTGCAAATTAGAATATGTTACAATATACTTAAAGACCAAATATAACTTCAAAGAAGCAGTGTAAGACACTCATTGATAGAAGAACTTAGTTTAAAATATAAATAATTTTTATTGTCATTAAGAATTAAGTCTTCACTATGAGACAGAAGATTGTAGATCAGTTATTTAAGACTAAGTTTGAAGGGGGGGTATTGGTATGAGTTCATTGTCATTTTCCACTTAAAAGAATTTTCTAGCCCTTTTGTTGAAAATAAGGAAGAACAAGTATCTCTGATCCCACTGCCATACCTACTGTCAGAGACCTGGATTCTCAAATTTGCAGTAACGTATAGAAAGTGAACCAGGGTCTTATTAAAGAGCATCTGATAGCCAGTCATTGCAGAACACTGAAACACAAGCGTGGGGTAGGTGGTACCATGCAAATTTGTAACAGTGCTTTGTCTGAAAGTGTGCTGTCATACCACTTCACTGTGTGGAGAAGAAAGCCTGAGCTCCATTTCAGGTAAATTGTTGATGAGTTGGTTCAGCTCATAAGAAGTGATCATCTGAGCTGGTAAAATTATTAAATAAATTGGAGGGACATCAGAAGAAACATTCAGCAGGATATGAGCATTGTAGAGTAGGAAAAAATATGTTCAGACTACATATGACAAAATAAGGAATCCAAGAACAAGAAATTAGCCCAACTTTAAAAATGAGCAAAGAACCTGGATAATATTTTTCATGATCTATCAAGTGGTCCCAGCAGTACTAGTTGTCAGGGAAAAGGGACTCAAAACAGATGAGATGCCACATTACACCTTTTGGGCTGAGTGTTATAGATAGATAGTAGGTTCTGTTGAGAATCTAATGGAAGGTAGCCATAGTGGAAGACACTATATGTGTGACCCAGAAATCCCACTACTGGGTATTGAGATGCGAAGTCAGCCTGTCAAAGAGAAGCTCTACTTCCATTTGTATGTTATTCATAATGGCCATCATAAGCTTAACCTAAGTGTACATGGAAGGATGGATAAGAAAGAAGATATATTTAGACACTGCTAAACTATTTGGTCACAAACATGAACTACTGTCATTTGCAACAGCATGTTTCATGCCTGTGGGATGTTGTCCTGAATGAAATTAGCCAGACACAGAAACAGTTACAATATCTGACTCAGAAGCAATGAGTCAGATAATGGTTGGTGACAGCTGCAGATTATTGCAGACTGGGGACTTGTTAAAGAGTACGGTTTACCAAGCATAGTGGCACATACTTCTAATCCCAGCATGTAGGCTGAGGCAGGAAGATTGCCACTAGTAGTTCCAGGCCAATCTAGACTGTATTGAGGCCCTGTCTGAAAAGAATTGATACTTTCTAGAGTAAACCACAGTGAAGAGTGCACTTGGAAGTCCCTGACTACAGCTTAACTATTCTCAACAAAAGAAAGTATGGGACAGATCTGTTGATTAGCTTGGTTTAATCACCATAAGATGTATGCATATGTCAAAGTAGCACATAATATGTCCAGTTTTAGTTTGTTACACAGATGGTACCTGTTAATGTTTGTCAAAACTTAGTCTAAACAGGCTTCAGGGTCCATTTTATTAGTAGACCCAGAAATCCACCCAAAGCCAGACTTCAGATAATTCCATGAGAAGTACTCACCAAATAAGTGGGTTTTTTTTAAAGATCCCTCACCAGCACCCCAAAAATAAAACCTCATAGAGTAAGAGAAACTTAGAGCTATATCTGAGCCAACCTTACCATTTCCAGATTACATGGCTCCCCATGGGATTCCTTATGTCTTTGGTTACTTTGCTATAAGGAAGGCTTTTATAGTTGTTTTGTTTTTAAATATTCAAGTAAATTCCAGGTTTTGGCCAGTTTTTAGTCTTTACTAGTCAGATCTCCTTATGGGTAATCAGTGCTTAGATGCCCTGTTAGGGCAGATCTCTTATCATTTTTCTGGTATATTAGCTCATGACCTTAAAACAGAATGTTAGTCCTTATTCACATGTCTTAGTTAGGGTTTCTGTTACTGTGATGAAACAACATAACTTAAGGGCAAATTGGGGAGATAAGGGTTTGTTTTTATTTCGCTTACACTTCCATATCACTGCTCATCATTGAAGGAAGTCAGTACAGGAACTTGGAGGCCAGAACTGATGCAGAGGCCATGGAGGGGTGCTGTCTACTAGCTTGATCATGGCTCTGCCTGTTTTCTTACAGAACCTAGTACCAACATTGGCCCTCCCCGATCCATCACTAATTAAGAAAATGCCTTCCAGACTTTGCTCTTACTATTTTCTTTTTTTTACGAGACAGGGTTTCTCTGTATTGTTTTTTTGTTGTTGTTGTTTTGTTTTTTTTTTTTTTTTTTTTTTGGAGACTGTCGGTCCAGCCCGGCCTCAAACTCACAGAGATCCGCCTGCCTCTGCCTCCCGAGTGCTGGGATTAAAGGCGTGCGCCGCCACTGCCCGGCTAGAGTATTTTCTTAACTGAGTTTCCCTCCTTTCAGATGTTTTTAGCTTGTGTCAAGTTGGTATAAAACTATCCAGCACATTCACATTTCGTGGATTTTAGATAAGCTCTACACAGTTCATTTTCTTTGATGTTCATGTTTTTAAAGTATGGAAGGTCATAGGTATGCTAATTAGTTTGATGGAGCCATTCCAGGGCATATACATTATCAAAACATTGTAAACCATAGATACTTATATTTAACAATTTAAAGTTGCCTTGTGGTATTCTTCCTCACTCAAAGTAACAGGAAGAAATTTGGAAGATTATCAATAGCTAGGTGCTGGCTGTTCTAATGTGGGCATTGGTCAAGCCATGTCTTCACTTTGAGCTCCTTTTATCATTTGTTCTTAGAGAATTTCATACAGTGTGTTTTTATCATAGTCTTTCCTATACCTTCACCACCATCACCACCCAACTCCTTCCAGAACCTCTCCTCTCTACCCAGGCAACTGCATGTTTTTTCTCTCACTTAAAAAAGGAAGAAAAGAAAAAAGCCAGTAAAAAAAAAAAAAACATGGCATCTGATTGGTGTTGTCCATCTGCATGAAGCCTGCCATGTGGTTAACATACCCAGTACTCACTGTCCCTTGAAGAAAACTGTTTTTTTTTTTTCCTTCCCTTACCACCTACCATTTACAAATAGCTTCCTGGCCAAGGGTAGGACTTAGCCGCTTTCTCGCTGTCATGCTGGGATTTTTGCTGGCTTGAGTTTGTGCAGGTTTTGGGCACATTGTCTTGATAACTTAACCATAGCCTACGTAAGATGTCCTACCTTGACTCCCATTCTGCAGAGGACAGGACAACAATGGGGTATTCAGTTGACTTTACTTGGCAGTTAAGTGATAGGATTTGAACCCACAGGCCAAATGTTTCTCTTCTGAAGCACATCTGTGAACCCCACCTTAAAATATTTCTTTTCTCTTGGCTTTTCCATCCATTGACCAAGCCAGCATTCCCTCATCTAGTCCATGAAATGTCAGCAGATGTTCCATAAAAAATGTTTAATGGAAAAGAACCCAGTACTTTCCTGTGTGCATAGAGATTATTTATGCTGAGAATTTTTCACCAAATTATATGTAGATATATATTGCATATCACCAAGGGGAATATTCATCTTGTAGCTTTCTAAAATTATTTTTGCTTGGAATGTTGTTTTTGGTTTTGTTTTTACAAGTTATCCATAGATATCTTGAGGAACACAATTCTTGACTCTCATTCACTCCTTTACACAATTAGTTTCACCTAATTGTTGTAGGTTGTTCCTTGAGTATAAGCTCACAGGTGTGTTTGCCTGCCTTAGCCTATAGGAAACACTGCTTTTCCTGCAGTGACTGTATTATACAAGGGCCATATTAGCTACTATTCCTGCATGAATGCCAGGGTTGCAGATGCCAGCTGCCATCTATGGTCTGTGTTGAGTACCTACAAATACCATTTCCTTTACTGCACCACCAGAATAGTTGCCCCAAGATTAGAGGGGAACATTGTGCTTTCTGTACGTTCTGTCTGGAAAGCCTGTCAGCAGCAGAGTCCTCTCCTGTGTGCCTCAAGTCTGACATGGTGTCTGCGGGTGGTGACTGTGTGCTCTTAAACTAGGAGCCCTTAACGGCCACTTCCCGTTTACTTTAGTTCTCACAACATACGTGTGATCAACTGGTTTATCTCCATGAATGCCTCACTGGATTCACTTTCTGGAAGTATTAATTGTCAAAAACTTGTTTTATGTTGGAAGTCTGAGAATAGCTTTTATTCCTTTTGTTAGTAAAAGTCTTTCTTGTATTTCAGTATAATGTTGTAATTTCCTTAAAAGTTTTTTTTCCATATGGAAGATTTTTTTAAACAAAACCATTTCTTGGTGCTGGTAGGGCATTCAGAATTAAATGTAATCCTACATTCCATACGTTATTAAATCATTTTTTTTAAGTTTGTGGGTATTCACATTTTATAAGTCAGCTATCTTATTGTGGCCTCCTCTTTTATAGTATTAGAACTCAAACCTTGCATGCTAGGCAAGTACTCATTCTCTGAGCTCTGTCGCAAGCCTGTGTGACCGTGACCTCTTTATTTTAGTCATGATTAACTTATTTATTGTTTACATAAGTTCATCCAGATTTGTTACTTTTCAATGTTATCTAGGCACCTGTTGTCTCTTCAGCTAGGCTTATGAACACAAACCTAGTTCAGCCTTCCATAGCACTTCAGTTGATGATTCATGCTAGATTAGCCTTTTTATTTTATTTTATTATTATGTATGTGTTTTGCCTCTGTGTGCCTGGTGCCATCGGGTCCCCTGGGACTACAGTTACAGTTGTGAGCCACCTTGTTAGGTGCTGGGAATTGAACTCATGGACTCAGAAGAGTAGCCATGGCTCTTAATTAATTGATTAATCTTGGTTTATCATGCCTAGTTACAAATAATCTCATTAATTAGCTCTGTCCAACTCTTTTTTTTATTATTTTAATTTTAAATAGCTTGCTTCACATGTCAATCCCAGTCCCTCTCCCTCCCTCTGTCCAACTCTTTACCATCTAATCTGCCATTTTACTTTGAGTTTGGATTCATGTTTTATCCGACTTTATGTAAGTTACCTTGCTGTCATTTGAACTCAATTTTTAAAAATGGAATGACTGATTTTAAGTTTTTCTATTAAGAAAACTTTAAAAGATTTACTGTATAAATGCTAGTTAGAAATATCTTAGATTTGAAAGGGCCAGGATTGAACTTGTGCCTATATCATTCTTAGTTATAGTATCTGAATACATATCTTTTCAGGTTTTGAAACGTTACAGAAAAAAGAGAAGAAGGGGGAAGAAGAGTGTTGAGAAAAGTTTATATGGGGAAAGAGACATCGCATCCAAGAAGCCGCTCCTGAGCCCTATCCCTGAGCTGCCTGAAGTATCTGAAATGACGCCTCTGGCTGACTGCACACAGAGGCTGTGTTCAGGTGATGCTTCTCAGCCCCTCTCAGTTACTACTGTACTTTTTCTCTTCCCTCTTCCCATTCACTTTCATGAAAAAGACTGAATCCATTATCAGCAAAGGAAGTTGTAGTCTGTGATCTGATGAAACTCTCATCATTTTTATCAGAAAAATTCAAACACAAAATTTGCATGTAACTTTGGGGGAGATTGTTTCCGTTCATCTATTCTCTGCTGCATTTTGTTATGACAAAATATGTTTGGTTGTATGAATTATCACAGAAAGTGGGCAAGGTAATATATACATCTTAGAAGTTAATAATAATGCTGGACGGTAGTGGTACATGCCTTTAATCCCAGCACTCAAGAGACAGAGGCAGGTGGATCTACATGAGTTCAAGGCCAGCCTGGTCTACAGAGAGTTCCTGGACAGCCAGGGCTACACAGAGAAACCCTGTCTCAAAAAAACTGAAGGAAAAAAGTTAATAACAATAATAGGAAAACAGAAAAAACTTGCTTCATGTCATTTCCTTACAGTTATAACCTAGAAATGTTCATAAGTTGAGCATGATTACTTTGAAAGTTACTTTTACAAACAGACCAAGTTAACTTATCATAAGATTATTCATTTTATGTGTATGGGTGTTTTTCTTGCATGTGTGTATGTGTACCATATATATGCCTGGTGCCTGCTGTGGCCAGAAGAAGGCATCAGATCCCCAGAACTTGGAGTTACAGGTGGTTGTGAGTTACTGTGGGGTGTTAGAAACCAAACCCACACCCTCTGCGAGAGTAGCCAGTATTCTTAAGCACTGAGCCATCTCTCCAGCCCCTACAATGTATTCAAGATGAATATATGCGTCACTGTAGACTCTGGCTTCTACGGGCATCTCAACTTGAGGATAGAACAGGAGTTTAACAAGTACTCAGAATAACTCATTCCTGGCTCCTGTCCTTTGCTCCTGCCCTTTCATGTGGGGTGCTGTGGAATGGGAAGTCTGCCATTTCTACCTCCTTTTAATCTGGCCTTGATTCTGCTTATCTATTAAAACATTACTGCCTTCATTGCAGGGAAATACTAATGAATCTGTAATTGCTGTTGTCACACGAAAAGAGGGCTTAAGACAATTTAGTTTCTTTTCATCTCTCTAACTTTCTCTCCCCAGCACCTCTTTCTTTCAGTATGCTGTAAAAAATATATCAGTACTAATTTTAAAGTTATGAAAGAACCTAGTTAATATAGTCATTGTAAATCATGATTTCTATGAATCTCTAACTTTATATACTATTTACCTACTCTAGTCATGAATGCATTTTTTCAGATTGAAACATTGATTTTTTTAACTTTAGGCTCAGCTATATTTTATATGTATCTTTCAGCTTTTATTTAATTTAAAACATCTTTTATATTCACTTGAATGACCAACTAAAAGCATCATCTTAGATAGTAGAGATAGAATCTAATAGCATTGATTTAGAATCATAAGAACTGAATTTCTGTAGGACAGTGGTTCTCAACCTGTGAGGCAAAACCCCCTTGGGGGCTGAACAACCCTTTCACAGGGGTCAGCTAAGGCCATCAGGAAGTGCAGATACTTATATCACAATTCATAACAGTAGCAAAATTACAGTTATGGAGTAGCAATAAATGTAATTTTATGGTTGAGGGTCATACAGCATGAGGAACTGTTTAAAGGACCGCAGCATGAGGAAGGTTGAGAACCCCTGCTCTAGGGCATGTCCCTTCTCAGTCTCAAACCTGACTAGTTGCTTTCTCACCTGTGAAGTACTGCAAACATACACAGAGCTATGTGTGATGTTCTTGTCCAGAGGACGAAGCTTAGTCAGAAAGAAGGGGGCAGGGCTGGCTGGACTTTGAAACTGGGTTCCATGGCTCTGTCTACTTTTTATACATTATATTTTATATCTGTTTTTATATATATTTTATGGGCATTCTTAGAAACCATGACAGCTGTATACTTCAGTTGCTATGTCTTCATGTACCCCAGAATTCTCATTTTTATCACCTTGTTTCAAGAAGACACTGAGTGAAGAATTTTAGAAGTGTGGTACTGTCTGTTTTTTCAGGAACTATTTCACACTATTGGACCTTGTAGTGTGGGAAGTGCATTAAAGAAAAGGAAACTAAGACAGCAGTCTCATTTTCATAGTCTGAACTTGTGTGCTTTATTAATTCATGCGTTGAACACTTGTTTTCTTAACCTGTGACGGGGGCAGTGAGAGGGACGGAGAATGACGGATGAGAAGAAGAACAGTGTGTTGATTGTGGGTTGTGTAAGTCTGAAAGCTTAAGAGACAGTATTACTTGGAACACATTTATGAGTCAAAGACTGCTTATTTAATAGGCAATGTGCTGTTCTCTTGTAATTGAATTTAAGTGTGTTTATATGCCGTAGATGATTTCAACGTAAGTGACGAACAGGAAGAAGTGATTTCTCTTGAAATTCCCGCGAAAAGAAAAAGACTCTTGCCCCCGGAGGAAGATTTGCCTGAGTGGGATCCAGCTTTTGATCAGTCTCGTGTGTCTGAATTGTGCGTGTTGCTGGCGACTGCTGCTTCTGAAGGAGAGCCAGATGCCAAGACCAGGGACACAGGCGGAGCAGATAACTCCAGAGCCAAAAGTATGCATCAAAGTGCAAAGGAACCAAAAACTGAGACCGAGACTGGAAGCAGTTCCGAGCCTTGTGCTTCTGTGACCCAAGGGCACATTGTGTCAGATATTCCAAAGCCTCTGTGTAGCCCTTGTTGCCAGGAATTTTCCAAGACTGATGAAAATACAGAAAATTCTTGTGAGGTTCTTACGGTTTCAGAGAATATGAATGTAAAGTGTGAGGAAGAGAGTGCATGCCCGGCTCCAGAGGGGACTCTGCAGTGCGACCCTGTCACCTCTGACTTGGACAGAGAGCACGATCGTTCAGATGGTCCAGTTGAAAATCTGAAAGAATCCACAAGCCACAGTGAGACCGTGGGAAGAAAATGTGCGGAAAGCGGCAACCTCCTGAGTGGCAGAGATAGGAAACAGAGGAGACTCTCAGTGCATTGCTGTGAGGGTCAGAGTTCAGACGTGGAACCAAACAGGAGCTCTGCGTCTTCCAACAGTGGGGGAAGCTCTGCAGAACTTAGCTTAGGAAATCCCCAGCTGTGTGAAGATTTATCTGTAGCCATAGAGCAAAGCTTTCAGAGAACAAGTACTAAAGCCAAAGTGAGACGCAGCACAAGGCTCCAGGGAGACTTGGATAACACAGGGCTTGTGTGGATGCTGCCTCCCACTCCGCCCACGTCCCGGAAAGTCAAAAGGAGAATGACGATTTGTGCCTTTGAAAGCATGTCCTCCAAAGAAGAGACTGGATCCTCGGGACAAACTCCAGGTCCGCTGCCATCCATCCCAGTCAGTGGGTGCCAGGGTGTTGGTTCTTCCAGACTACCTGGGAAAAGGAGGAAGAGCTGTGCGTCTACACTCCCAAATGCTGAGAGTACCACTGAGGCAGCACACTTGAAGAGGAAGCCCTCTGTCAAGAAGGATGAGAGCTTTCAACTGCAGTGAGGGGCTGGACACAGGAGAGCAACCGAGGAAGGAGCTGACTCTTCCGCCTGGAGTGACGTGTTAGGAGGGACCCCAGCTTCCTCTCGCCTACTTCCATCTCTATTCAGCTTCAGTGCGTTGCAAGTTTCTAATAAAAAACATTTGAGTTGTGATGACTTTAAGTAGAAATGAGTGGATTTCTCCATCATCCAAAAAAAAAAAAATGATTGTGTATCTTCTCCCTCCAAATGCTAAATGTTTATTGGTCTTTTGCTAAAATGTTCGTTTCTAGACCCAACAATGTGTTTCTTCATTTTTATTCCTGGTAAGTCACATTTGCCACTGAAGGCTTAGACTGTTCTGGAAAACATCCTTTAAAGTAACTTTCTCTTTTCTTTGCTTGGATAACTTGGTTGTCTGTCTCAAACCAAAGTTTTCCTTTGGTAGTTAAATGAAAGTGAGGCCCTGCGTTGAAAACTTTCAGTGACTGAACTCTATAGATCCATTGTTACAAATGAATATGTAATTAGAAATGACTATGCAATCATTCTTCTAGATGGTTCAAATCAGTCATAGGTAATTCAGAATTTAATAATTGTTCCTATTAAATTTATTTTTGAAAAATAGAAACTTGAATATGTTCTAGAAAATTTGTTTACCAATGAAAAGAAAGCAAGCATGGTGTAGGTCACTGATTTCTTTTAACGGCATCTTTCAGCCTTTGAAACTTTTTGTTTCCTTATATCCATACTGTCACTTGCCTGTCCCCTCTGAGCTTAGCTTTTGCAACTCCCTAGTCTTGGTGACAAAAATTTAAAAATCTAAACTGTCTGCCTGCGTATATCTGGAATCTGTAAATGTAATAAATCATCTTATCATTAAACAATGGTCCCAGAAATCCTTTAAATCACTAGCTCTCCTTCAGCCTGATAGCAGAAACATGTTAACAAATAGAGCTCCCTATAAATAACACACCAGGGAAGAAAGCTCCTGCTGGGCGGCCCATTTCCCCCTCGGAGGTGGAGCTATTTGTTACCGCCTTGGCACCACCAGGTCTGGATCCCCTGCTGAGAAGGACTGATGGATTTTACATTAACAGGCAAAGTGATCCCCAATTTTCTTCTGCTCAAGGGTGAATTGTCCAAAACTTTCTTTTATCTCTACATGTAAATCATTTATGGACTTTTCTCTCCTGTGTATGCAGTCACCAAGTCAGTACCACTAAACACATACCAAAATGATAAAGAATTAACTCGTTTGGAAACTTCTTGGGTGATTTTTAAAAGGGGGGCAGGGTCCCAAACACACAAACTTAACATGTTAGAACTCATTGGGTTTTAAAAACAATTTTAGTATTTGCCCTTGTTTGGGATGAAGCTCAAAAGCTATTGACTTGTTATTTGCCTCCCTATTTTATGGCAGTGTCTACTCAGCTGTGTCTCACTAGTAATAGTTTACACACTGTCTGAGCTCTCAAAGTACTGACTGATTATGACTCGGTTTGTCTAATGTAAATGTGTTCTCATTTTTCAGTACTGACATCAGATCTGTGATCCACTCTGCAAATACGTTCATTCTGAAATGTTTCATTATAATTGCTTGGTTGATGTTTACAGACATTCCTTAGACCAATGGTTCTCAACCTTCCTACTGCTGTGACCCTTTAATACAGTTCCTCATGTGGTGACCCCAACCATAACATTCTTTTATCTACCACGTCTTACCTGTATCAGATGCTTAGTGAAAAGTTAATTTCTATATTTGATCATACTTTCTGTCCCCACCCTCTCCCCCATGTCTTTTCATTAATGGTAAGCTGAAAGTTATTTTCCCCTGCCCACCTTCATCTTTTTTTCTGGAGGTAACTAACCCTGGGTGCTTCCCTCAGAATGTCTCCTGTCTTCATTGCTTCTGTCCTTGCAGATTCTCATTTCTTCCAGAAGATGGCAGTGTGGTTCCTGCAGTTTTCCTTGTGTGTGCAAACAGGAAGGCCAGGACTGCTTGTAACTACTGTTGCCTGAACTTCCTGATATTTCACTCATTTTTTATTAGGAATTCAAGAGTGCTTGTGAAGAAAACAGAGAACACATAATGTAAAAGAAGTATAAACAGCTTTCTGTATACAGAAACTCAAATGGCATGCATCTTCCAGACAGACCTCCTATACCCACGCAAGTGTAGTTGTTTGCCAATGGCATATATACATGCCATTCTGCAGCCTCTGTTCCACAAAGTACCATGACTGTCGGTCTCACTGAGAACAGCCCCTTTAGTCTTTAAGCCTTGTGTGGAAGGACATATCTGGATATCCGTAGTATGGGTAATCATCTCTTTAGTCATAGGTATGTGTTGTCTCCTGCTTTTATGACTGAAAATTGTGTCACAGGTTTTGTGAGGTAATGCCAGTGCTGACGTGGTGGCTGGGTTCTCTTCTGTAGATTCTGGAAAGTTCCTCTGACACACGGCTAGCATCTTGGCCTTCTTTCGTTTTCTCCCGTCCATCAATATTCTGATTTTCTCATCTACTCTGACTAGAGCTTCAGGTTGAGGATGCAGCTCTGTACTGGCAAAGCAAGCAGAGGGTGTGATTGGTAATACCTGACTCACACCTTAAATTGAAAGCATTACTTCAAAAGCCCAGTTTTGGGGGGGTAAAACAACTTGCAAGAGTTGACTTTTAAAAAGAACATACTGTTTGAATTTTGGAAAATGTATATGGTCATGTACCACTTCGACAGCAGAGTAATAGTATGTCCACCAATCGAACTCTCCTCCCCAGCTCTTCACAGCTGATAATCTGAGTTCTTTTGTCCTCCTTGACTTGTCTAGAATGTCAGACATAGAATCTTGATTGATTAATAGATAGATGGATGGATGGATGATAGAGAATGGGTAGATGGATCCTTCATACCTGGTTTTTAATAGCATGATGCTTTTGAAATTCATCCATGCTGCATACTGTAAATGATTATTGCTAGTTACTAATTTCACTTTGGGTATTTGGGTTCTAGAATTTGGGGTTTTGTTGTTGATAAAATTGCATCCTGTTCTTTCACAGATACATACTTCCATTCATTTGGGGGCATGCTTAGAGAAAGGATCTTGATTTGAATTTCCCAGGCTAGTGGTGATAAACATTTTCTGTTTATTGCCTTCTTCACATCCTTATCTATTGGAGTGTCTTACCCAGGATTTTTGTTGTTAGTACCACCACTGTATTACTGAATTGAAAGAGTTTGTTTGTAATTTGATACAGGTCCTTTACGGGGTATTTTTCTTACAAATATTTTCCCCTGCCCATGGCTTTTGTTTGTTTGTTTGTTTGTTTGTTTGTTTCATTTCTTGGTATTATCATTTGAAGAACAAATTTTCATTTTGTTGGAGTTGAATTTATTATTTTTTCTTTTCTAACAGTTCATGTCTTTTGCATCCTAAGGCTAGCCAGGCATTGTGTTTCATATCTATAATCCCAGCACTGGGGAGGTTGAGGCAGGAGGATTATTGTGAATTCAAAGGCAGCCTATGACATTTAATGAGTTCCCAATTTTTTCCGAACTGTCTCAAGTCAAAAGAAAAGAAAATACATTTCTGAAGAACAAGAGCACAAAGATTTTCTAGAAGTTACATGGTTATTTTCTCCATTTAGTTTTCCATCTATTTGCAGTTAATCTCTGTGTGCCGTTGGAGGTGCAGGTGGTTTTTTTGTTTGTCTTGAGTGGAAACTAGCCAGCATCATTTATTGAAAAGCTCATCGTTTGAATTGTGTTGATATTTTCCTTGAAATCATGAGTCTGTTGGTCTGCAAGTTTACTGTCCCAGAGACACAACACCTTGAGGCCTTTTTGCTGTGAATTTTATCACAGTTTACTTATGGGGCCTGGGATGGACTAGAGGCCAGCAGAGGCAAAGGGTTAACCAACTCCCTCCTAGAGCACACTCCTTTTGGAGACAATGAGTCAGCAGTAAAAGCATCCAGAGAAAGGGAGGGAGGCCAGCTTCACTGCAAGCCTGTTCTTGATGAGCCCAGTGACATTTTACTGCTGTTTGTTTGCAGCATGACCTTGAGTCCCTGGGCAGTTTAGAAGTAAGTTGCTTTATTTGGGTATTATCTTCTAAGCTATAGATTTGCCTTTTTTTTTTAACAAAGGGTCAATTTGATTCATTTATTTTTGTGAAGTATGATAGTTTGGTTTAGTATAAAAGCTGCCACGCTTGATCCTGAAGTGGAGTTGGTAAGGTTGTTTCTCCTGGTGTTGAGTCCTGAACACCTTCTTGACATGGCACTAGAGGTTGAACGAAAGATACTTGCTGGATCTGGAGACCTCAAAGAGGAGGAATCAGAGGAAGGATTAGTGGTGCCCCTAACAACGGTGAGAGAGCAATGTGAGCAGTTGGAGAAGAGTGTAAAGGCCCAGGAGCAACTAGAGATTTGTGTCTTCCCGATCAGACAGAAGAGGCTTGTACAGAGGAGCTCTGACTTGCATGCACACGACCACTGTGTGGCCCACAAACTTTTTGACAGATTGAAGTAGCTGCACAGATTCATTCACCTCAGCCTTGTCACAGGGCTTCAGGAAAAGCTCCTTGTGGTTTTGAACCATTTATTTCTAACGTGTATCATAAGTTCTGGAAAACCGCAATGATTATGGCAAGTAGCTTCTCTTCCATGTAATTAGCAGCGATTTCATCTTAATAAACTGATCTACAGAAAAAAAAAAGCTGCCACAACATCAAGATTTGAGAATTGCCTGGTGGTGGTGGTGCACACTTTTAGGGAGGTAGAGGCAGGCTGGTCTCTGTGAGTTCAAGACGAGCCTGGTCTACAGAGTGAGTTCCAGGAAAGCTAGGACTACACAGAAACCCTGTCTCAAAAAATGAATAAATGAATGAATGAATGAATAAATAAATAGATTAGAGAATTGTTTCTTAACATAGGCAAATTTCCTTGTAACAAATCAAATCAGGTAGGAAGACTGTTAATTAAGCATCTAACAGCATTTATTCAGCAGTTACTGTGTGCAGACATTTGTTTCTAAGCCTTTGAACACTGTTTTCGTGTCAGAGAGGCTGGTAAAAGCATGCCCAGCTCTGTCAACCCTCGAGTTGTGGTAGGGTGAAGCTGAGGTCTTTAAAGGGCACATTCTTTATAAATACCTTTTCGTTATCATAGGGTAGAAGCTATGAGTGCAGGCTGGCTTCACCCCCTATAGGCTTTTGTTGTGTTTTTCTCTTCCATGTTTTAACCAGTGAGTACATCTTGGTGAGGCATAAATTTGAAAGACTAGTCGTGAATTGAACATAACAAAAACACAGACATCTCAACTTCTTACATCTTTTAAAGTCTGCTACCATGCCTCAGCAAGTCTTACTCTGGGTTTGAAAGCTTAGATCAAGTGAAGTTGGTTTTAAGATCAAATAATTGTGTGCTGCACATAGCAGAATTTTGTCTTAAATTCACTGGAAAACTTACATGTCCTCGATTTGGCTGTACAAAGACTGACCGTAGCATGCTGTGACCTAACAACTTTCAGTGTGTCCAGTGTGCTGCTGTGTTCACTTTTGGACTTTCTTTAATCACCCCCCCCCTTTGCTGAAGTGAGGAGATGAGTAATTATTGTTATTGAGTGGACATTTTTTTTCCTACATCTTCAACCAAGGCCAGACCCTAGAGGTTATGACCCTAAAATTTTATTTAAAAAGCAAGAGATTGAGAATTGAGGTGTTCTTGTTTTGGTATGTTAAACATTATGCTATATATGAAAAGAAAATAAATGGACATGCATATAGAAGAAAACATTTGTGTTCTGTAAGGGCTGATTGGGAAGTCACCATAAAGATTCCCATTGTCCATTTGAGAGGACTCTCCTTTAAGTCTTGCTTCTC